AATGCAAGGTTAACCCCTTACAATGGAAATTTCACTGAAGAGAAAAATTTTGCCCAATTTTGTTGAAAATGCAAGGTTAACCCCTTACAATTTGAAACTTCCCTAAAAAATCAAATTTTGCCCAATTTTGATGAAAATGCAAGGTTAACCCCTTACAATTTAAAATTTCGAAGAAAGGCTAAACTTGCCTAATTTTGTTGAAAATGCAAGGTTAACCCCCTTACAATTTGAAACTTCCCCAAAATGTCAAATTTTGCCCAAATGTGATGAAAACGCAAGGTTAACCCCTTACAATTTGAAACGTCCCCCAAAGTCAAATTCTGCCCAGTTTTGATGAAAATGCAAGGTTAACCCCTTACAATTTTAAAACTTGCCACAAAAGACACATTCAGCCCAAGTGTGTTGAAAATGCAAGGTTAACCCCTTACAATTTAAATTCTCCCAGGAAAGAGAAACAATTTCCAATTGTTTATGAAAGTGCAAGGATAACCCCTTAGAATTTTTAAACTTGCGAGAAAAGACACCGTTATTTATTTAGACCAATTTTGAGGGAACTGCAAGGGGAAGCCCTTACAATTTGAAACTTCCCCAAAAAGTGAAATATTGCCCAATTTTGATGAAAATGCAAGGTTAACCCGTTACAATTAAAAATATCGCAGAAAAGGCTAAATTTGCTAAATTTTGATGAAAATGCAAGGTTAACCCCCTTACAATTTGAAACTTCCCCCAAAGTCAAATTTGTCCAATTTTGATGAAAATGCAAGGTTAATCCCTGACAATTTAAAATTTCGCAGAAAAGGCTTAAGTTTACCAATTTGGATGAAAATGCAAGGTTAACCTCTTATAATTATAAATTTTCCAGAAAAGACAAATTTTGATGAAAATGCAATCTTACCCCTTAGAATTTTTAAACTTGCCAGAAAAGACACGTTTAGACCAATTTTGATGAAAATGCAAGGTTAACCTTACAAGTTACAATTTAAATTTTCGCAAAAAAAGGCTACTTTTGCCCAAATTTGTTGAAAATGCAAGGTTTACCCTTACAATTAACAATTTCGCAGAAAAGGCTAAATTTTTCCCAATTTTGATGAAAATGCAAGGTTAACTCATTACAATTTTAAATTTTCCTGAAAAGACAAATTTTGCCCAATTTTGATGAAAATGCAAGGTTAACCCCTTTCAATTTTTAGTTCTTATATTAGAACTAAATATCTACTGAACGACAGTAGTTATTACCACATGGTGTTACCGAAAACCGAAACGACACTTCAACCATGAATATAAAGAATCACTTTTAAGAAACGCACTGGATATTTTATGTGTTGGAAATCATTTTGTATTCTTTCAGCAAGAATGCTGACACTCGCTTTGTGTTTTTTTACACAAACAGGTCAAAGGATGCACCACTGGACCTATGGGTTGAAGGAAAATTATGAAATCAATAAAGAAATAAAACGTCAAACACAGTAAAGCGTTGTTTGTCTTTGTTTATTTTGATGAAGTATGCAATAATATTCCCTTCAAACACCTGCTTACGTTTGACATTTTAATTCTAAATCTACAAATGAGTATGCTAGGTCAGGTAAGCCACTTTTCCCAACTCTTTAATAGCCGCCTTATTGAATCCTTTAGATGGAATTATGTTTATACGTAATTCAGAAGGGACGGGGTCGTCCAAATTGCTAGGCATGACTACAGAAAGAAATAGTATCCAGACATCACTTCTTTGGTTGTGTACAAAGTCTATTGAGAGTCAATTGCATTTCAGAGTAATTTTTAACAAAATTGGAAATGTTTTTCTGTCTTTTGCACATTTTTTTTTACGACTGACCATCACATACACTGTATCATTAGTATGGTGAAAACAGTGGAGTCAGGATGTAAATTTCTTTCCTAAGATATGATGATACAATTCCAATAATCCATGGGGTTGCGGGAGGGTTTCCTAAGGTATGATGATACAATTCCAATAATCCATGGGGTTGTGGGAGGGTTTCCTAAGGCATGATGATACAATTCCAATAATCCATGGGGTTGTGGGAGGGTTTCCTAAGGAATGATGATACAATTCCAATAATCCATGGGGTTGTGGGAGGGTTTCCTAAGGTATGATGATACAATTCCAATAATCCATGGGGTTGCGGGAGGGTTTCCTAAGGAATGATGATACAATTCCAATAATCCATGGGGTTGCGGGAGGGTTTCCTAAGGAATGATGATACAATTCCAATAATCCATGGGGTTGTGGGAGGGGTTATGAGGAGATCATTAGGGGAGGGTGAGCTGGTTAGGTGATTTTTATTTCTATGATGGTTGGGGCCAATCATGAATAATTCAGTAGTTTCAATGGGAAAATTGTTTATTCATGAGAACAGAACTATGACATAAACACATCAACAGCATTGTTATTCTAGTCAACCAGTAACATTAAAGCATTTTAAAAGAACATTTGGCATCGAGCTACCGCGCAGTAGCGTAGTGGATAGCGAGATGAGCTACGGATACAAAGATCCCTGGTTGGAATCCACATTGTCGCTGCTCATTTTCATCGACTATTTTTCTTCTCCAAATTTATCGTTTAGATAAGTTTAATTTAAGGGGAAAAATAAAGAGAAAATATTTCTTGCATTTCAAAGGAAAAACTGAATTATTCATGAACATTGCCCCTAACCGTCTTGGGAAAAAAATACGCAGGATGGTTGACTGTTGAAGGTGTTTTTTTTTTTGGGGGGGGGGGTGGCAAGTATAAAGGAAGAGTACAAAAATCAAAACCAAATCGTTATCAGTATTAAGTCATTAAGTCATTATATGTACTGCTTTACAAGAATAATGTATGCTACGGATGATTTCACACTTCTACAGTGTGGGTAAAATACATAAAAAAGAAGAAGATAAAATTACAATAAATTTGTGGAAGGGAGGGGGAATGTATACATGTTTGTGGTGGGGGGCGTCTATACAAATACAATAGGAATGAAGTAAGATATGATGATACATTTCTCATACTTTATGATGTTGGGGAGGGGATATGAAGAGGGGGGAGGGGATATGAAGAGGGGGGAGGAGATATGAAGAGGGGGGGGGCTGGTGGACTTTAGAATATTGTTTGATGGCAATTAAGGGTAAAAGAAGAGTGCAAGATCAAAACCAAATTATTATCAGTATTACACAATTTGAGCACCAATGATTGGAAGAAAGTTACTAAATGTACTGCTTTATGAGAATAATACACAGATGATGTTACACATTATAGCGTACAGTGCGGGTAAAATATATTACAACATATTGATAGTTTTACAATTTTCTTAATCAAACAAACATGCCTCCATGTTCCCCACAACTTACACTAATTTATTAAGTTGCAGTATTATTGCATGATATATATGTATTTTGTTTTAAGATCAACTGCACAGCATATATGACAAGACTATTGATTTAATACTTGTAGACTAGTGATTACTTGTGCAGGTTTATATCCTGTCAGTGCAACGAGGTCGTAACTCCATTCTGCAACAAAGTCGTATCTCGCGCGAATACGCTCCATGCAACAAGGTTGTATCTTGACGTCCATTGACTTTGTGTGTACATCCGGGTTATTTTAATTAGATACGACCTTTTGACATCTGAAACTTGCGTTTCACACATTGCCCATTTTAGGAGATACAACCTTGTTGCACCGACACAACGATTGACAGAAACTACTGCCCTGCTTCTATTGTCACGTGATTAGAATATGGCAATGCAGCTCGGGAAGCTATAAATAAGGAGTCATAATGCGAACGTTGATTAAAGATTTTGTATGACTTGATATTTTGAGACGTATTTTCATGTAATAATTGAGCTGAACTGTAATCAATAATTTTACCTTAATTATAATAATTTACCGACATAATTTGCTGAGATTTACATGATGAATATTCATTACATTTTAATACAATATAACATACAATGTACTCATTAACATTCTTGATAATCTTTGGTAATAAGTATTGACTGTTTAATAACGGAGCAAGTTAATCGCTACACTGTACATACCATCTATAGTTACTTGTATATTTGTATATATTGTGACGCACATTTTTCCTTTTGTGAAACATCACTCGTACATTTATACATTAAGTAAAAATAGATGTGTCAAGAAAAAATTTGTTAAAACTACAATAAAGAAGTTCGCTAAAAATGAAGATGTAGCCAAGGATTTCTTTTGCAGACACACACCACAAAGTCATTGCTTTTCAATATTCACACACATATTATGCAAAGACAAACTAATTACGTGCACAGGGTTCTCGCGGCCTGGAAGAACCTGGAATTTTATTTTCGATTTCAAGTTCTGGAAAAGTCATGGAAATTTGTGAGGACCAATTTATTTTAAATTTTAAACTTCCATGTATTCAAAAATTTAATATCTGAAATCTGATTAATAAACACGATAAAATGAAACACATTTTGCTTCAATGTTTTTGCTCCATGATTTGCTCTCACTATTTGTGGTACGCACTTTCACAGAACAAGTTTAACAGTTTTGATCGGTATTTTGATGAACTACGTCATGGATTTTCATAGTTTGGTCATGGAAAAGTCGTGGAGTTTTATTGTCCTAAGGGTGCACGAACCCTGTTAAGAGAAATCTGCTGTTGTCTACTTCCCTGCAATTCCTAGTCGCAGTGCACAAACAACACTTCAATAAATCCCTTCAATAAAATCAACAAATCCCTCAAACAACACTTCAATAAATACCTCAAGTAAATCTGCTTGGTCACGTGACGGGTCACGTGAGGGCCTCAACAACACCAGTTGACAGAGACACTGTGATGGTGTCGCAAGCTCCTGATACGAGTTTCGTGATTAAAGTCTCAAAAAGGTATCTTTTATTTAATTAATTTAATCTGCATGGTGGCTGCATTTTCAAAGAAGGTAGCATTTAGCATTTAGTAGAGGCTAAGAAAGAGGGCGAGGGATAGGGGTGTAAGGGAGGGTGGGGGTGTTTGGGGGGGGGGAATGGGGAGGGGGTGGTGAAGGGGAGGGGTGGTAGGGAGAGGGTGGAATGAGGGGGGTAGAAAGAGATGAGGCAACAAAATACTTTGGGGCAAGATTTGGCAAATGCTGTAAGGAGTGCTGGGTCCATGGTGTATAAGTTCTTGGGCAAGATACTTAACTACAATCACATCTCTTCACTGATGAGGATTAATGGGGTAGAGACCTGAATGTGCTGATCTTGTGCTACAGCACTGAAAACTGGTGTCATGGCCTGATGAACAGGGGTAATAACTTTTACTTACTTTGTTATTAGATATTGTAGCCAACACATTGGACGTCAACTTCTTGATTCAAAACGATAACACATTTTACAGCGGACTGACCTTTGGCCTAGCTGGGATTGGCGGTGGCGCTGTAGCAAGACTGGATGTGCTGACACCAGATCCACCGTGAGGTCCCGCGCCCATTGAAATATCTTTGGTTAGGGGGCGGTTTGGCCGGCTAGGGGGGACGGGCGGAGGAGGTGCAGCTTGGGGCATTTGGGGTTCCTCATCCATGCTTAACAGTGACATGTCTGGTTCCACGATGCTGGGACGTGGTGCCGGTAGTGGGGGCGCTTTCCGCACTGGGAGTGTCGGTATTCTGGGTCTGTTGTCCGTGCCTTCGGTGTGAGCGCTGTTATTGCTGTTTGCTTGCGCTGAGAAAGCATCCTCGTTCAGCATTGTGAACGCTGGGTTTTCTAGCATCCCTCGTTGACTGATGGAAGGACCAGCTGGAGGCCCAGTCTTCTCAGTCATGTCTGTTGCTAGTTGCTGAGGTCTTGAAGGTGGGACAGGTGGCGGAGCTGATACATTTGGGAATTCCTGTTCTGTAGATTTTGTGTCCTCAGCTGAGGATTTGATCGGTCTTGACTTTGGTACTGGAGGCGGAGGTAATGATGGAGGTGGCATGGAGGGAGGAGGTAGAGTGGGTGGGGGCAAGGAGGGAGGGGGCAAGGAAGGCATCGGTAGCTCCTCTCCAGCATCATCTATCCCATCAGCATCCAGACTCACTTCCCGTCTCCCCTCCATCCCAGTTTTCCTTGGTCTTGTCGCGGGAATGGGAGGTGGTACATCCACGACTCCTCCATTTGCCAACTCATCTTGAGGTGACTCCGTTTCAGCGATCCTGCTCTCCCCATCGAGACTGGTACTCGACAAAACAGCGCTTCTTGGCCTGGGTACAGGACGCCGAGGAACTGGGACTGGAGCCAGTATCCCGGATCCTCCGTTCAGTTTCTCGTTGACGTCGTTGTCCAGGCTTTCCAGGTTTCCCTCGCTAGCGTTTCTCCTCGGCAGCGCACCCTGTTCCCTGCCGGTCTGTAACAAATCCCCAGAGCTGTGCACCTGTCGCATGTTGGTCTCTGATAACGAAGGATGCCCTAGGAGCTGGGAGGTTGGACTGTCTGTTCTTGAGGGACGGAGATCCATCCCCAGGTCTTGAAGAAGTCTCAGAGCCTCGGCTTCTGAGGTGGCATGGGCTTTATGGCTGACTTCAAATGGTTTGCTGATTCTACTTGTCTAAAAAAAAGAGACGAAATTGTAAAAATGAGAGGATATATATAAACCGATTTGGCGACAGCCATTTTCTGAGGTGGCACCAGGCTAAGCGAGTCGCGTTCAGTAAGCATGCACCCTGGGCTCCTTCTCATTTGGTCTCCAAAATGCGCACTTTATCTTAATAATGATGCGGCATTTGGAACAGTGATTCACCCTAAAAAATGGCTTCTAATTTTGTTTGCTGAATTAGTCTTTACATTAAGATGGACAGGCCTTGATTGGGATCTTGCAATGATGAACCTCCTCACTGCTTTAATCAATGGAGTATTCTCAACCATGACAAACTCAAGAGTGTCATGGCCTAGCGGTTAAGAGCACCGCACCGGACTCATGCTCTGGTGTTTCAGAGGCAGCAGAATGTGGGTTCGAGCCACGGTCTGGACACTTGTGCCCTTAAGCAAGGCACTTAATCATTATAGCTTCGTCCCTCCGATGGGACGTAAAGCCGCAGGTCCAGTGAGTTGTGTAATACAATGTACATAAAAGACCCCAGTGACATTTATCAACAAGATATGGGGTTTGCCCGGGTGTTTCTGGCTTCCTTGTTAAAACTCCCCTGCGGAGTCCGTAGGAGAAGAACCAACCAAGAACTCTAAATTCGGATTAAGACCAAAGATTCATGATTTTCAACCCCTAATTTAAGGACCTTAAATGTATTTGGTTCAATTTCTGTAAATTTGATTCAACACCAGGGAGAAGGTACAAGAGATTTGTGTACTTACCGGCCCTAGGCTTGATGTTCTGCTTAGCTGGCTTGAGGTTGGTCTAGGAGGAACTGTGTTTGGCCTAGGGGGTGGTGCCCCTGGTCTAGGAGGCGGAGCTTGTGGTCGAGAGGGAGGAGCTCTGAATGTCACATCCGCTGTTTCTTTTGTAACCACGCCCAGGTCTGTTGTTGGAGTCTCCTGAATGGGTGGAGCTATGTCTGGCTTTGTAGGGGGAGCCTGTTTGGAAGGCGGAGCTGAGGGTCTGGAGGGGGGGTTGGCTGGTCTATTTGGAGGAGGCGGTCTGGATGGACGAGATTTTGGCTGGGGGTCAGAGGTCAAGTCAGGGTCAGGGGTGTTTGGGCGTGAGGTTACCACTTGAGGCATAAGGGGAGCAGGTAGGGTGGGGCCTTCGTCAGGATCTTCATCTGATTCAGGTTCCTCTTCTGTATCCAATGGAAACGTTAAAAACAAGACATCAACGTAATCATGACAAATGATAGAATGGGAATCATCTTAGCCTAAATCACATCAAGTACAAGTACCAATGGACATGTTATGCATATTACCTTCACAGTCATAGTCTAAATCACATTCAGTATAAGATGAAATACCAATCCAAACATCAGAACTCATTTAAGTCTAAAACACATCGAGCATAAGGATATCTGCATTTTTTTTTCAATTAAATTACATTGGTACTCATGATGTCATCTCCTTACCGTCCATGTCAAACCAATCCAAACATCTGAACTCATTTAAGTCTAAAACACATCCAGCACAAAGATATCTGCATTATTTTTTCAATTAAATTACATTAGTAATGATGATGTCATCTCCTTACCGTCCATGTCAAAACTCATGGATGGAATGTCAAAGCTCTCCCCAAGTAGACTGTTACTGACTGGGTTGTGCAGTCGCTCTGTGTTGGGAGCACACATGGCTAATTCCTTCTCTAATTGCTTCACCCAGTCCTCAGTCCTCAGAGCCACATGAAGCTGCTTGTCACCGATCTTGAAGAACAACAAAGTCATTTCAACATGAGGTTTTTGCCCTTCACCAACATGATTTATAAACACTGTATGCTCAGTGTTGTTCTGAGTGATTCGAACCAGCCAGCCAACCTCGGCAAGCTCAGTGGTCGAGTGGTAAACGTCTGCGCTAGTAAGCAGGAGGTCGTGGGTTCGAGTCCCACCCAACTGATTTTTTCTCACAATCACTCAGGACAAGACCGAGTATACAGTGTTTATAAAAAAAAATATGCCGGTGAAGGGCAAAACCCTATATCGAAGCAAAAAGTTATCAGTTTAAGAAATTAATTATTCATAATTATAAAAATATTTTAATAAACAAATTTGATTGTGTAGAGTTTGATGGAGTACCTCTGTTCCATCCAGGTTTCTTGCAGACAGAGCACTGAAGCCATCTTTAAATGTAACAACCATACACGTCTCTACAAATCTACAAACAATAATGAAAATAACACAAATCTTTGGAAAAACAACAAACAAGAGACTGATCTGATACACGGTTCCCTGTGGGGACATGAGTATAATAGAAAACAAAATATTGTAAAGGTCTCCACAGGGCAATTTCTATAGATGAATACGTCTCCACAAGGTTATCACAAAAATAGATGGATGGATTTTACTCAAAAACTAGAAATTTCCAAGGTGTGTTGATCCCTCGCAAATTGAAGTATTTTATGTAAGGGATATTAAGTCTGAATTTCAGTCCAGGAAAATGATTCTGGTTAAAATAGGAGCATTTTGAAACTAGATTTTCACATTCTAAAATTTAGTACACGTGAACAAAGAAATGACTCCACAAGGATACAAATGTCAGCATGCATGGACTTCCATATAAATGTTTATATGAGAGTTTGTAGCCTGTATATTTAAAAAGTTGTTTATTCATCCAGCTGTTTTTTTCTTCAATAGACTAGAATTGAAACCGAAGCAAATGTGTACTTTTCTTAATCCTCCTTGCTCTACCCATTTCTCAAGAAAACCTGACTTCCTTGGCAACATCCAATAAAATGCTGCATGAACATTCCCAGAAGGCTGCAAAATCAGTTGACGAATCTTCTCCGATGAACTAACCTGACAAGTATGGCCTCCCCGACGTGACCCATCATCTCCAAGACATGGTCCACCGCGTCGTCATCAAAGTCGTAAGCTTCAACTCCTCCTGGGGCAGTCAGGGTCAGGATGATCGTACCGTCCGGTGGCCCTTGCTCAAAGACCACGTCGTGGTAGATGCTGGAACATTTCTGATCGTTGATCTTTCTGACTTCAACTTCTAATGCTGCCACAACCGGTCTGCACAGATATTAAATAAAAGCATTTCTGGTTTGGTTTCTGACCATCATGCAAGAAACGATTGCTCAACAACTTTTTATTTACTAATTTAATGAAAACTTTTTACCTTGACTTTTTCAATAGTTGCTCAGAACTCATGCTAAGAGTAATTCTAGTCTTATGTAACGTCTGTGATAAAGCATTTAAGAGTTCAGTGAACAAACTGAAAATGTTTGTTTCAAATGGTATACATCTAGCAATGGTCGAGGAGATACAGACTAGGAGCTTTGGATGATACATATATCTCTGAATGATGAATTCGATATCATGCTTAAGTGGCTTCGTCACACACATAACACTTCTTTTCACAACACTTGAATGCCGCTTATTCAAGGGCCGTCTCAATTCATATTCCAGATGAGTTTCGAACAAATTGCAGACATTGTATCACATATAAGTCGCAGGATTTTGAACTCTGCAATCTTCCCGCAATGAAGTTATCATACTCGGTGAATCAAGCAGTTGCTGACGAAAAATTCCGGGAACATGTCCCGGACAAATGCAGAGCTTCTTCCAAACAAAGTGAATGATTTTACACTCAAACTGTCCGGAACTCTGGGGGTGAGATGGCCTAGCGGTTAAGAACACTGGACTCATGCTCTGGTGTTTCAGAAGCAACAGTGGCGTGGGTTCAAGCCCGGACACTTGTGCCCTTGAGCAAGGCACTTAACCATTATTGCTTCATCCTTCGGATGGGACGTTAAGCCGTAGGTCCCGTGTGTTGTATAAATGCACGTAAAAGAACCCAGCAAAACACTTATCGCTAAGAGAAGGGGTTCGCCCTGGTGTTTCTGACAGTTATCCTCATACATACACTATGAAGCTATACGGGATAGCCACACCAGGCGTTTGTACAGAAACAGATAACAGATAACTCGTCCCAGATATGAATTGATATGAGCCCTAACTTAAACCGTTTCTGTTCCTTTTATGTTATCACCATGACAGTGCTACCTGTGATCGGACACTTTCAATTCTGCTCTCCCATAATGCAGTATTCTTCCTGGATCGCAGTAATCCGACGCCTCGTCCCCTTCAGACTTCTTTTGGAATCGTCGCTTACGGCGCCTCCACAGGACGCGATCTGTCCAGGCTGGACTGCGATTCTTCTCACTGGTGTCGTAATCGTCGGAGAAGAGGTCGTACTTGTAGGTCGGTGCAAACTGTATAGCGCCCTCATGAAAACCTTGAAAAACCTGGAGATAATGTAGTTCAAGGTTAAGAGTACTATGATGACGAAGTCCAGAGTGTTTCTTGAATTGAACACAAGAGTGTTTTTACAGGACATCCAACAAGAACATGGTATATTTTTGATGTGTGAGATACAAGCCAGTATGAATATTCAGATGTATTGTACCCTAACCTTCCTCAATCCTCCAAAATCCTCACTGCAGTTTTGGAGGATTTTGGAGGATTGAGGATGAATGGTGTTTGAGAAACATGAGGAATTTGGAGGATTGAGGATGAATGGTGTTTGAAGAGTATTTTGGAGGATGGAGGATGAATGCATTTTGAGAGGCAGGACTGTCTGATGATTTTTAAGAATTGAGGCACTGGGTATCCTTCATTTGAACATAAGTGAAAAATTTGTGAGGATTTTGGAGGATTGAGGATGGTTCCTAGCAAGGGCCTCGGGTTAGGGTTAAGCAAAATGTTACTGACAAAAACAATGCACTTACATTTCCCTCTTTCTTCTGCTGAAGCAACTGGTCACATGACTTCAAAGCATCGTAATTCTCCTGAGCAATGAACTCCTTGAGTTGGTCTTTGTCCATGTCGATGCGATAGTTGAAATCTCCGCACCAGAAGACGTAGTCATGAGTCGCTAACGTCCGACCCTTAAAGAAAAAGCGAACGATGAATCAGTGTTATCCTTTTTGACCACATTACAGTAACAAGTGAGATACATTCACATTTCTGATTGAAGAAAAGACAACCAACTTCAGAAGTGAAGTAGTAAACTCACCATAGGGAACATGATTTTCCTGGTAATCTCGGCGTAGTCGTCATTGCGGTCTTTAACCTGTGACTGACCGGCAGCAAAGTGACCACAGACGAAGCACAGCGACGTTGAATGGAACAGAAACCTGACAGCAACAGCGCCTTTGTTGCCCGCCGCACCCTTCATGCCGGTTTTGACCGTTTCCAAGCCAACTTCCCTGTCAAGTAGAAATATTTCTGGTAACAATTTTTTCTAAATTAATAAATTGGAAAGAATGTAGTTTCCGAATGCCACTTCTTTGTTGTGTACAAAGTCTATGGACCGGAGAATCAGGTACATTTTCTATCAAAGTATTTGCTATCAAAATTGGAAATGTTTCTCAGTCCAAGATTCATGTCTTTTCAACTTTTTTGCAATGACTGATCGTCATTGAGATACTACCTTGGATAATTACTGCTTAGGTTGTAATCTTGCTCAGCTGCAACATCTACTGTTCAGTGGTAGAGGTCATAAACAAGAGATCATAAACACCATCTTAAGACTCATCTTTTCAATCTTTCATTTGAACCACAGTGATTTGCTAGTGACCGGCGCCTTTGAATGGTTCTCCAGATACTGTGCGCCTTATAAATTCTCTGTAATGATTATCAATTAATAATAAGATTCTTATCTGATATATGGGCGTAGTGTGGACAGCTAATTCCTCCGACAATTTCTGCTCAGATTGTAATTTTGCTAAGTTAAAATATCTACAAAAGTATAAGTTTCTGCAAAGCAATCCAGACGCCATAAGCAAGTTTCTTCTAGCAACTTACCTGATATGAGGGGCGTGATGTGGACGGATGAAGATATACAGACACACACCCACGAGCTGTTCACAAACCTCAGATAATTTGTGCTCAGATCGTAATCTTGCTAAGTTGCAACATCACATTAAGTGGCAGTTTCTGCTAAGCTGAGGAGCAATCAGCAAGTTTCTTACCTGATATGAGGGGCATGGTGAGGACGGATGAAGATATACAGACACACACCGACGAGTTGTTCACATGTGAGGAGGATGTACTTGTGATTTCTGGAGAGCGTCTTCTGTAATTCCATGCTCCATCGCTTCTGGTTGCTCGTGCTGAAAAATAATGAGAAAATAAGAAAATAAGGAAGTAAAATCTGTCTCACATAATTTACGACCCACATTTTGCTAATAATGCCGATTCAGCAACCATTTTACAGAAAAATGCAAATTTCATTGCAGTAACTTCTGCAATAAATTGAAATAATTTTACCTTGTATTGATAAGATAAGTTGTTGCGGTAGCAACAACTTATCTTATTATTATCCATTCACCATGCAAGCCTTCAAATATTATCTACCTTGTATTGATTATGTTTCCTGCGTTCAGATCCACCATTTCCTCAAATCCAATGGCATAAATGTCTGCCGGTTTACTGAAATCAGCTCCTTCCTCAGAACAACCTATACTCAAATAATTACAAGAACACATCATTCTAATAAACAAGAAGAGAACAAATTGTCTTGAGACATTCAAAATGTACTAATTACCAGAATGAATGACAACACGCATCTGAATTGCTAGGCTAAGACGGCGATCAGTTACAGGTGTGGCTACAGAGGAGCAGACGCCACTTCTAATAGATATTGGTGTATGGGCTCCGTGCGCCAACAAAAGAGGGCGCCCTTTTACCTAGCAACGACGTCCCATGGGCGGGACATTTAGCTGGTTGATGCGCACCGTTCCTTGTGTGTGACGCACGTACACCAGGGGATTTGTACTATGTACACGCAGTGGTACGGCCGCACATCGCGGCAAAATTGCAGTCAGGCAAGATGGCGTCGGTCGGTCACCCCCAACTGTTCCTTCTTTGCCGGTGAGGGGGTACTTGTGAACGGAGCGAATAGATAGGTGTATATTCACGCACACTTGAATCTTCGATTCTGATTGGTCGATCCATGACAACAAACTGCTACATTATACCTAGCACCATGGTCCATATTGCACTCTGCCTGTCAATAGGCTTTAATCACAAGTCAGCCATACTAAATTGAAAGCAAAATAAAATCTTCACTTTTGGAACTTGCAAATAGAAACGAAAGCTATTCACTCTTTTCAGGCTCCGCCATTGGGCATGCACAGCCTCGATCTGGCAACTTTACATAATCAAAAATAGCCGGTTCAGTGATCTGAACCCCGACACGGGAATCACTGAACTGGCTATATTTATTGTGTAAAGTTGCCAGATTGAGGCTCTGCATGCCCACGGCGGAAGAGTGAAAAGAGTGAATGAAATAAAACTTAATTACAAATTAATACAGGTATGCTGTGATGAATAATTAAAAATTTGTTATGAAACATACCCTAATGTTTTAAGCCACATTTAACAAAATGGAAAGTGAGACTTGGAACCCATAAAAATCTTGAAAAGTCTAAGAATTGTACATCCTAGTGAGTTTGTTTAAACTAATATCTGGTCTTTGCACGGACCTTGTCTTGTATGCTGAATGACCTTAGGGTTATCCAGCAGCCAGTCTGTCATGGACTGGTTCTTGTAAGCAATACTCCTGAAGTGTCGTCCGCCGTTTATGTTCCACGTTCCCACGCCAACCCTGAGTGTCATGGCGTCTGTGATGTCATCTTCACGTTCACAGATGGTGCGTAGAACGCTGGGTGAAGCTGGAGAAAAGAGCAAATAATTGTCAGCGCTTTCATGAACTGACACGTATGCACTGTGTGGTGTCAGCTCGTGAAAAACGCATAATCAAAACATTTGGTGTCACCAACTGACACGCAGGTGTGCGTGCACTTCTTTAACTGACGCGTAATAGAATAATTTCGTTTTCAAGATTTTGAAACGCATTTTACTTAAAAGGTTTGACACAAATTTCATCCATCTGTATACGTCTTACACCAAAGTGGATTAAAAACGTTTTTACTGGTGAAAATGAGACCGGTTTCAGCTTGTGAAAACGAAAATGTATGGAGTGCGCGCATGTAGTATGTTTTAGTTTATGGGAACCAAAATAACGCAGTTCTGTAAAATATGCGCACGTGCCCAAATGTCAACGCGCACCAAATGTCAGTTCGTGGTGTCGGGGACAAAATAAGGAAGGTCTCACAGTAACTCGTAGAAGTGTTTGTAGAATCTACACAGTGTACGGTAAGGCTGTAGGGTCTACATAGTGCATGTAGCGTCTGTGCAGGTGTTTGCAAGTCTAAAAAGTGTTTAAGTCTACTGATTGTGTAGTATCTACAAAACATACAGACCCGCAAAGCAACACATACAGTCTTACCATGAAGATGACTCTTGGGCAGGAGGGCACCGGCTTTATCTGCCAACTCGCCTACCAGTGAGTTGCCTAGCAACAGAATGTCAATGGCCTCCTGTTTGCTGCCGTCAAAGAAGTTGTTCTGGATGGTGCGAGTGACTGAACGAGCCCCATCTCTCAGCTTGCCAGCCTGTTTTTAGTTGGATACAAGTTGAGTTAGTTTTGAATCAAGACTGGAATTGGATCTTTGTTCCAGTCAGGCAGCTGGGCCTATTTTCATGGCTCTGCTTACCGTTAGCAAAAATTCCCTGCTAACTGCAGCAGAAAATTCTGTTCTTACAGTAAGCATATTTTACGGGTTAGTGAGGATTTTTGGCCTGGAAGCCGCCATTTTGTTTAAAGAAATTAGTATTTACACCAACGTTTTAATTTATATAAAATGGCCACGTCCCCATTACTGCACGGTTCCCAAGACATTAGTTTGAAAAAGTACAAAAACAACTGTGCAAGGGCGCTCTGCAACAATGCAACCATTGCAATTGTTCATTGACGCCTTGGGCCAAGGCTATTCTTACCCTGGTCCGGCCTTCCAGAGCTCCAGTACCAGCGTAGATACGACTCACATGATCTCCGTTCAAACCCCAGATGGTCCTGTAGACCTCCTCAAAACGAGACAGCATCTGAGGTTTACTGGCCAAGCCGAAAGCTTCAAGCTGCCTGGGAATCATCTGACAAAAGAAGACAATGATAGGGAGATTTATCCACAGGTACTTTCATTCTCCAGTGACTTGGGTTTGGAATTTCACCCAGACTTACGGCCCCTCAATTCATATCAGGATGAGTTCCGAACAAGTTATCAGTATTGGTGAGTTAAGCAGTTGCTCATGAAAATTTCCCCGGAACATGTCCGAGACAAATGCAGAGCTTCTCCCAGACAAAGTGAATGATTCTACCTCCAACTTGATCAGAACTCGAAGTTGTATACAAGTCATTTAACGTCCGTTTTAAAAACACTTTTAAGGAATATTTGGTGTTATCAGTAAAATAAATAAGTCAAGAAGATTTCTCCTGATTGTTCGAGTCACTGAAAGTACTTCAAATAGGAAATGGCGCTTACCAGTAGGCCAAAGAATGCTTGTACGGCATTGGTCCGATCCAAGCAGTCCAGGCAGTTGGTGCGTATGGTGCCTGTCTGCACACTGGAAGAAAAAAGAAACAAAATACAAAAAATAAAGAAAACTGGACAAAAATATAAGAAATACCTATTTTAGTTTGGCAAAGAAGTGGTAGCACAGTATGGAGTACACACATCAGTAACCACAGTTTAATCCTTACACTGTATGTAAAATATGTTTGTCAGAAAAAAAATTCTAAACAAAAAGCCCGCCGCACACCGTTGCGATTTTACCAGCTCACTGGATCACTGGTACTTTTTTTCACCGTTGCGGAGATGGCAATGGTACCCCCACACATGGCCGATTCCGTTCTATAATCGGTCACATGATGACCAGTCACATGATCACCAATCACATGATGTCAAAATAGAAGCCGTCAATTTTGAATCATGTGACTTCCTTTGCGAATCTGATTGGTTAACACAAATAGCGCGTCCGGTGAAATCGGAGTGCTTCCCGCACACCTTTCTGGCACCACCAAATTCGAAAAGATTCAACATTTTTTATTTCATCAGGTCACCCAGTGTACAGTCAGAGGTGTGCAACTGCCCAGTTTACAACATCCAGATGGCCATGCCAACTACTGCTCAAGATGAAGAAAGTCCGCAAAACTTGCAAACTCACTTCTTGGTCTTTTCTCCTTCCAGGTGGAAGAACTCGAAGGCATCCAGGTATTTCTGGACTTTTGTCTGCAGGATCCTGAGATAATCTCGCTGGCGTGACATCTGATGATAGTCAAAGAGAATGTGGGGAATGTCCTGGGCATGGGGAGAATTCTTGTGGTGATTCTGCATGGAAAACAAAAGAAAAATAACCGTCAGAATAAAAAAAAAAAAATGAATGTACAAAGTGTGTTTCTGAAATATAAAAGGGAACGTCCTGAGTTGGGAGATTCTGGCTACATGTGGAACTCCTCTCTGCTACATAGCTTCAACAGGCCAATCTATGAAGCTGGCCCAAGGTCGACCCGCGATATGACAACCTTATGACCTAGAGTCAAAGTGTGGAGTCTCTCAATTCAATGTTAATAACGAAGAGCTACAAATGCCTCCACAGTTGCAGACAAAACCTGGCACAGGAAAAAACAGATTACCAGCCAGACTGTCTTGAGTTGTGGGTGGTCATGACTGGTACTCTGTAGATGTTTGCTGACCACAAATTATATCTGATTATATTTCCTGCTAAGCTGAAATTTGGCCTAGAGCTGAATTACCTGGAATGCCTTGCTGAGTAGGTCCTCGCCTTCTTTGCTGCCTAACAGATTGACGATGGCCTGGTCGCCATACTGTGTCTTAATCATGGACATGTGCCTGTAGACAAAAGCAAGAAACAAATCAGATTCCTTGTTTTAGGATTTTTTTTAGTATTGCAGCTACTTTGTAATTTCTGACGGAACCCCCCTTTAGGTTTTGATGAATAGATAGAAGAGCGCCCTCTGGGGTTAATAAACAGACCTAGTATAATTCATACGACGTATTACCTATCAAATGCCGGGGCCGAGGCTTCGTAACCTCTGGCCATCTTGACCCGATGTGAGCCGACCTGCAAACCTGGCTGCTCCCAGAATAGAGGTACGGAACCGCGGGTCTGGACGAATGAGGAGACATTCACATCGTCCAGGAAAATCACCTGTATAAAAACACAACACAGCTTGAAACTAATAGACAGACCAAGACCAAGACTGCAAAACAACTACATGTAGTAATCCTGTCAACCTTTACACAGGTGTTTTCATAAGGGAATATGAGCTTGGCCGGTTTTAAACAAGTAAATTTAAACCGGCCAGGAGCCTGAGCTGAGGGCAAAGGACATTATCAACGTCGAGGCCCCTGAGCTGGTCTTAAACGTACTTTGTTTAACATCAGCCAAGCACATATTTATTGCCATTCAATAATACCTTGAAACGACCATAAATTGTTAAAGCAAAAACAGTGATATAAGTTGTATGTAGATCAAGCTATCGAGGGGCTTTTGAGTATTGGCCTAGGTATGCTCTACCATTCATAAGGCCAAATAAAAAACAAACATATTTAGCTTCCTGCCTTTTTGAAAAAATGGAAGGAGGCAGCCCCCCTTGTTTTTCCCCTCCAAAATGGCCGCCCGACCAGGCTATTTTTCAAGATGGCTGCCAGATTTTTATAAAATGGCCGCCACATGGACTCAGGAAATGACATACCAGCTTTATATGGGCTAGATGCAACAGACAAAGAGGCCAAATGATATCACTGTTTAAAATTTATCATTTTTTTGGTTCAAAAAAAAATAAAGGAGGCGGCCTCCGAAAAGGAAGTGGGCGGGGACGCTAACAAATTATTTTTTTTTATTTGGCCCAAAGAGTCTGTGTCAGCGATCAATATTAGATTCTTTCTTTACCTGTTCAGTTTCACAGAAGTTTGCAACCTGACCGTCGTCATTAGTCCCACGGACGTTGAATCGCGTGCCAGCTCTCTCACAGCTAAGCCGTGATATGAGGCAAGCCTTGGCCTGTCGCGTGCCGCAGTAGATGGTTCGAATCTCAACACCCCCACACATGATGACAAGCAGCCAATCGGAACAGTTGACATTATAGCGCTGGAGATGCAAGTGCAGGGTTCGATTCCTGTTGCAGACATGTGTAAAGAGTTTGTGACAATTTTTTTGCAGAACAAATTGCTGATTGTTAAAAGAAGGAGATCTTCAGTCAAGTTGAAAAACACCGAACCAGTCACAAATAATTGACATCATACACAATTTTGGCTGGAAACATTTCCAGAGCTTGACTCTTTGACATTGGATTGTTTTAAAGGGCCAATGCAATGTAAGTTTTTAAAGCAATCCTTGAAAATGCACCTTTGTGTCCCAATTAACCTTAACTTTAATTTATTCATTTTGCCATTTTGTAGGGTATTTTGGTGCCTTTTCTATTTTTATACATGCAATTTTCATATTCATGAGCAAAACAGAAACATCAATGTTACAGCTATTTCAGCACAAAAAGTTGCTAGAATTTTGGATATTTTGCTGCCATAAATCCTTTTTTCTTTGCTGATTCGTTCTAGGTCAGTTCATGGCAGTAGGCCAAGAAGCAACCCTTTCTTACAAATGTTTTCATTGACTAAAGTTTTGGGTTCACAAGTTCAACAGAAAACTCCTAAACTGAACAGTGTCTTCCTGAAATGACATCAACAGTACATGTACAGTGCCCTAAGTTGTCTAAAAAAAAAAAAACAAGTTACAAAAGTGCACTTTTCAATAAAATTAACCAAAAAGGATTTCAAAAAGTTTTCATACAAGGGGAGAAAGTTGCACATATCATCAGCTCAACAGATGCTAATGTTTCCAAACACTACTCGTCCGTGCTTAAGAAATTTGTATTTTTAGCATGAAATCTGGAGACGGGTATTCATTTACCAGAAGAATCTGTTGTCAGTTGAGTGGTCTTGCTTCTGACGCTGAGCACACAGACTCAAATCAAACTGGGCTTGTTGGGAGGATGACGACCAGACGAAGTAGAACGTCCCAGAGCTGAGTAGCTTCCTAACCTCAGTGATGCGTTCCTCGTCACCAGGGTCGCGTCGTAGTGAGATGAAGGACGTCGCCGTGATGCGGAAGATTTCTGACGACCCCACCTTGCCGACGGAGACACACCCGGTAACGATGACTAAATATAGCACAGTCTGCTCTCCTGTTGAGGCAGAAATTATAAAAGCAGCCGTGTTGAGACTGATTCACCCTGTGTAAATTACGTGGTTATGGCTTGTAAGTACACATAGTCTACACCGATGAAGCCCCTTGGCCAAGTATTTTCCGACACAGCCTAAGCTAGGGAAGATCTAGCTCAAGTAATATTGTGAAAGTTTATCTGGTCTTATGAATATAATTATAAAGTTAGCACCAGGTGTTCCCGGCTTATTTCTCTTGTTTTGCTCTCAGGATTATTCCTCTGTATTTGAACTTCTTACCAATGTTTAGTTTAAGAACTCCAAGACATCCATATCCGTCCATCAATTTCTGATACTGTCTTTTCAGTGTTTCGGTTTCTGCCTGGCCTGTGATGTGCAAAACATTGAGATATTTTCAATTATTAAATTACCATTGTAGGCTAATAAAAATTAAATGTTTATTTACCGTGAATCGCATCTTGCATTTTTTTCCATTTGTCTTCTGCGCGCATGCTCACACCATTATTTTTAATAATTACAATAAGACTTTTTTTATTAGGCCTATCATCCTAACTCAAGCAAATGCGACGCTTGATGATGGATGGGTGGACGGTACTTCTAGAATTAGAAGGCTTCTCTCCGTCAGCTGACGGAGAGAAGCCTTCTAATTCTAGAAGTAGGTGGAAGGGCATGAAGGGTGGATGGAACAATTGATTTCATCCTATATTATCTCAATGTACAATGATTGAAGGTCAGTTGTTGCAAAAATCTTTAAAATAAAACTTAAAAAAATAAAAGACATAAACCTCGGATTGAGTGAGAAATATTTCAATTTTGTTCGAAAATTATGTGCCTATAAATACTGGCGACAGGATGCAACATCTTTCCAAATTTGAAAACAATGTTGTTTCTAATACAACTAACTATCATCCCACTTTCACAATCCCCGCCCCGCCCCGCCCCGCCCATTCCATGGTTCCACCACCGCCGCCCTGCCTGTTCGTACGCGCTCGTGTACTGTTGTTGTGTAGGCGGATCGCTTCCTAGTCCTAGTTCCGTATCATCAGCTTCAAAAATACTCATTGAAAATGTGGAGATTGTACTCACTTAAAACAGCCACTGCGTCGGATTCGAAGAGCAGGGTCTCTTGTCTTTTTCTGGTCTCCAAGATTACGGAATACGGTGGCTCTAACTTATGATAAACCCGAAAAGATTTCCCGAAAGTAAGTGCCATTTTCGCACTGACGTTGATCGCTTCAGCTGGAAATCCTGTACCGGATGTATTTTGTGTACCACCGGCCGGTACCGGACTACCGGTGTGATCTATGAAGGGCGATTTAGTGTCTGATCCCAGACTCTCTGCGTTTAAAAAGTGTTGCGCAGTATCATACATCAGTCGTCGGTAAAACAGCCGTCGTTCGAATTTCGCGCGGTCAAGCTTTGTTTTCGCACATGTCGCATTTCTTTGCTTTGAACTTTTTGAGAAGATTAAGAACAATTGGCTTACCTGTTGAGGCAAGCTTAAGAAGGAAAACAGGATTTGGTAAGATATCGTTCTTTTAAAAATGAGGAAAGTAAAAGTATCCTGAAGCGTCTTCAGCGGTTGTGACTTGTGAATTTGATGTGAAGTTGTGTACAAAGTCTATGGGAAAGAATATTGCAACCTGATGCAGTGGTCATGGTGGTTGTGTACAAAGTCTATGGAGAGTCTAGAAAATTGTGTATTTCCTAACATAACAAAATTGGAAATGTTTCTCAGTCCCAGATTCATGTCTTATCATCATTTTTGCAATGATTGAGAGATGATATATGAAGAAAAAGTGGCGCCAGGTTGTTCTTTTCAAAAAATAAAAATGGTTGGGGGGCCGGGGGGGGGGGGGGGGGGGCCTATTCTGAAATTGTTCTGATGTCGTGACTGTCAGGATTCATCATGTTCATGCTCGCACAATGTCTCAGTCTCACTACAAGTACAGTGAGTTTAATTAATTTTGATTATGTTTTAGATATTTGTCAATTTTGCAGTCATTCCTACGATCTACAATCACATGATGGCTGAAATGAATAGCGGAGATGCTGATACCAAGCGTCAATGCACTCGACAGACGATAGGCACTCACAACGGATCGTTCCATTGCGATGAGGCTCTTGCTTGTTTTCTTCTACGCCAGTTGCCAGAGTACAAAGATGCAGGTAAAACGGAACTTGCAAAAATGATACTTAAGTTCTATGCTCACTGACACTGAGAACATAAAATCCTTAAGTTTCCTTGTTTTAACTTTTATTTTTGTTTGTCACTTTAATTTCATAGAAATTATAAGAACAAGGAACCAGTCTGTTCTAGACACTTGTGACATCGTGGTTGACGTTGGCGGTGTGTTTGATCCAAGCAAACATAGATATGATCATCATCAACGGTAGGCCTATGTTCTTGAAATCTAAATAGTTTAGAAAACCAACAAGGTGATTAGTTATCAACGTCCTCTGGATTGTTGGCAATCAATTTACTCAACAAACAACAAGATTGGAGTTTACAAAAATAGAAGAAAGACTAAGTTTGTATAAGGTGCTTATCTTAAAAATGAGATTCGTGTATTCATTTGCCGATTCTAAAAGATTTAACACAATTTCCTATTTTGTAACAGTTGCTGAATTGGCTGTATGATTTTAACTTTCTGATGAACAGGTCTTTCTCCCATTCCATGAACTCTCTCCGTCCTGCAAAGCCATGGACTACCAAATTGAGTAGCGCTGGCTTGGTCTATCTTCACTTCGGTGAGCGCGTCTTGAGAACGATCAAGGGTCTTAAAGATGCTGATGATAGCAAAGTGCAGGCGATCTATGACAAAGTCTACGAGAACTTCATCGAGGAGGTTGACGCCATTGATAACGGGATTGCACAGAGCGATGAACAACCGAGGTATTTGAACACTCACAAATCCTTTACAAACCATTTAAGTCACAAGCAAATTCACAAGTCTGGTCATAAGTAATCACATAAGTCCATCACAAGTGTTATGACAAGTAAATCACACATCCAGTCTGTGTGTTCAGTGTGCTCACTGGACCAGTCATAACTTCATTCACAAGGACGTCACAAGTGCAGTGACAAGTAAAAGGGGATGAATAATAATTTAAACAAAAATGAAATTGTGAGTCAACTCAGAATGGTTTGTCACTTTCTTTTCCAGATATTTAATCACAACCAACCTGAGTTCCCGGGTGAAACACCTCACTCCTGACTGGATGGATCTCAGCCCGGATGAAGAGGTAATCAATGTCACTGTTTGATACGACATTCATAAATACCTAAGACAGTTGACCCATTCCTATTGGTCAAGAGCCTGTCACTGGCTGGCTGGACTCTTCCAGTGTTACATGAAATTTGGACTCCTATGAAATTTGGTCCCTTTTACTGTTGTATTGGTTGAAATGTTCACATTAATACATTGTACTCACGCACAGGGTCCGCAATAAGCGGTATCGCATCGCAATTTGCGACACATTCGAGGCCGACTGCGACGCAATTTTTAAAGTGCATCGCAAAACTGCTATACAACATTTTGATCATGAAAAGTTGACACAAAGTGTACTTGCCACCAAATTTCGGTCCACTGAATTCCACAACTATCGGACATGGTAAACATCCATCATGTTTTGATTTAGTTAAGCTTAAATACTGAAAAAGAAGATCAATTTTGTTCAGCTGTATAAAATCTGTACGTGTTTAGTTTGTAAACAGGCGGCGCGCGTCTGATGGGCCAATAACGAGACCACGTGATAAACGCAGCTAATAATTTGGAATCGCACTTATGATCCGGACATAAGGAATGCCCGGAGCGTCAGTGCGATACCAAATTATCCATAGCATGTATCACGTGGTAAATCACGTGCATGATCGGAGGAGGTGCAGGACGTACGTCGAGATTTTACCTCGTACTCTGAATCTGCTGCGACTGTGCAAGGAATAATTTATGGATTTATAAAAGAAATAACACGTTTGTACACTATCTGGTCAAGTATTCAACAAACTTTATTCTTATTCTCACTCACTGGTAAATATATGCATGAAATGAGTATTTTGGTGGCTAAAAAAAGTTACATGCACGTCGTGCATGCTCAGTAAAAAAGCTACGTGCACAAGCAAAAATCTACATGCTCTGGTGCATGCGTGCACCCGGGTAAATCGAGCCCTTTTCTCATCACTATTCTTTAGATATTTGTCGGTTTATCTTAAACATTTTGCCGACACGGAAAACGGGTTTACCCCTTCAAGTAAATCACTTGATATGTACGTGGGATTCGTGGGAACTAAAACGTCAAAATCCCAGCTGTGTTGTCGTTTGTGCGCTGTGTAGCATATTGATGAAAACATGGTTACTACGAAAACTACCGGTATCAGGGCAAATACTGCCAATAATTGGCGGGCGGATCTAGACCCGGGCCAGGAATGGCCCGGGTTAATAAATTGCTTTTTCACTCGAAAGTTATTCCAGCAAGCATGCAGCTCCTGAAATAAACAGACAACTGATGAGTCATTAAGTTCACAGCTTAACGTAAGTTACTTCTTTATTGCTTTGCAATTTGTACAGTCTGACACTGACAGGTAAATAGTAATTGCAAAGCCGAGGCTAAATTTGAGTATAACAAAACTGCTATGCAAAATTGGTAAACTGCTATGCAAATCAAAATTTGCATAGCAGTTTTGCTATACAAAAAAAAATCCTTAAGGCTTACCCTGCTCACGCATGCGCAATACTAGCAATGAATTTCTGTATTCCGAGAGTCTTAACATTCACACTACTACAGCCTTCAGCTCGAACCATTATCAGCATCCAGGCCCACAGCTGGTCGAAATTGTACTTGTTTAAAAGCGGCCAAGCACAAATTTATTCCTTTATCAATGATTAAAAGAGAAGATTGGTGACTAATCTCAACTACCAACTTCAAACCAGACTTGTGTTTCATTATTTTGTTTTTGCCGTTTCAAGGGTGGCTTTAAAAAGGCCATGGAGCTGACGGGTTTAGAATTTCTGGACAAAGTCAATTACTACAATACCAGCTGGTGGCCGGCCAGGGAACTTGTGGAGAGCGCCCTCGATGGACGCTTTGAGGTACGTTGCAATCCTTGAACTGCATCTAATTTTAAATTTACAAATCTACAATTTGAAGAAAATAGTAAAAGAAGCTCATTTCCAAAGATTAGTCAAGTGACACATTTTTGGAAATTTCTGTTGGTAGTCGGATTATAAAAGGGCAAATCTGTGAATGGGTCTGTGCAAGCGTTGACACGATGCACGCACATGCTCAGTTGCTATTATTCGTCGGTTTAGTGCCTGGCATCGCGTAGCTTCAATTGGCTGAATGAGAATGTGTCCCAGATGCTTTTTTTCGGGCACAATTCAAAATATGACTCGGCAACTTTTGAATTGAAATCGAGATCCTAGAATATTTTCTCGGAATAAACAGCCTTCACAGAGCTAACACTTCATGTTAGTTGTTCAGCACCCGTCTTTAGATTTTGAGCACTTTTGTTACTTCAAACGAAACAATACATATATGACAGATGATCTACCCTACCTTTAACCTGTTTCTGATAAGCACATATGTTATAAGCTTAGTACATGTACATGTTTGCGCTTAGCAGTTCTGTTAAATGTACCCCTGGTATTAATTTGGATTCCTCAGGTTGATAGCAGCGGTGAAGTGCTAGTCTTCAGTCAAGGAGGATGTCCATGGAAGGAGCATCTCTATGCCCTTGAGGAAGCCAAGAAGATTGAGACACCGGTCAAGTACGTCTTGTACACAGACCAGAACGGCAAATGGAGAGTGCAGTGTGTCCCCGTCTCAAGTAACTCCTTCAGTAACAGGTAGGAAAAGAAAACGACTTGAGTCTCAACTGCTCTCATGGCCTGATGAATGGGGGTAATAATTATGAATTTCTTCAAGAGTGCAAAAAGGGACAAATGAGCACCTGTACTTCATAGGCACCTGTGCTCCATAAGCACCTGAAAAATAATATGAAGTTCTTTCCTTTTTAAAAAAAAAAAATTTATTTAGGCTGTCATTGCCGGAGAAGTGGCGCGGCATCCGGAACGAGGAGCTGTGTACCCTGTCCGGTATCCCAGGATGCATCTTTGTCCACGCTAATGGTTTCATTGGTGGGAACGAGACACACGAGGGCGCTCTTCAGATGGCCAGAACGTCACTTGCTCAATCCAAGTAGAACGTAATGGGTTGAGTACAAGGCATGGAATGCGGAACATAAAATCTGCAACTATTGGGACAGTTTCCTGAAACTTAAAGGAAATCTAAAGCCAGGGTCTTTTTTCAGGATGCTTAAGAAAACAAGAATATTTCTCGGCAGAAATGGCCCAGCTACCCAAATTTAAATGTGAAGTGTAATACATGTACTGATAAGATTTGTCGGAATATAAATTTGTTGTCCAGTATTTTATGCATAGCAGCCAGGGTTTTGCCTCAAAAAAAAAATTAAATAAATAAATAAAACTAGAAATTTTACAAGTTTGGTGTAAAAAAATAAGACAAATAGATGAAAAAACAACCTTTGTAAGTTACACAAATCACATTACGGTTTAATATCTCTGTACATACTACTCATGGATTTACACAAACGCGTATCAAGACCGATTCCTATTGTTTAAACCAGTATGGGTTTTCAAACAATCTTTATATCTTGACAAAAAAGGTGTGCATGTGTAACATTTTTCTATGTTTTATAGGACAGGAAAGATCAAGAAATATTCAATAAAGTATGTGCTCAACAAGTGCTGTTACTGCTTTCAGCAGAAAATGAATGTCAATGGTGTATAACCTTATTATTTTGACCTCCCTTTCCCAGCCTTTAAAAAAATTGAAAAAATTTCCAAGATTTGATCCAAGTTAAATCTACTTAAAACTCACTCATGACTACAGTTTTTTTTTGTATGACTATGTACACATGTATAAAACAAACTCAATTTAAAGCAATTTATGATAAATTCATCACACAGGAACTTCACAGTTTGAAGCGAGTTTTGTCCGCAAGATTTTACTCCCAAAAGTCCTTGTGAGGAACCAATTGAAATGGTGACTGTGAAGACTGTTTTTGCCAACCCAATAGTTAGGGCTGTCCTGAATAATATCGAATATTCCATCATTAACCAAATATACAAATTGTTTTTCACTGGTTTGAATCTTCAAAAAGAAAAACACCATGCACCTAAAGTTGCAGTTTTCTTATTGTCAGATGCTCCTTTTTGTCTACGGAAATTTTTTGTCGACGCCAAATTATTGGTCTAATTTTTTTAAGATGGGTAAAGTCCCTTGACAGTTATACAGTACTTAATGCAAAACACTCCAGTGGCCCATAATAGCCATCGCCGCATACACATTTGTGACCTGTTCTGTCCAAAGCAGACGCTTCTGGGCAGAGGTTAAAATTGAGATAGGGCCAAAAACGCTGTGGGGGTGATTTTTATCGATTTTTAAATGTTTGCATATTTGTAATCCTGAACATGTTTAAAATATATTACAAAATTTGAACTCTACATATTCTATTTTTTGATGATTTTGATAGGGTATATCAGTTAAAGAAATAACTGTTTTGTGACATTTGTGGCCATTTTCTCCGTATTCTACTTTTCGACACAATGAACTTCAAAATAGCATAACTCAGCCCAGGAATGACCGGTTTCAAAACTTAAACCACCTATTAAAAGGGAAAAGAACATATGTTAACAATATGTAAAAATATCATTTTCGACCTTATGCCCAGAAAAGTCTGATTTTGACAGAACAGGTCACATTTGTTTTCAACTGTGTATGAAGTTCATGAAGTTGAGGTATCACATTTTTTTTATGACATTTTGTGAAAGCCCATTACAAAAAATACTGGACCGAAAATACTGATCAACATATGGGTCGTTAACCCCCTCCCCTGAGCGTATGTTTTAACGCTTTTAAAAATTTTTGATAATTGTGTATGAACCTGCTAGTACCGTCACTGGTGTTTGTAGTTAAAAAGTTCAATTTTGATTTTTATTTGGGCAAATTAACAGATCTCACAGAAAAAAAAGCTTTGATACTTAACATTTGAGTGCTACAACAGTATCAGTATACACAATGTATCTGCCCAGCATGCATAAACCATCCCAAATAAGGGAAATTATTCTAAAAAGGTGAATTTTCAGGGAGGAAACAAATAAATTAGTGGTCCATTAATCATTTTACAAAAACTGGAAATAGTTGCTGTACTGTTTTTGTTTGTTTGAGGTAACTATTTATTTATTTTACAAAAATATGCTCCTGCAGATATTCCAAAGATTATACAAAACCACACTTCACAAACTCACTTGGATCCTAAGAGCTACCAATTTTAAAATTACTGGAGGATTTAGTAAGAGTACACAAAGTCTTAAGAATCGACCAAAAAGTTCTACTTTGGCAGTTACTTACTAGTAAAACAAAACTTTAGACGCTTAATAATACAAATACATATTTTCCCCGCACATAAAAAGACACATATTACGAAGATCAATCATTAAACAAAATTCATTTTGATAAAATTTGCTACAAACTGGACATTAATGGTGCAGTTGTCGTAGTGACCTCCGGCCATAGCTGTGGTCTGCTCGGTCATCGGCCCGACTGACTGGATTCCTACTCCTTTGCCTCAATCGGGAAGGACCTTGCTGCCAGGCCTCCACAGCCTGTGGGAGGTTCCACTTGAGGAGGTTGACGTAGAAATCTTCCAGTTTCTGAGCTTGGAGGATGACGTGTTCATCATCCTGTGGAAGACAATCAGAAATGGCCAAGAACTAAATATGAATGGATCGGACAAATTGGGGAGTCAGGTCGGCATAGCAAAGTACTTTCCTCGCCTTCCACCACTTGGACCTGGGTTCGAATCCCGCCTGGGCCAATATGTGGATTGGGTTTTCAGTCACTGCCTGATTCCGTGGGTTTTTCCCAGAATATCCTTCTGGGGTTTTCCTCCCACCTCTAAAACTGTTATTTCTTCTCATTGTCTTCTCTTTACAGGTTTCTTCAGGCTTGCGAGCTACAGTGCCTAGGGTGCTTTTGAGGCATCCTTGGTTTCAGTACCATAAATTAAATTAATAATAACAAGTCTCATGACATTTTTCGCTTGTTCATTTTTCATATGTGAACACACAATGGATGAGCTGAAAATGCATTTTTCATGTGAGGCTGTTTCCGAATTACTCGGCTACTGCTTGAAATGACACACGCGCCTATGGAAGCGGATACAGCCACTTCCCATAGCCCTGTGTGTTATTCCCAGCATAGCCAAGTATTTCCAACGCGGCCTAAGTCAGAATCCAATCTCACAAAGCTGCTTATTACATAAATCTTCTCACCACCAAAAAATATTTGCTTAGCAATAACCGTTTACCAGCAAAAGTTCATGTAAATTAATATGGCTCATCAATGGTTCCCCACTGCTTTATACTTAGCACGTGAAATTCCTAAGCAATCTTCTACTAAGCAGGAACGGCTTAGCAAAACAATGTTGTGACAAATTACCTCATAATATTGCTTAGCATTAGTGAAGAGTAAGCGGACATCGTCGAGGAATTCCTGCTGTTTGTCGTATTCCTCGCAGCTACATCGGTCCTTCAACATGTGAAGGTCTACAGGATTGGCAATGACCTCTTCATAGTCTGGCGCCTGAATAAAGGGCAAAATATGGCTTTATGTTATATAGCGGATAGTCAAGAAGCAACACACAAATTGTGCCAATTTACTGGACACTGAATTGTGTCTGAAAAACAATTCCAGAGCAACGGTTACGTCTGTAATCGCCATATTTGCATGCACATGGTCGAAACTGTTGACAACATTTTGTCAAACAATGGGACATTTGGGAGATATAGTTTCAGTAATGAAGTATGTTTTATAAGATTTGAGGCTTTGCATGGTGGGGTATCGGTATCGTTTCGGTTTGCGGTAACACCATGTGGTAATAACTACTGCTTAGGAGATATTAGTTCTGAAAAGAACTTGTCCTGCTTATTATCAACTTTGCTGACGATGACTAGAGCAGGCTAGTGCAGGCTAGTCGAAACGTTGAGACCAAAGACAAGTTCGTTTAGAACTTACAGCAGGACTGTTCTTAACAGAACCAAAAAAAAACTACCTAGCAAAGTTGATAATAAGCAGTAGTTATTACTAGAAGTATGTTTTCTTACGTCTGCTGGATCCGGCATGGTACGGAACGGACCACTATCCCTGTATCTCAACATCTTGCCAATGATGTCTTCAGCAATCTGAGAAAAGGTTTCAAGAAATCATTTTAGTGAAAAGTAAACTTTATCAATTCGCATTCAGTGTTTTTGCTTTATTTACATTCAGTAACAATGAATGCAGCCGTGACTGTTTTTGTGATGGAGTTGTGACTGACTTATGATCGACCTTGCGGTTGACTTGTGATCATCTTGTGATCTACTTGTGACTGACCTATGATTGTCTTGTTATCTACTTGTGATCGTCCTGTAATCGTCCTGTAATCTACCTGTGATTGACTTGTGATTGACTTGTAATCGTCCTGTGATCTACTTGTGATTGTCTGATGATTGACTTGTGACTGACTTGTGACTGTCTTGTGATTGTCTTGTTATCTACTTGTGACTGCCTCATTACCTTGCAAGTGAAGACAATCTTAGTTTTCTTAGCAGCAGCTTTCGCCTCCTCTTGTGCTTTCCTCTTCTTTGTCAATCGTTGCTTCTTCTTCTTTGCCAGAGCTTCCTTCTTAGCTTTCTGCTCCGCCCGCTTGGACCGTGAGGAGCGAGCGGGGTTCAGACATGAGGCACACACCCAGCGACCTCTGAAATTAAGGTCAAATTAGAAGACAAAGAGGTCATTTAAGATTTAAATATTTATATATGTGAAGCAAAGGGACAAAAAATGCGAGAAGTCACAAACATGTTTCACAGGCACGATGAGCAGGGGTAATAATGTAAAGCGTTATGAACTAAGAAAAAAATCCATATATGGGCTCCAAGTGCAAACAAAAGAGGGCGTTTTTTTTACAGCTTTTGAAATCAGCGTGGACGGGACACACAGCGTGTGCATACTGTTCTGGTTCAGTGCCAAGTACGCAGGACTTCCTGAATGTGCCAAAACTATATTAGCCACAGCATCTTTGCATGCGCGTAAGGCGTCGTCGGCACGAATGCATTCAAATTTCTCTTTAGATAGTCTCCCAGACTAATCCCCGCCCCCCCATAACTTTGGATCATTTGAAATACGCAGTGGATGGGAACCAGTCTAGGTCACCCCAACTCTCCTTTTCTGGCCATTGATTGGGTACTTGTGCACGAAGTCCATAAGTGCCCATTATTATTATTATTATTTTTTTTAAAGTCTGAAGTCATTTGTCGCCAAAGGGTTGTCATATTACCATTCTTCAGGATTTACAGGTAACAGTTTCTATATTGTTCCTGCAACCTTTTTTTGGCCAAAATCTTTACTTATATAATCTACAGGTGTATTACGTTACACATTTTGAAAGAATTTTGATGATCACTGAATTTTAAACTGAATTATTCTTACCTGGGGAAGTTGCGCATAGGTGGTTCATGGCAGTCCTTGTGATAGGCCAGCGGGCATTCAGCACACAGTACCAACTCACCAGCCTCCGAGCAAACCGTGCATATGTCTTCATGCTCAATCACATCATTGGATTCTGAGTCTTCAGAATCAGAATCAGCATCATCATCCTCATCATCAGATGAACTCTAGAAGGCAATATTAAGAGAAATCTTATTACTCCCTATAGGTCTCTCTCAAAGACGGTTATGTCTGTAGGAGAACTGCGACTGCGTATTTTACACAATCAAGCACGCATTGTTGACATTTTCCAAACATGCGCCTGTTGCACGAAGAGTGTTCGATGCGTGTTTTGCAAGTTGACGCTCAAAATGCTGATGCACGTGGCTGGTCTGTAGGGAATGACGTCATTTGAGAGAGACCTATTCAAGCATTTGTGAGCCGTCAACACAAAATGAAATTCTATTAGGATATAGGTGATCCGATGCGGGATTAGGTGATCCCATGAGAACATCTAGATTCATTTGGAGATGAGCCAAGTACATCGACATGGGAGCTGAGGACCCTAATGCGGGATAGGGAAGAGTGGAGGGCGGAGACCAAGTCCCGAGAATGTGTAGGCTAGGCTGCATCCTCACAATCGCATCTTATCGCATCGCAGATTAATTTACACACCAGTTTTCATCGGTTGCTATGTGTTACCAATCAGCACTCCAGACTCAAGAACCGTTGAGTTTCAAGAACATAAGTCTGGGAGCTAGATAAGCCGATGTATTAAACAATTCCAAGATGTCTACGCCCATCTCTAGTTTTTTTCTACTGTACTCAACTACATCCTTGTTTGAATGCTGCACGACCTCATGCACTTTCAGCATCACAGTATCGGACTCTAATTTTCAAGATGGATGATTTTCAGAAAAGAATTATGTCAAATATCAGTTTCTTTATTTTCTTTTTGTTGGCTCACCTCTGATTCGTCGGAGTCATCCATGCCTTTGTAGCTACGATTCCGTGCGTTTCTCCTTGTAGATGGCTGCAACAAAGTACAAAAGCTCACAATTCATGCTTTGATTTGTCATAATCTTTAAGTTTCAAAATTCTTCATCGGATGTTTCAATCGATTTAAAAATTAATACAAGGCTTACAATATTTTTAAAAATCTGTTTTTAACCAGGTTTACAGAAGAGTCCCTTTTTGAGAGAACACATCACAACTAAACAACGCTCACAAGAGTTTCAAAATTTGGATTGGACGAAAAAACCTCCGGGAATCTCTTAGGAAATATTCTGTAATCTTGGGAAATATTCTAAAATATATCTGTCAAGTACTGACCGCGCAAGCAGGGCACTTCCAATCCCCCTTAGGTACAGTGACGAGCGCTGGCCGTAGACAGAACAGATGAAACGGCTGGTTGCATTCATCACACAGCAGCAGCTGATCCTCGTCACCTTTACGACGGCAGATCTTACACTTGGCATTCTCGGAGGATTTCTCCCAGCGCACGCACGCCTCGTAGACGCTCAGGAGCAGGTGTAAGCGCGACAGTGTGGGGGCGCTCTCCACCGCTTCAATCCACTTGGCTACCTTCTCTGGAATGCCCGGCTCATCCTCTGCAAAACAGAAACAATTAGTATAGATGAATCCGTGAATAAATTGTGATCATTGTACACTTGCGACGCCCCCTTCAATGGCGAGAACATTGTGCATACTATTGTACAAAGCAACTGCCCAGTGACGGATTATCCGAACAATAGCTAGCACAATGCTTTCGCCATTGAAGGGGGCCTTCAAGACAGACAAAATAGCATTCCTGGATTGGTCTATATCTTCAAGAGTGAGGATGCTTGAACAATGCAATTTAGGGGAAACACACACACTGGAAGTATCAGCTTTATTGAAACAATAATCCAATCCAGTAATTTTACTTCAATCAAAAATTGAAAGACTGTAAAAGTTTAATTTTGTAAATAATAACAACCTGTCTCCCAGGGCTTATTATATTTGTTTAAATGGTTTAGAATTCAAAACTAGAATTTGTATCATACTTGTAAAACAAGTGCATCCTACGAAATCAGTAACGCACTTTTGCCATGTAACCTCAATCCTCCGAATTCCTCCACTTTGGCAAAGAGGATTTTGAAGGATTCAGGGCGATTAGGGTTAAAGAAAAAAATCACTAAATGTAAAGAATGCTGCATCCTGACACCACTTTTTTTCATTATATATTACTTTATGAAGGTCAGTCATTGCAAAAATGTTGAAAAGACATGAATTTGGGACTGAGAAACATTTCCAATTTTGTTAGAAAATACTTTGAAAATGCACTCAACTCGCCTTAGACTTTGTACACAACCAAAGAAGCGCCTGGATACTACATTCTTTTTCACATAATTTTGTATAATTTCTATTTGTCCTACCTTCCTGATCACTGTCTTCGTCTCGATCCTCATCTTTGTTGTCATCTTCCGAGGGTTTAGATTTGGGTTTGGGAGGGGCCATGATGCCTTGAAGGAACTTGGGATTGACGCCTGCCTGGCTCTCAATAATTAATCCTCCCTGAGAAAAAACAACAAACAAATAAAACCTCTTAAAAAACCACTATTTCAGATTGGGGAGTGTGGCCTTATGGTTAGGGTTCATTACTCACCACCAGAGTCAGGGGTTCGAATCCAGCTGCTGGCCACATGTTATGTCCTTGGGCAAGCCACTTTACCCCCACTAGCCTCTCCCCATCCAGGAATATAAGTGAGTACCGACATTAGCTGGGGAGTAACCTCCGATGGACCAGCATCCCGTCCAGGGGGAATAGAAATATTCTCAGTCAAATCAAGCCACTGAAACCACAGATAAACGCCGGCCTGATGGGCCACATTGGCTTGTGACAGACTTTATATTTTACTTTACCATTTCAGATTGGCATTCTAGAGTTGTAAGTTTGGTTGGGTGGGACTCGAACCCACAACCTCCTGCTTATGAATAGAAGAGGTCTTGAGCTCACTGGGGTTGGTTGGTTGGTTGGTCGGTTTAATTATATTTTTGTCCTCATCTGTTGACTACTTTGGCATGTTTCTTACCAGATCCTTGAGCTTTGTCGCGTTCTTGACTCGTTCCTCCCACTTGCCTGCATTCACCACCCCTCCTAGGTTGCCCTGCTGGATGTGACTCTCTATGTCTAACAAGTCTTCCCTCAGTGACTGTAAGAGTTCCTTTGGACCGTCCGATTCCCTCAACTCTGGACCAGATCTGTAGGCGGGGAGGGAGATGAGATTATCCAAATTCTTCCAGGACATCGTACAAATGCTCAAGTAATGGAAAAGCAATTCCATTTCGATCCGACGTGAATGAGTAGAGACTCTTAATGCTTCACTTTTAATACATACCTGCAAAAATCAGCACTTTCGTTCTGGCTGTGCACTGTGGTAAGATATGGGTTATATGGCGGCTACCTATTGCGACTTTACATGCCTTCGCCTCACCCAATTCCCGATTTAGCTTCTGCTGCGAGATTAGCCAACACTAAATTTATTTATTTATTTATTTTACTGTTAAAGTAAAATTTTAAATTATCATTTCATAGATCTCCAAAAGATCTAGGTGAGAGTTTTACCTTTACATGAATTTTGACTGAAATTCAAGCAGCTTCTTAGAGTGTTTTTTACTTTTGCTACCTGTAGCAGACAAATTCTTCCAAGGTCAAGTATATTTGAACACACATACCTCCTGGACAGGTTGATAGTCTTGGAAATGTCCTGGTAACGCTTCTTGACCTCGACATAGAGGGCGCTCTCTCTGATGCCCTGGTTATCCAGGGCCTCCATCAGGGTGTCTAGTTCCTTGGCGCTCTCGTACTGGAACCAAAGATTCTGCCCAACCTTGGGAAAACTGTCACGAAAGTAAGAAAAAAAGTAACTAACTGTTATGTCATGTCTCAAAATGTTATGTCATGTCAAAAAAAGGTCATACCATATTACACTATGTCACTAAGTGTCACTCGATTTCCCTAAATGTGACACATTGCTAATTAGAAAGATATAATGCTCCTAAAGGTCAGACCACGGCCATGTCACCATATGCCACTAATTGTCACTCAAGTTCCCAAACTGTGACACAATGACACTTAATGTGGTCCCCATGTCCATAAATGTCACACGTTACAAAATGTCAAACTGTCAGCAAATGCACACTATAACTGAATGTCACATCATGTTTAATATGTCACTCTGTTTCCTTGAACGTCACCCAAGGGCGGATCCAGGGGGGGGCCAAAGGGGGCCATGGCCCCCCCCAAAACGAAACCAATTTTTTTTTTTTTTATGTGACATCGCAATAAAGGCAGGCAATGAGTACACCACCATCTTTTCCTCAAAAAAACATTGGTTAAAGTGGTCAGAAATTGCCTCAGATCGCACCACAGAACATCTAGAATCCAAAAAATTTTCGGGGCCCTTAAGCGGGCCCCGAACCCCACGCCGTAATTTTTTTACCCACTTTTTTGGGGGACCAAAATTTTTTTTGGCCCCCCCCCCCAAAATTGTGTTCTGGATCCGCCCTTGACGTCACCCTACGTCTAGAAAAAAAGTAACAACTAAAAAGAACCAATTTTCACCCTTGCCCTCGTATAGGCCATTGACTTTACAAGCAAAATGTTCAAATATTGGAGTGTTTTAGAGCAAAAGTACTAGCTTTTCTTACGTCTTTTCTGTGCCGTTGTTGTCGTCACGTCCTCCTCCGTTTCCCTTGCCGTCTCTCTTGGCACTATAGGTGATGGTGGATTCTACCCAGCCCTTCTCAATGAACAGACCGGGGGTGACGCTTGAGAAGACCCAGTAACGACTGTGATTACGATCGGTGCCGATGGGGACTTGGCGTAGGGCTAGCTTAGCTTGCTGTATGCCATCCTGGGGAAAGGGGGGGGGGGGAGAGGATGCATTTAAATTGGTAAACAAGAATAAACTGGCAACCTGAGAATAAAACAAAAATAAACTGGCAACCTGAGAATAAAACAAAAATAAACTGGCAACCTGAGAATAAAACAAAATGTTATTAATGCGGTGGAGAGGGTTCGCTATTTTTCACTCGGCAGGAGCCCCCTGTGATAATTGAATTCAATTCATTGTAACATTTATTTCAATGATGCCGTTCTTTACAGTATGTACAAACACGTATATAAATAACATAAGGAGTACAATAATATGATATTTAATGTGTACAGAGTGGAGTGATTAATAACAAAGTAGCAAATTAAATGACAACATTTAGGTATAAGGTTAAGCAGAACGCTTTTGTGTCCTTACCTGTGGTCAGACAAACATACAACCAAGATACATACAACCAAGATATATTCACAAGATTACAAGGAATACTTACTTCAAATTTCTTCTCAAAGATTTCTTGAGCTCTCATTCTTTTGTATTCTTCCTCTCCTTTAATTCTCCTGCAAAAGATGATCATGCAATATCTTAGAATTTTTACATTTTTACGTCACCAGTGACTGTTGTTGTCATTTCTGAATTTCTGGAGCCGTTAGTGGTTCGTCTCCTGGCTAGATGTTGATTTTTAAATTTGTTTTCTTCGGTTATCATTTGTTATTGATATGATCATTAACAATTGTAAAGAGATGCACACAATGTCTTACTTTTCTCGTTCAATTTTCTCTTGTTCTTCTCTCTCAGCTTTAGTCTTAGCTGCTAGAAGACGTCTTCTCTTGACGACTGATGCCAAGTCAAGATTCTCTTCGGTCTCATTGGTTGAGTCCGTCTCCTCCTTGTTCTCCTTCACATCTTTCTTCTTACGTCCTTTCTTCTCTTTGGGTTTTTCATCTGGTTTGACCTCTGAGCCTTCAAAATAAGTAATAGATACACCAATTTTAGGCACTAATCTCCAACTTGTTCACATCATTCTCTGTTAATTCATTTAGTCCTGCTGGATTTGCTTGAAAGAGGGTCTATTGCCGACCATGTAGGTGTAATTTGTTTCAAAGCAAAATTAGCTGCAGATTGAGGTTTTCATCAGAGATTGCTGATAGGTAAGCATGTACATGCTCAAGATGGGAAAAAACGGAGCAAATGTGAACAATCTCAGAAACCTGAAAGCTTTTATACCTTCCCCATTCTGTGTAGCGCCAGCCGCCTCTGCCTTCAATCTTAGCTCTTCCTCCCGTTGTAGCCTCTCCGCCTCCCGTTGTTCCTTCAGTTTCTGTTTCTCTTCTTTGATCTTCTCATTCTTCTCTTTGAGTGTTTGGATCTTGTCTCTCCTGAAACGAGATGAAACAAAAATGTTGGCTTAAAATTCAAGCTTCTCAAAAAGTCAGACTCCTTTCGTTGGAAATAAATCATAAATTGAGTTCAAATTAAACCCTTTAGCACCAATCATCATGATCATCATCATGACTGCTCCTCACAACACCACTAGTTTCTTCCGACTACAGTCACATCTTGTGGATGCCAGATGAAGAGCCTGTGAAAACATGTACTCTCATTGTTTGAGGGGATGGTAGATAAAGAGCAGGGCATCTCACAACTTATTGCAAACATCTTCACAGCCTCCTTGGGGATGAGGACAGTGTGCTGTAACCAAGACAATTCATCAACCTGGCCAGTGACTGTAGCATCACTATTAAATTTGATCTGCCCATCTCTGTGTTAGCAGTGCCATAACATTTCAGTCTGAGGATTACAACAGTCAAGAACTAACCACAATCGAGCAGCGACTTTCTGCTTGTTATCCATGAAGTCTTGGACAGCGTAGGAGGCCAGGATGCGATGGCACATGAAGACTAGTAACTCAAGCTTCTCCTGAGGCTCCAACTCAAAGAACTCGCTGGTCTCCAGTAACTCCACCACTTCCTGAGGCTGAATCAGGAAAAAGAAATGTAGGTCTTCAAAAAATGTGTTCAAAGTTGAACAAAGAAATTGACTGGAGCGAGGTTTGAACCTGTGACCTCCATATTGCCATTTCTGTGCTCCACCAACTGAGCTATCCAGCCCTATGTTGGCAGTTCCCCTGTTGGTAACTCAGTTGGTAGACCACCGACCCCGAAATCCGGAGGTCGCATGTTCAAAACCCGCTCCAAACAATTTTTTTTTGTTCAACTTTGAAGAAAGTATTATAATGCACCTAGTCAGTTTCCCTTTGTGGTTTTTTTAAAAATTAAAAAAAATGGAAAGAGGAAGACTGTGACCAATAAAATTTACCAGGCTTCCGTTCACGAAACTGAGCAGAAATCGGCTCAAACCAGTTGCAAGTAACACGTATCGAATTAAATTTTGGGTAGAAACCAGCCGAAGCAGATCCGTTAAGCACAGAAATAATAGTGTTTTCATCACACTTACCACTTCATCGTCATTGATGAAGTCATCGCTGCCACTGCTGCTACTCTGATCGTCATTGTCCTGGTCATCGTGACGAAGACTGAGACGGAGAAGTTCTGAGGCTGTGTGCATGTTGACGGGAATCTGCGACAGGGACATGCTCAGCTCTTTGTAGTCCTGAAGGCAACCAAAACAGAGGAATTAATGCTGTGTATATTTCAATTTCCCCAATTGCATCAAGTGTCAGAGATTAAACTGGCCTTGGCAAAAAAATCTGAATTTGGACCTTGGGTCCGAGCTGCCAAAGCGTAGCGCAGTGCAGTGCAGTGCAGCGCATCAACGTGGGACCCAGTGAATTGTTTTCCATGTCATAGGTTAGTATTTCACCTTTTTTCCAACCGGAAAAAGATCTGATCAGCGTTGGTCTAGGTGTTTTACACTTGTGCAATATTTTTCGTGCCGTTTTCATCTACTTTTCATTGACTTTTTGGGGAAATTATAATGAAAAAAAAAAAGATTTTGTGAAAAAATCGTTAAATAATCATTTTTGTGGGATCATTAAAAAATCTGAAATTTCATTGGAAAAGTAAAAAAAAATCTGATTTCAGATTAAAATCTGAAAAGTTTCATCTCTGAAGTGTCAATATGAAACTACTTTTGATTTTCATTTTCAAATGATATCCAATTTACCTCAGCGATTTTATCCTGCAGCAAAGTCTTGAGCAGAATGACGAGGACACGAGATAAGTAGGCGAAACCCTCCCTGCCTCCAGCTAAGGCCCTAGTCAGGCAATCTGTGAATGTAGACAGGAAACAGCAACAGGTGAAATACTAGAGATTCAAATGGTCTTAGTGAAGTAAATAATGCGTGTTCATAGTCTTTGCACACAACCACAGAAGTGGTGTCTGGATACTTCTTCTTCTTCTTGCGTATGGAACCAAAACAAAGAGGTAGTTAGATCTCTGGCTGCTTGCTGAGAAGCTGAGAAGTCTGGATACTACATTCTTTCCTTCAACGTAAACTGCCACACCTTGTGTGAAAAATTAATTTAGAGAGAATCTGAGGCAATGTTTAGAACTTACCAGCAGTGACCGGGTAAGGGTCATTGGGCATGAGCAGACCGCAGTAACAGTTGAGGAACTCCACCACCATTGCGACATCACCGAAGAGGGTGTTAGGGAGACCGTCTGGCATGGGTACCGGCTTGGGTGTCGGAAGGGACTTCAGTTTAAGATCCTGGTCTTCGAATCGCTGGAAAGCATGATCAGAGGAAAGGGTAAAGATTGAGTACCAATTTGAATACTTGAAGGAATGGGTGCAAAACAAGAATAGCTAATCAAATTAGGTTTTGCCCTTCACCGACGTTTTAACACTGTATACTCAGTATACTTAAGAATAGCTAAGCAATGTGAACGCTGGTCTCAGACCAATTAGATCAATGGGGTCTAGAAGTAATCAAGTCAAAGTTTTGGGCCAAGTTAAGACATAACCTTAACCTCGACAGATTTACTAGGAACCTTCCTCACTCCTGCAAATTCTAACACCATATGGTAAACTGTACACCCAAACTGTTGGACTCTGATTATGGTGGTATGCCTGACCCCATGTAAAGCATAATCAGTTTACTAGTGCAGAACTCATCCAAACAGATTCCAACAAACCCTGGTGTTGGAGTTGGTGTCGGATGGGGATTGTTAGAGTTAAACACATCTGCTTCACAAGTGACAGTCAGTAAGTTAGTCTGTCAGGGAGATAGGTACAAAGATGGCTATTTTTTTCACCTTGGCCTGTTCCAGTCTCATCTTGCGTTCCTCCTCCATCTTCTTCTGTCTCTCCTCGTCTCGTTGTTTCTTCTTCTCTTCTCGTTTCTGCATCATCAACTCCTTCCGTTCCTCTGGTGTCATGGTTTTCCTGTAATCATGACACAGACTCTCATAAAACAAACTACTCTGTTTAATGGACGACATTCAGGTATCTCATCACTCAGTTTTTAAGTACACATGGAAAGTGATTTGAACACTTTTTAAAGTTCTGAGGTTCTCGTTTAAGCCCCAACCCCAAAAAGGTGTTCTCTAAGCACCATGCCAAATGCAACAAAGGGCAATTTGGCTGAAATAAAAACCCTGCAACAAATTGCACCAGTCAATTCTGTTGCATTGTGCAGTGAACCCAGTGCATACCAGCCTTGGCACCAAGCAGTTACCCTGCTAAATGCAACCAAATGTAGCAGTGGATTCTGTTGTATCGTCTTGGCACTATGAGCATTTACCCTGCTAAATGCAACAAGATACAACAAGCATGGGGACTTGAGTTGCTGTTAAATTCAACAGAATGCAACAACTGTTAACCTTTGTTGCTTTCTGTTGCATTTAGTATGGTTGGCTAAACTCACCACTTGAGTTTCATCTTGTACTCCTCATACTTGGCAGTTACTTCGTCTTTGATTTCTGGTTTCAAGTTCTTGATCTGTTTATCGTTCAGCTCCTTGACTGCTTTGCTCATCATCTTGTTGTACAATGCTGTGTCCTTGATCTTCTTGGCACGGATTAATCTGCAAGGAAAGTTTCTAGACATTTGTTACCTGTCACAACCAAAATGAGCTTCAAAGTCAGAGGTTTGAAGAAAAATGGAGAAAATTGTAAGGAAAGAATTCACGCTTTACAAGATTTATACAGCATTTTAATGGCATAAATGCATATTTTTAATGACATAAGTATGAAGTGATAAGTGAGGAAATCAGCTCATCCATGGGAAAGACGCATGCCTCATCATGGCTTAACTTCATGGCTTTTCTAAGCAAAAAATTATTTAAACACAGAAAAATGCTTAGCAGGAACCAGTTACCAGCCGCCACACTATGCAGTGTCTATTGTTTATAACTGGTTCCCTTCTAATTTTTTGCTTAAATACATTTGCTAAGTTATATCTTTTGCTTAGCGATCTTACTTGGTAATGATGGGTGGTTGCCGAGGGCTCTGAGGCGTGCTTAGTTTATAGCGGACCTGAGAATCAGGAGTCTTAGACTTCTTCCCGGCAAGGTCAAAGAGGGTCATCTGCTTCAGTGATTTCTGAAAATGAAAAATGGAAAAGAAAGTAAATGCAGACAGGGATTTTATCACCTTTTTCTGGCAACCAAACTGATTGAAAATGGAAATTATGTCTCATAAATGGAAGTTAAAGGTCCATATTCTCTTTTCCATTTGAAAGGTTCCTTAAACTCTCATATTCTTTAAAATCAACAATGAATAAACATCGAACTAGCCGAGTAATCAGGATCCATTGACGATGTGTGCTGATGATAAAAACACCGCTGCCTGTGGAGTAAATCTAGTACCAACAGGAACAGAATTCAAATATTCTACCCACCTTAGACTTGGGCGTTTTAACTGGCGAGACTTTCCCCTTTTTCTGTGGTGTCTTCTTAGGAGTGGCTTTCTTAGCCGGTGATTTCTTCGGAGTACCCTTCTTTGGCGTCTTGACTGGCGACTTAGTGGTCTTTTCCTTTGTTCCAGTTTTAGTTTTCTTAACTGGAGATTTTGCAGTCTTCCTTTGTTGCATGGCCTTCTTTGGAGTTCCTGTCAGGGATTTCTTTGCAACTTTTGTGACAGCCTTTTTCCCTTTTTCTTTCTTGATCTGTGCGAGGGTTTTGGTCTTTGATTTGGGGGATGTGGTCTTATTGTTCTTGGCTTGTTTGGAAGGAGTCTTCTTAGGAGTGACTTTGAATTCATCTTCTGATGGAGAGTTGCCCTGGAGCATCTTGAAGTGATCCGTTAGCTTCTTCTTTGAGGGTGTCTTACGACTGATCTTGGAGACTATTTCTTGAATTGTGTCAACATCAATGACTTCCTCTTCTGAAGAGCTCTTCTTGATTGGTGTTTTCCGGACCTTCTTAACTTTCCCCTTGTCGTCTTTGACAGGCTTAGACTTCTGGATGGTTTTCTTCTTGTCCTTAGTCTTACCAGAACTCTCTTTCTTCTTTGCAGCTGCTCCTTCCTTCTTCGGCTTTTTCAAAGTCGTTTTGCTCAGAGATTTTCTAGCCTTAGGGGATTCCTTCCTAGAGGTGGCAGCTTTTTTTGGCGACCGTTTTGGAGAGTTCTTGTGCGATGATTTTCCGATGGGGGAACTGTAGGTGTGGTCCATGCGAACCTTCTCTGGACTTGACATTTGGTTAGGATCCTCAGAGTCGCTCTTGAATCCCGACTTGGTCTTGAAACTCATGTCAAGAGTTGCCTGCTTCATCTTGGGAGAGCCGAGAGCCACAAACTGGTCCGACAGTTTCCGTTTCTTGGAGGATTTGGAGATCTGGTTCTCTGCCGGTCGTTTTTGGGCTTTGGGCGTTTCATAGGTGGTCTAAATGCGACAAAAATATGCAGATTATAGATAGAATACAGAAAAGATTTATAAACGTCAGGGAGTAATTTCATAGCACTGCTAAGGGCCTGGGACAATTTCCTTGCAAGTTTCGGGTAGAATCATTCACTTTGTCTTGAAGTAGCTCTGCATTTGTCTCGGACATGTTGCGGGGAAATTTTCATTAGCAACTGCTTGACTCACCAAAACTGATAACACTATTGCGGGAAGATTGCGGGGGAAGTTGTTTAGAATCCTGCAACTGTCCGGAACTCGTCCCAGATATGAATTGAGACGGGAAGGAGGTGCAAAATATTTAGCACAGAAAATATCTGCTTAGCCAAAACAGGATCCATGCAATGAGATGACTTGTAAAATGTTCCCAGCACATTTTTACTATGCACATACCCGTGCTTAGCAATAATATTAACCCAATAAAATCCACTAACCTTGTAAGGGCTGAGGCTGATATCTTCATACTTATTGACGAGGTTGAATTTGCTGAAGAGATCTTCAGAGACGACCCAGGGGGAGTTGATGGAGGAGCCTGTCTGGATGGCATTGGCTCGGATGAAGAGTTTGATGAGATCACAGGAGGGCAGAGGAACGGTGTGACTAGGAGAAATGAGGCAAGGGAGACATCTTGAGACCATGAAAGGCTGGATTAATATTGCAAAATTTACAAGTATTCTTTGAGTTGATACGAGCAGCCCCTTCAATTATGACAATAAAATGGAAATTTGGCAAGTTTGAAATATATAACGGCATTATCATTTCTTGAGTTGCAAAAGAAAATCTACACTGGTTCTTCTCAGAACCACTTGAACAAAATTATCTCATGGTAAAAATTTTCTAATTTCTTATCGCACTTTTCGAAAAAACCTTCAAGTTTTTGCCTCCCTCTTGCAGTTACATGTACATTAAATACAAATGACCCTGAAAATCCATACAAGAATGAGGTCGATGAAAACGGCCAATTAATTCATAAATATATTATTCACGAAAAATAAGGAGAAAAAGCTGGCTGATAATGCAACTTACATAAGTTCATGGCCTGGTATTGAACTGATGATTTTGTCTTCATCGCTCAGTCGGATAGTATACCTGAAATTCTGAAGTGGACGGTAAAGGCAATTATGTTAGACGTGTGCAGGAGGTTTATGAGCTCAAGTCCAAGCAAAGTTCCCTCACAAGTCCAAGGGATGGAGAAGGGTATGTCCAAGGAACAGAATTAAGGACGTGGAAGTAACATCTGAATAAACCCTGAGCCTATCTTCGGGGGCACGTGTGGTCTAGCGGTGGAGCGGTGGAGCACAGGATTCGTGATCAAGAGGTTGTGTGTTCGAGCCCCGCCGTGGCCATGCGTGTTGTGCCCTTGAGTAAGGAACTTTACCTCAATTACTCCTCTCAACCCAGGTGTTAAATGGGTACCGGCATTATTCAATGCTGGGAAGGTAACAGACTCGCTGTGGAGGAGGTGTGGCGATCCCCCCACAGCAGCATATGAGTCTGGCCCAATCGCTTATGAAAGAGAGATGGGCACTCCGTTCCTGGGAACACAGGTTCGTCCCCTTTACCTTTTTACCTATCTTTAAAAATGCTTTCCAGCAGAAAACTGTTTTTTTTTCAAGCCTGCCTATGAACTTGTAGAACGCTATGGTCCAGTGGTTACGGTGTTTGACTCATGTAGGAATGTACGTGGGTTCGAACCCTACCAGTAACATATTGTTTGTGCCCTTGGGTAAGGCACTTAATTACAATTGCCTCTCTCCACCCAGGAGTATAAATGGGTACCTGTGAGGGTTGAGGACCCATTGAGCGCTGATATCGGATCCCGCTTGGTCCCATGGCCTGATGAACGGGGGAATAATTGTAAAGCGCTTTGAGATTGTTGATACGATGGAAAGCGCTATTTAAGCACAATTATTATTATTATAATTACCTTATTATTGATCTTCTTGCTAGGTTTCCCAGGAGTTCTACTTCCATCCTCAACGTGATTCTCCTTGTCGCTAGAAGGTGAACTTCCCTCTTTCATCTGCACAAGGAAAAAATAATGACATTCAGTTGAACTTCAACGTCTCAAAATACCCAAGAAGTTTTGGCCTTAGACTGGATTGTAGATTGTGTTTTCTCTGCCGTGTATCCAGGTTCCCAACCGCTGATGTCAGGAACCAGATCTAGATTTAGGGATCGAGTTCCCGTAACCAACTATAAAACTAATTTACATGTAGTAACTTCTCCGATAATAAAAAAGAAAGGTTTTAAATGTCATTTGTGGGAAATTTTCCAACCAGGCTACATTGAAAAATAAAACAGACGTCACATTTATGACACTCGAAAAAGTTTGATTTTTTACCATCAAGCTATAAGACTCACAGTAATTGTACACACATAAATTGCTGCATTGACGCACTGATGTTGGAGTGTTGTTGCGCGGACCTTTATGAGCAATCTGAACAGACACTTCCAAGATTTGAATTTTTGGGTTGGGTTTCATTAAACGTGTACCCCTGTTTTTTAAAATCTGATCTGGTATTCAGTTCCCTTACGACCTGTAAATGCACACCCCTAATCATAACAGACTCCATCTGTACTTTAGCTTGCCATGTACATGCATGGTTCAATTGTACAAACCAGTTATCTTGCTACGGACAAACACGGGGTGAACAAATACTAATAACAAAAATGCAATATTATTATTGTTAGTAGTATTGAGGCACCATGATGGAATGAAAGTGAGGCTGACACCAAATAAAAATTATCTTTTACTGCTGTTACTAAGAGTTAATTGAAGTAGTCAAGGCTTGCCTGTACAGCCTCTTTTTCAAGGGGTCTATTCCATTCAGTGTTACAGGGGTGAGATCAGGTAAAAAAATTAAACATCTATGAAATTGTCAGCAGGGGATCTGGGGTCGATAACATACGTTCATATTTATTGTATTTTGTTTTAACACCTTCAGACTAAAACCTCAGGAATTCCAGATTTTGAAAGGGATTTTTTTTAATCCTGACTAATATCATTCCTGCTGTTAGTAACGTGTCAAGATGCAAGAGTTGATTGTTATGGAGGTCATTACATGAGTGAGGAAAGATTGCTTCATGGCATGAGTGAGGAAAGATTGTTTCATGCAAATGAGTGTACCTGTGACTGTGCCAAAGAATCAGGAATCGTTATGGCAGTCCACTACAAACACACATCAAAGAAAAAACAAAGACAATATGACAAACTACACAGATTACTAAATTTTCTAACAAAAAATATCAATTTAACCCCCCTCCCCCCCAAAAAAGGGAAATTGCAGGGGTGAGATTGTCAATTTCAAAAAATCTGAAAATTGGATGAAAGGTCTGCAAGGTGCATTTCTTTCTATACAGATGTCTTTCTCTCAGATTCAAAAAGTCTGATCTCAAACAAAAATCTGAAAAATCTCATGCTTGAAAGTGAAAACAGAGATGTACGTCCACCAAAATTTAAAACTAGATATTCAAAATTGTATTTTCCAAAAATTACATAGGTATGATTTTGTTGCTCATCAGAATCTCTTCGCGTGATTTGTCAGTTATACCACAAGCCAATCAGAATGTTTCTCAGTTATCTAATTTGCATGAATAATCCATGTTAGCCAATCAAATGTGAGCTGTCTTACAACCTTACAAATTAGAAATTTATGAATGAAAGGATGTCAGTGATTGGCTCTTACCTCATCAGATGATGACTGGGTGATCTTCAGGACCTTCCCCCTAATTCTGAGAATAAAAATAAAACAGAAAATCTTTACTGGTTTGTCACAGTAGTTTGGCAGTTTTTCTTCTTTTAATTTTCTCTGCAGATATAAATGCCTGAATGCAAGGGTTGAGGAATGATATTTCACACAACAATCAGCCTTTCATAGGCTTTCACGTATTTGATCCTATAAAAAAAATCATATCTGACATTGAAACTTTTACTAATATTTCACTTTCCTTGTTATAAGGAAAGTTTTGAAATTTGGAGATTTGCACAGTGGCTGAAAAAAACAAACAATTTCCCAGTTACATTTTGCCTTTCAGTTGTACTTTCAGCTCCACCGTTTCTCCGACTTCAAAGTGATTCTGCAGATACGCCTTGACCTCGTTAACGAGAGTATCCAATGGGGTGGCACCTGTGAAGAAATTAATGAATATTCATGAAGATGTGATTTAATTAGCATATTTAACAGTTTGCAAATGAGTGGACAATACTGTTCCCTAAAAAAAAAGCTAAGTTAAGATTGTTGAGATTAAACCAAAGAAGTTAATAAGGTTTAGAGATTTTATCAGATGAGGAAGGACAGTCTACTCATAATATTCTATTTCATAATTTAGATAAACTTTGTTGATCTTGTGTTGAGTTAATGAAAAAGAGTTGGCAGAATAATAAAAACACAGTTTCTCTTCTGGGCTTGTTGAAAAAAAGAAGGAGGCGGTTATTTTTTCCCCTCCAGATGGCGGATGTTCCAAGATGGCAGGTAGATCCTTTCATTTTCTTGACTCTTTTCCGGATACAAAATTGTGTCCAAAGGAGCCATTACCCTCTCAACATAGCTACCACTATGTTGGAAACAAATAAAAAGACAATATATTGATAATATATTTGCAAAATAAATAACAAATGTATAAATAAACAAAATTAAAAGGTGGTGGGATGGAAAAAAAGTGGGGATGAGAAACTGTTTTTTTTACTTGGCCTTATTTACCCCCCCCCAAAAAAAAACAGCCCAAAAATCGAGTTTGTGACTTACTGTGGTGAACCAGTTCCAGCACAGTCCTCTCGAGCCGGATGGGAAATTCATCTTCCAACTGCTCGCGTGCACTGACCTCTGACCTACACGCTTCCTGATAGGAGAGACCACTCACTCCTGTGCACTGGCAAGTCCATATCGGCTGACGATAAAACTCTAGACGCTTCTCATATTCACTGTGCACATTGCGAATTAAGGAATTTCTAGTATATATATATTTTTATCCCCCCAAAATTTAGAATATTCTTCTTTTATTATTTTTTTTTTTGACTACAACATTTCATAATTACATAATATTCTGATTGTGGCTCTGGAGCATTGGAGCCACGGAGGTGGTTTTTTTAATAGGGTCTAGGGAAATAGGCCTAAAGTCCGAAATTGTGAGATGGTCTGATTCCCATCTCGTGAATATGAAGTCACAACATGCACAACGACAATGTTGACAAGGAGCAAGACTAAGATTTGTCACTGTAAACATTTCTAAGCTGCTAACTTAGTCCCCAAAACAGTCACTGCGCGCATAAAAAGTGCCTATCTGGCAAAACTTTGTTTATACAAAGAAAGTTTTGTTATAGTGGCAGCAATGTCTACATAAAACATGTATGTAGTTGGACCATGTTGGACAATCAGACAATAGGCCCCTAGTCATGCTAGTCAATAATTTCCACAATCATTAGTTTTCCCCCGAAATTTAACTGTCAAATTCCCCTTTATAATCGCCAGATATATACGATTGAATATTATCAAAATGATGCTTAAATACTAGTGCGTAAAATAATGCCAAATTGATGGGGATTTAGGCCCTCGATGCTTTTACAAAATAGGCTAAGTATTTGTGAAAAAAAAAATAGAGGCGGCATGTTTTGTGTGTGGGCTCGGGATTTGTCAATTTTTACATGGGAGCCGCCATCTTGCTTTCGACTCGATCACTCCGGCATTTTTTTTCTCGAGAAAACACAAAGGATACTCTTTGCTTTTGCAGACTTCGTTGGTGAATGAAACTTTGAAGATGGCTTCAGAGTATCTCTCTATCCTGTCCTGCGTCCTCGGAATGTAAACTTTTCGGCCTAAAAGAGGCATTTTTGGTCAAACTATGAGCGGTCGCCAGTCCTGCGGTGCGGGGTTTGAAATCTGGCGCGAACAAAATGGTATGTCTCAAATAACCCCTTGCTTCATAGTGGAACATTCTACTAAATATTCATGATTTGAGTTTTAATTAGATAAATAAACTCAAATATATAACTTTGTTGGTCCCCATATGAAATTAACCTACGTTAATAAAAAGATTATAAAATAACACATTTTTTTACTTTTATTTTCAAGCTTCTATAATTGGTTTATATATTGACTTTTATTCTAAATTGCTACTTTTATTACTTATTATGAATGAAAGAGGAAGTTAAAAAATGGCGGCTGTTTTGAGTTGATTTGCCTCGGCTCTAACTTTTTGTTAACTTCGTATGATTTAATCAACACAATTGGGATGGGAGTCAATCAGCTGTGGGGTATACTTGCTCCTATCAAAACCCACAAAACTCTGAAGTCCCTAAAAGGTCAGACCATAGTAGTTGATTTGAGCGTGTGGATTTGCGAAAGTTCATCAGCTTTGCAGGGAGTGCCTGTCACAAAACCACACCTCCGGTTAGTCTCAATAGCGCCCTCAGCGTTGAGAATTCATTAATTGTACAATTGCTCATTAATTTTCCTCATATCAATAATAATATAATTATGTAATTTTGTGCTTCAGCACAGTGTGAATTGTTTCATCATCTGAATGTATTTTGGACATTTTGTTTGAATTTTTTCGCTTTTTTTTTGACAATTTGAGAAGTAGGCCTAACTTTTCTTGCAGTTTTGCAACTTTTTGCAAAAGCATAACTTGGGAGATTTATTTTGATGATAATCCAACGCATTTTCAATATTTACGATATCATTCCTCAACATCCAAACTTCAATATAACAAAATTGCTATTTGCAATATCGATAACAAAATAATATTGAATAATCGAGTGATATCGATAATATCAACAACAGTGCTTACGAAGTTACTGTTATTTTTGTTAACATAGTTGAATGATCCTAATTTGTTTTAAATATCTATAGGAACCTCTTCTTCCGTGTGACCAATCTGACTCAGTTGGGTGTCAACCTGATCTTCGTTCTGGACGGTGAACCACCGGAACTGAAGTGGGATGAGATGGAGAGACGGACCAATGCCCGCATTGAGGGCGGGGCACGAGGCAGATGGGGGCATTGGAGGAGCAAACGGAGTAAGACAGCCACAGGAGGAACTGCCGTGAACAGGAGTGTGGCAGGCGGAAAGAAGAAGAAAGAACGAAAACGATTCAAGTTTGTAGTCAAGGAGGTATGCCTGCATTCTGAAAACTTTATACCTAGCCACACCCACAGCTACAATTTAAATTGCCTATAGAGATGCTTATCCTCAGTTGAAATTACTTCATGCCTGAAACCAGAAAATGGGCAGCAAAAGTATAAGGCATAAAGAGATCAATAGACAACATTTGCTTTTGCTGAAATTTTCAGAAATTGATGGATTTGGGATTAGTATTTTATAGGAAATATTGTTACACTGACCTGTTGAAAGTTCTGTGTTCATAGATGCTGGGGAAAAAAACCCAAAAGTGCTGTAGTAGTCTGGTTCCCTGACTGTACTTTAGACGGAACAGAGCAATTTATCTATAGACGTCAGGGAATCAGACTAGCTGACTTGCACCTGTTCATGGATGTGTAATCAAAATTACTGATTGCAAAGAAAATGTATTGGGACTAACTGAATTTGGTAAATTGGGGGCAGTATTTGAAAACAGGTAGTTTTTCTGCACCATCATTGGGAATTGATTCAAAAATTCCACTTTTCTTGAATATGACAGCACACCAGGTGCCATGATTTCACAGGATGCTTGAGACTATTAAAATCCAGTAAGGTATTTCATAATAATTTGCTAGTTTTGTTTTTTGATGTTTGCATATGTTGTATATTCCCTTTAAGATTCAGACAGTCTTGATGTCAAAGAGCATTTAACTAAGCTGTGTTTGAATTGTTTGTATTTTGTTTCAGTGTCAGGAGATGCTAGAGAGTCTTGGTGTTCCCTGTGTGCAGGCTGTAGGAGAGGCAGAAGCAATGTGTGCTCTTATGAACGTACAAGGGGTAAGGAGAGGAGGGTGGGTCTGTGGAATCAGTAGCCAACTTGGCTTGTGTGCTCTTATGAATGTACAAGGGGTAAGGAGGGTTGGCATGTGAAATCAGTAGCCAACTTGGCTTGTGTGCTCTTACGAACGTACAAGGGATAAGGAGAGGAGGGTGGGTCTGTGGAATCAGTAGCCAACTTGGCTTGTGTGCTCTTATGAACGTACAAGGGGTAAGGAGAGGAGGGTGGGTCTGTGAAATCAATAGCCAACTTGGCTTGTGTGCTCTTATGAATGTACAAGGGGTAAGGAGAGGAGGGTGGGTCTGTGGAATCAGTAGCCAACTTGGCTTGTGTGCTCTTACGAACGTACAAGGGGTAAGGAGAGGAGGGTGGGTCTGTGGAATCAGTAGCCAACTTGGCTTGTGTGCTCTTACGAACGTACAAGGGGTAAGGAGAGGAGGGTGGGTCTGTGGAATCAGTAGCCAAGTTGGCTTGTGTGCTCTCATGAATGTGCAAGGGGTAAGGAGAGGAGGGTGGGTATGTTAAATCAGTAGCCAACTTGGCTTGTGTGCTCTTACGAACGTACAAGGGGTAAGGAGAGGAGGGTGGGTCTGTGGAATCAGTAGCCAACTTGGCTTGTGTGCTCTTACGAACGTACAAGGGGTAAGGAGAGGAGGGTGGGTCTGTGGAATCAGTAGCCAAGTTGGCTTGTGTGCTCTCATGAATGTGCAAGGGGTAAGGAGAGGAGGGTGGGTATGTTAAATCAGTAGCCAACTTGGCCACCAATTTTAAGAAAGGAAAATGAAAGCTTTTGGACTGAAGAGTGTTTAGGCCAAAAAATAATAATAACAATACTGCTTCCGATTACATGGCATTAGAAAATAGAGCAGGTAGGTGGGTTTTTTTTAAAGCATTTTTTGTGTGTTTCTTCTCAGCTTGCCGATGCCTGCTTGACTGAGGATGGGGATGTGTTTCTCTATGGGGCCCGAACTGTCTACAAGAACTTCACGCTCAACACAAAGGCAAGCTCTTAAAATGAAAGGATTTAATGAACATTATCTTGTTGAAAAATTATTTTCAAAGCAAATATCTGCGTTGCACACCATGTATTTTTTTTTTAGGATTTACACATTGAGTGCTACTCCATTAAATGCTGGTAAATTCAGCTATGCCATTGCAGTGGTCAAAATCAGCGGACTGACTTTTTTAAAATTTACAAATTCCCTTGTTAATTTGATATAGCCATGCTTTGACTGGAGGTGATTGATATGCCAGCTGTACCTAGTTACCTCTTTTGATGGAATTCTTTTGATGGAAAGTCACAGTGTTTACATGAATGTGATCTGATTGTTTTTGACTAGTCTGTATGCAAAAACATGGCAGGGGAAGTGGAAGAAATTTTTGACTGTCTGTGACTGATCAAACAATAGGAGGCCGGGACATTTTAACCCTAAATCCCTAGCCTGATTTACTAGGAACATTACCCATCCTGGCAAATTCCAACACCATATGGGAAATTGTACACACATATTTCTGTTATAAGATGGAATTATTGAATCGGGGTGATGTAAATCAAATTAGGTTTTGCCCTTCACCGATGTTTAAACACTGTATACTCAGTGTGTTACCTCCCGAGTGACAGTTGGAAAAAATCACTCGGGTTGGACTCGAACCCACGACCTCCTGCTTTCTAGTCCAGATGTCTTACCACTCGACCACCGAGCTAACGGGATCGGTAAGCTCTTTTTTCCAACTTTCACTCGGGAGGTAACACACTGAGTATACAGTGTTTAAATGTCGGTGAAGGGCAAAACCTAATTTGACACCTATTTCTGACTTTGATTCTGGAGGTGTTTCAATCCAATGTAAAAGACTGTCAGTTTAGGGGTACTGTACCCATTCTGACAGATTCCAACAAAACATGCCGTTGGGGTTTGATGGGTTGAGTTCTGTTACAGGGTTAAAATATTTCCAATGATTTTTCTGATTTCTCAGGATCCACACATTGAATGCTACTCAATGGATGACATTGAGTCACGTCTTGGTTTGGACCAGAGCAAGCTTGTTGCCCTGGGGCTCCTCCTCGGCTGTGACTACACCCTGGGGGTTGTAGGCGTTGGTCCTAAGCAAGCCGTGGGGCTGATGAGGGAACTAGGACCTGAAGTGAATGCTCTGGAGAGATTCAGAGACTGGGCTGATGGGAAGGTACCTCGGAATTGCTTACAGGAAGGTATGGATGAACGTCTTGTCATTGAATTAGAGAGAATATGCAACATTTACTTTTGCTGTAGCTTTCAAAAATGGATAGGGAAAGAGTGTTGCAACCTGATGTTGCTTAATGTTTTCTTCATATATTATCTCAATGAAGGTCAGTTATTGCAAAAAAGATGATAATACATGCATCTGGGAATCAGGTCAAGGAACCAGACTTGCTAGCTTGCACCCATTTGCGGATGTGTGAAGGATTGAAAACAAAATTTGATAAGGCCAAAAAAAAAAAGTCTCCGGTTTCTGGTATGCGCGTGCGTCGCCGTAGCCATGCGCGTCGGCAAAATGAAAAAGTTTTTTTTCCAATGAAAGATGATGTCTCAAAACCACCAAACTCACTGGTTTGACTGGAACCTGCTGCTGCACAATTTTAACGTGTTTTTAGATTGGGTTATGATCGAGAATAAGCTTTATACATGTGGCCTCTCTGGTCTCCCATAATATTTGCACTAAGTTTAGTCGGGCACCATTTGCAGTCATCAGCTGACATTCGAAGCAAAAAAAACAGGTAAAAAGAAAAAAAAGCCGCGTCGCCGCACCACTTGTTGGGCAAGCTCCATACCAGAAACCGGAGACTTTTTTTTTTTGGCCTAAACTGGGGGCAGTAATTTCAACAAGTCATTTTCCCAACGATACTACTGGTCTGTTTTGATGTTATCCATCAGCTCCCAAGAAGTCACCCCACTGTGCCCGCTGCACCCATGTAGGCTCAGGGAGAGAGCATAAGGTGTACGGCTGTGCCATGTGTCACAGCGACGTTGCCTGCCATCCTAAGTCTGTTGACACTCCAGAGTGCTCGTGTGCGTGGCATGCGTTAGCAAGATCTAGGGCAAAGGCATCGATGGAACCACAGGTCATGAAGTAAGGATTAGTTAGTCTCACTGATGTCTATATAAAGACTGGATAGCGGATAAAGAGCCGCACACTGAATGAATTTGACGCCATATTGGTGAGACCGGTGAGACCGGCTGGTGATCTACAAAAGACAAGTTGCTGTCTTTATAGACAGCATGATTTTTTTTTGTAACATCGCGGTTCACTTGACTTATATTTTGACCACCACCACCGACCAAGGTTTACAATTTTTCTAACGTCGTGGTTTACTTTTTTAATGCCGCAGTTCACTTTTTCGGCGTTTTGGAAATAATAATCACTACGGAAATGTGTCCTTTTTAGAACATCATAATATGTGTACGTGACCAAAATGCGCGTCAACTGTTGATACAACGCGCGCTATATATACGCGTAGAACGTTCGTATTATACGCGGCCATCTTCGTGAGACCGGGGGCGAATTGGTCAATATGCAAAGTCTACTGTGTGAATGGTGTATGGATATCCGCTATCCAGTCTTTATATAGAGATCAGTGGTTAGTCTCCTACAACGAAGCTCAACTGCATCCCATCCTACTCTGCCCCACCACTCCAAACCTCAACCCTTCTAGAAAAGAAAAACTAAAGACATGCTTATTGACAAATTTAGCAAAATAGGTCTCTCTGATATGACGTCAGTTCCTACAGATTGTCCCGTGCATTGGCATTTTGGGTGTCAAACTGTCCTGACATGCACCGGCTGTGCCGTATTTGGAAGAAATTCTATTCTGACTGCCCCTACGCTAATGTTTTTATGGGAAAAAAATAGAAAAAAAAACACCCAAAACCATCAATTAGTACCTTCTAGTTTACCCTTGACAATTTGCAGACGCCTCCATATGATTGCACACAAAAATATTACAAAAAAACCCCAAATTCCCAACCTAACTACCCTATTTGTGAATCGGAAACAGAACTATCATTTTGTTTTTTTGCCTAACAGATTAATACCAGTTTGATTACCCGACATCTTTTTGTATTTTTCTATCGCTCACTAGGAAAGCTTGTGCACTACCGGACTTCCCCAGTGAGCCAGTTATAGAGGAGTTCTTGTCAGTAAAAGACAAGTGTCCAAAGACAAAGCTTTCATGGAAGAGACCTCAGCTCATTAGTGCGCAGGTAACTCGTGGGTTAATATTTGTATTAACCAATAAATACTAGGAGGACGGTACACAGGGGGAGGGGGTGCACTGGGGCGTGGGGGGGGGGTGAACTGGGGCGGGGGGGGGGGGGGGGGGGGGGGAGCTGATTTTCAGAGAGTGACAGAAAATGTGGAGAAAATGAGACGGAAAATGACAGTGAGTTTTACATATAGCCCATTATCATGTTGCAGCCATTTGGATTTTTCCCATTCAAATGTATCGTCGGTGAAGGGCAAAACCTAATTTAATTCAAATCAATGTAACCAAAGCGAGGCTGGAAGGAAAAATAGTCTGGTTCCTTTTTGCACAGAAAAAAGTTATCACTGTTATTGGATACAGGGAACATGACTGAAATGGTGGCAGCATGATAAAGTTCTATTGGCATATTGTAGAGCATATCAGAGCCCACTGATATTCATGATTTATTTGTTTGATTGTTTTGTTTTTTTTGGTTTGTATCCGTTGCAGAAGTTTGTTTCGTCCAAACTAGAATGGCCGGAGGACTACACAGTAGAGAAAGTCTTCCCATTGGTCACTCTGTGGGACCTGACGGCCATATCATCCGGTCAGTCCTTCGACCCTCGGCTTCACTTGACACCGACTGCAGTGATCAAGAAGAGAGTCAGGCAAGGTGTGGCGTGTGTTGAGGTCCAGTGGCAAAGTAAGTTACACACTGTCCATTTATTTCAGTCAAGACTAGAATTGCATTATTTATTTATTATCAGGTGTAAGAGCCATTGAGTGATTTCCCATGAGAAATCACTTAACGGCTGTTACATTAAACGTTCTATTGTTCCACTTCCCTTTTCATATGTTTATACTCTTGTTTTTATGTACTTTTTTGTTTAAATGTTTTTGTGTGTCCTTTTTTTGCAACAGCTCTCATTTATTTTGTACACATTTTCTAATCAAGGTCGTCCTCGATTTGGTTTCTGTCCTCATATTGCATGTGTATGTCCTCGATTTACACCATAAACAAACACCGGCCACCACTTCTGTAATGGGGATCATTGGACTAGTAGAAAGCATTCATGACTTTGGCCAAACTTTTCAAATCACACTCTATCCTGTCTCTTTGAAATAGCTGGTATTCCCCACTCCGAGCTTCAGTATCCCACCACTATTGAAAGGGAAGAACTATTCGCCACAGCCTTCCCTGCATTGATGTCAACGTTTGAGGAATCAAAAGCTGCCAAGACCAAACAGAAACGTAAGTCCAATGTTTGATTTGTCATCTTCGATTAAGATTCAATCAGAATTTGTCTGTGTGAACACAGCCTTACTATTCAATACAAATAGGCACACTTCATTGTGTCAGTGCAAAAATGTCATAACTCCCAAATTTGTCCAACACTTTGTGTATTTTTTATTAAGATTGACCCACATATTATTTTCATTCCACAGAACTGAAGACACAAAGAAAAATGTGTCCAATTTTCTTGTTCCTGGTTTTCCCTTTTTTAAGTTATTGTGCTTTGTTTTTAGGAAAAAAGACTGTCAGCTCCTTGAGTGATGCCTTTCAAGACATGGATTTGACTTCTCCTGACCTCACATCCTCCTCAACAATCGTTGCTGAAGACAGACCTCCTACGTCAATCGCCAAAGGACCCTCCATGAGAAACATCAATGTGAAACCTTTGTATCGCAAACCAAGGCGGAGTAGAGAGATCACGACAGGAAATGTCTCACATTCTTCCATTGAGGATGAAGGTGAAGATGATGAAGAAGATAAAGATGATGAAGAAGATGAAGAAGATGAAGAAGAAGAAGACGTGGATGCAGAACCGCTACCTCTGAGTGAACGACTTCGTCTCAAGAGGGAAGATGTTGAGACCATAACATTAGATGAGTCATCATTCTCATCATCATTCTCATCATCTGTTTCGCCAGGCAACCCAGAAGATGCCAACTTCAGTCTTGGCTTTGAGCTGACCAAGATGCTTTCGCAGGACGACACTCTGCTGCAGCCTAAGGAATGTGGAAGTCATTCTGAAACGTCAGATCAAGAACTTTCAGAAGGCAGAGAAGGAGGGCCAACAGAACAGACGGAACTCGGAGGAGTTATAAACCTTTGTGAACCTTCACTAGTCCAAGCAGCACAGGAATGTCCCCCTTTCGCCATCAATTTCAGCTTAAAATTTGAAGTGACGAATGTTCTCAGTGAAGATGAAAGTCTTCTACAGAGGAATGAGACGTTAGGAGTGGAAGATGCAAGAACAGAAGAGACAACGGGAGATGAAAATCCATCTGAAAAGTCAGAGCTGCCCGAAATATCAAAAGATACGGAGAGTTTGTTGGTCAGAGGCGAATGCGGGGAGAGGTTTCTTCCCAGTGTAGAGAAGGATCAGACGTCACTGGGCAGCAGCTTGAGGTTAGGTGTTACGTCAGATATACACGGATCAGGAGATACATCAAACGGGGAAGCTAGCGACAAGAACCAAGACGACGATACAGAAGACATCTCTCTTGATTTCAAAGAAAAGTTGAGGTGCTTCCTTCAAAAATTTGAGGACAAAAATGGTCCGCTGGGAAAGGATGAAAAACTGGGAGGAAGTCCTGAAGAGTTAAAAGGAAGTTTACTCCAAGATGATGAGGGAGAGTCTGATGGATGTGATGTTGAACTTGCTCATGATGACGGTCTTGTTTTGAATCATGGGGGCTTAGAGTCGGAGTCACCATACACGTGTTTATCAACCTGCGACAGGGGACAATTCTCTTCACAGACACCTGCTGGGACTTTGTGCCACACGCTTGCCCCTCTGCCTATAGATGTAGACACCCCCATTGTGGATGATGAATCCTTCCTTGGCACTTCTAACCAATCAGAGCCAGTGAGACTAAGAGCAGGGCAAAATGGACAGCCAATCACAACACCCGTTTCACACCTGCCAAGGAAATTCAAAGACTTGAGTATTTCCCAAGGAGCCTGTCATCAAAGTGTGTCAAGTCTTTCAATTGGCCAATCAGGAACCACCTCACATCGTGAACAGATCTCAGCCAATCACAAACCAGGACGTTCTTTGAACAACCAATTGGAATCCATCTTACATGAAGTGGAGAACAGTCCTGTTTCCCTATTGGACAGATTGAGAAGGAAACATGGGAATCAGAATGGAGTTCTGTCTGCTGCCCTCACGATGAAAACTGGGAGCACATTTGGCGGGAAACGAGGACGTGACCGGAAAATTCTGATGGAAATATTTGATGGCGACAATGAAGAAGATGACGTCATGCCATAGCTAATCAGAAAAAAAAATACCTCAAGTTTTTCCCCCTTTCCTTAGTAAACCATGAAAGTTAAAAAAGTGTTGAAAATTGGTTTGCTGCAAATACTGCAATCCTGTGTTGATTCTAACATGGTGTTTATTTTTATTCAAGGATGGTAAAAGGTTAAACTTGCAGTATACTGTTGATCAGTAGGCAACACAAAATGCCGTCATTGCCAAACAACAAAAGTTAATTTTATACGCCCATTTTATTTTCAGCAAAGAAACAATCTTCCTACTACAACTTCGCGCACCAAGGCTGAAACCCAATTTATTGATTGTCCTTACTCATTTATTATTAACATCGTAGTTCAATAATTCAGATGCGGAAGAGAAATCAATAACTAAGGCCAGATTGGAGGAATGTTTTAATGATGTCATGACTTGATTCACTCGAACTTATCACTTCATCGAAACTATTGGCAACAGTTTAAGTAACCTGTGATTTTGATCAGTTTCTTGCTCTATGCTTGACCGAGTTGCTCAATTATTGAATAATTTCACAGAATCTGAAATCCAGTGTAAATCCAAGTTAGATTTTATTAGTCTTATCATTTCAGTGGCCGCAAAAATATTGACCGATGATAAATCGGGTCCCGTTTTTAACTAACCGGACATGTTTCCGGAGCCGAAATGTCCAATCACAATAATTAAGGTCATTTATAACGCTAAGGACTCTGTGATTGTAACCACAACAACAAACAGCACGCGTCTACCTGCCCCATAGTCGGTCCCCTTTTGGATTACTGATTGAGATATCTAAAGGATGAGTCGGGGATGAGACGGTGAGATACCCAACAGCTTTCGTGGGCGTAACACAAAGGGGTTGGAAGTGGTCAATAGGACTTGTGAAGCGTGGTTATCAATGGAGTACTATCAGTGTTTGGAGGTCGGTTTGGTGGATACAAAAGCTGCATTCTAAACATGACAGCACTCTTCAACAGACAAAAAGTGGAGCCTCACTCGGTGGGAATTAAGCAAGCTTAGCCACTGAACTCTTTTCAGTTTGGTATAGCTCCATGGTGGTGTACCAGACTTTACCATTACAGCCGCCATAGGACTTGACCTCTTGGTACACTACACGTGTTCCGTTATATTGGTCACTTATCAGTATCGCTTGCAATCTTATCAGACTTTGTTTGAAGAGTTCTCCGTTGGCGATTGGAAACCATCGTTATCTGTTGTAAGATATAATTCTGGGGAAGATATCTGTTTACTCTTTGGAGTTATATTGCGAACACGATTGGCTTTGTGCAGTATATATGGACAGTTGATCACAACACTATTATCGCATTTACGGAGATGATCTAACAGCGGCGAACGATGCAGAATCTTTATTTTGTCTAGTTGTTTCTGATTGGCTGCTACCTTGGATACCAATGATTTGTTTGTCACCGCTTTAAGTCACCATGGTGACAGACTGTGAACAATATGACTTGCCATAATTCCAAGCTATGGACCTGGAAAGTGTGAGTCCACCATGTTCGAGTGTTCTGATTGGATATCAAAGAAACCACACAAGGAAACTGACTCGGTGGATATAATTAATGAGCATTTGTATCGATTCATTGGGAAGCCATGCAACTCAAACTCATCATGCTTGTGGACCGACCAATCAGGCAAAATATGATGAAAGTATAGTGGCCATCAATCCTGGACAATAGGCCTTGCAAGTCACTTGGAGAAGACTCAAGTTGAAGCAACCCGGACTTAATAGCTCCATGCTCTTCCTTACTGCTCAGACCACCGTGGAACTTCCTCCATGCCCAGACAGACATTAGTTGTTATTGTGGATTGTGACTTTAGGATTGTGACTCCGAGACTCGACGACGCCGCCACTGGATTCACACTGCTGTAGAAAATTTGAACCTCTTGCTGCCTGAACCGTCATCCTTCACTTAGCGAGACACCACACAAGTATCTCCCTTTGGACCATGTGCTGTTCCATGTTGTGACAACAGCACCACCACTATATTGTGATGATTAATACCAGACAACTACATGAAGTCATTGGTAGACCACTCAGGATGAAGAAACTCTGAAAGTTAAAGGCTTTGTGTTTCTGTCTGAGGTAACAACAACGTCAGTGGACTCGACATGCAGTCCGCTACAGGGAGCCGTAGGAGTGATACCACGGATATCCCAACGTTCCTGACCATGACCAGCGCGCACGGCAACACAGCCAGCGGGCGTCGCCGGCGGCCTGATGCCGTCGAGAGAGGCTTCATGTCGGTCAGTGCCGTGGAGTTCAATCGGCCTCGACGACGGGCGCGGCTCAGTTTCCCACCGAATGAAGCCGATTTACCAAAGAAGGTAAGTCCAAAGTTTTGTTTTGTACATCTCTTTGACATAACCATTCTCGTTCAATATAAAGGTCCTACATTATTTCCTAGGTTAAAACTTTCTTTGGTTGTCGTCTTGTGTACATTGTCAAAATGCAGGAATGTGTTTTTCAGAATATTTGAAAGAACTGCCATGACCGACATAAGTGATTAATTTTTGGTCGTCTTTCAAAACAGTTCCCTTGAATGAAATAAAGATAATTTTATTTATTTATTTATTTTACATCTTGTGACATGAGTAATTATAATAAAATGAACAGGGGATGTCAAGGAAAAAACAAAAGTACAAGACCGTCATGTAAATGATGTTTTCATCCAGACCCCTATTAACCCTAACCGCCCTGAATCCTCCAAAATCCTTTTTGCAAATTGGAGGAATTTGCAGGATTAAGGTTACATGGCAAAAGTGCGTTGCTGATTTCGGAGGACGCCCTGTGTCAAGGTCTTGGGCCGGACCTTGTGTTGTTTATGCTCAGCCTAGCATAAATTTAGTCCTGGATTATACTTGACATCCTCCGCACTGCTCCAGGATGTCACTGCCTCTGCCTCAGCCTATTGACAGTCATAGCCGGAGGATTTTGCAGGATTCAGGCAGTGGTCACCTCTCCACGAACCATATTCAAGAAATACTGGAGGAATTTGCAGGATTGAGGCTACATGTATATGCTATTTTTCCATGAAAGGCATGAGGCCAATTGGAGGATTTTGCAGGATTGAGGCTACATCCTAGCAAAAAAGGCCTAGGGAGTTAGGGTTAAAAATATTAAACATAACAAATCTAAGAATATAAAAAACAATTTTAAAACAATAGGTTACAATAATGTTTGGACATCGAACCCAAAATAATGACGATTTTATTAGTTCAAGGTGTTGCGTTCCCAAGTTTAATGTGTCAATAAACTGTGTGAAAATTGTCTTAATGTAATTTTGAGTTCCAAAAATGTTAGCCACCATGTTGTTTAGACAATTTTACTTATGTGCAATTTATGTAAACTTGCTCTGCCTTATCGTAGCTTAGGAGCGCATAACCTAACGGATTAATACCGGTGCGTTTGCAGAACATAACGGCTTAGAAGTTTGGTAAACACCGCCCGAAGAGAATTCTATTGATCGAGGCGGCATATTTGGCGGAGCTATGAATAAACTGGATCGCTTTCCCCGTAACGGGGTTTGGAATATTGACTTGGCACGCATACGTGGCTGGGTGCATGGGTGTAAACGGAACTCGAGATAAATTTTCCAGTTCTATTCAGTACGATTGAGAAAGAATTCAAAGTATGTGTTGATATCAACATGCAGTGTTAAATACTTAAATTCGCACCTTGTTTGTCATATGATGCTTCTTTCTTTGTTGATTTGTTGTCCGTTATTTATCTTCAAAATGGAAACTAGAAGAAGATCGATGAGAAACACCGACATCTCGTGTCGAATTCAGTTCAAGATATAGCGAGTAGTGGCTTTCGCTTCGTCGAAGGAATTTGAGACCTTTTTGGCACTGAGGCGGTGTTTGATTTACGTTTCGAGATCAGTTTTGGAAACAGGCCAAAAAAATAAACGAGTAACGTGCGTCCGATGCGTTTGGCGAAATCACAATGTACTAACTCCTTACTTAGAATATGGTGTATCCATGCAGCTTGTAGATTGCGTTGCGTGATCACAGTATTTTTGGGAAAATTCTTGCAAGTCATTAATCAAATCGGGCAACCCGATACGCTTATTAATTTCATTTTGAAACATACCCGAAAAGCCAGTGTAAACAGTCCGTACCAATTTATAAGAGATACGATCAACCTGATGTCTCCTCTAAGTGCCATCATGTGGAGCTTCACGTGTTTATTGTTTATACATCGAGTTGAGATGTCAAAACTGGATAAATAAATGCCCGATTGAACTGAAAACGGCAGTGGTCAGACTCAGAGAGCCAACACGAACGCCTGAACTTGGTATGGCCATGGAGCTATAGCTCCATGGTATGGCCATGGCCAACTGTTATCGTGGCGTGGACTGTAGGCTGAGCCTGGTAAACCGTCTCTCGCTCCGTGTTGAGAGATAAATAGGCTTAATATCCCCATTTAGTAAATCATAATGAGGGTTACCATAGCATGAGTGGAGTATTACCTTATATTATAGCATGTTGTTCTATGCTGTTATATAATGTCAGCATGAGTCGTAGCAAAATGCTTTGTGCGTTTTACTGTTCTTTAATTGCAAACAAAAAGGAAAAAGTAACCTAACAACCACAAAGATATTTGCTGAATTTAATGTGTCTGTTCAGACTTTCAATACCAAGAATTGAGGGTTTGCGGTAGCTGTGAATTATATCTTTTTTTGAGTTGTGTGGTTCTGAGAAGAACCAGTTGTTGTAACTCGACGTTTCGAGCAGTGTGCTCCGTTCATCATCAGGGAATTTATGACGTGCAGTTACCCCTATTTAGTGACGCGTTTTCCAGCTAACCACTTCTTTAGCTTCGTCAAAATTGTCAAACTGTATTGACTGTACTCGGCCGTTATTTGCTCAACTTATTGGAGCCGTTACCCTCATACCTCTGCAGCCATTTTTTTTGTTAGCCTTTCCAATCCTGACGCATTAACCACACGACCGCGGCCGTTTCACTGTTCGCTGTTTACCAAGCATTCTTGCGCATTGTGCAATATATCGACTTGCGTCTGACACCCTCATCTTTGTTCAAGCAAAGAGGTTGGTGATGAGGGCCCTCGAACCCTGCAGGGGTAAAACTTCACCAATAAGGGTTTTCTTCGGGGAGAGCAAGTCAAGATTTTTTTAATGCCAGGGAAGTGTTTTCACTTTTGTCTTCTGGCGTCAACTTGAGCCTTTTTCATATGCGCGGTTTAGTCCGTGTTGTTTCCGTTATATTAAGCCACATAAGGACTTTTTTAACTTTTGGTATACACGTACAATTATACGCAACGAACACAAAATGGACTGAAAATGTGCACGTGAAAAAAACCTGTAACTGCTAAATGTTGGCTCTTTCAAAATACGTGGCTATACAGGACTTCTTGTAACTTGGGATATTCATAGCTAAAGCTCATCGTGGAATGACAATGAAAGATGAAGCCGAGAACCTTAGCTTCCGTTAGGCTGGTGATGAACAACACATCTTTCGATGTCTTAATCCTGCCGAGATGACATGAGGATTCTTGTCGGTCCTGAATATAGCCACCGTCTTAATCTGATTTCGCTCCGTTGGTGACACCAGCTTACCCCCCGCAATCCAATAAAGCTTCTCCTGCTGGTCTTCGAAAGGGTTCTCTCGCCGCCAGAGCTCTTATCAAAAGGAGACCTTTTCTGAGACGTTTGAAACTTCTTTTCACTGCGTTACCATAAGGTCTAGCCTTGCTGTCTAGTTCTTTGTGTCTTGCGCACAGATTCTTGAAGATTTGCGGATGCTGTATGTAGCACCTATTGTAAAGTCTTTGAAGGGTTGCATGAGCATCTCAGAGGAGCTGAGCTACAACGTCTAGTGGTTATGTGATGTAATATACTTCCCCTCGCAGTTGCTACCTGTTATGTAGACCTAAATTTAAACTTCTGGCGCATTTTTTTTCGAAATTGAATTATGGCATGGGCTATAACTGGCATTTCCAATTTTATTTTGAAACAAACTTTCTTCATGTTGTGCCATTATGTGTTACATTGTTATTCGAACTGAAAAATTATTTGAACTGCTTATTATTTGTACCGGCATCAATGGCCCATTTCGTTTTCAATTGACACTGTTGTTACAATGAAAGAACATCTTATCATTCACACAGCAAGCGAGAATGTTATCCACCGCGAAAGCCTGGTCTGTTCAAGTTGCTAGGATACGCACTTGTCACGTACAATGCATGTGCCGAGGATTACACCGTGCCGAGTACACGGCATTCTGATTGCATGTACAATTCATGTTCAATATCTGAAACATCGTGACATAAATTTACCCTTTGACTTTAAAATTTGCACATCTGACTACCTTACCGCTCATCCACTTGAATCGTCTGCCTTGATTGCAATATTAACCCAACCCATCATTTAATATTAACCAGGTTTTTATTGATTCAGATTTGGAGTTTTTGATGGCACCTTTGTGAGTATTGACATAGTGCTTTGGCGCAGCATTACGCACGGCAAATATTCGATCGTAGTTCGATCTCACTCATCATTAGATAGTCAGGCGGTTAGAATAGGCTGTGCCATTGTATTATAGCACAGCTTTGGTCAATGATACATCTCATCATTGTAAGTTATGGGGCTGTGTTAGGGGTTAATGGTAGTGGCATTGTCGTTGCTCTCGCGTGCTAAAATTTATCAGATGTGCGCGATATTGTTCCGTTCTGCAGCTGGAAATTTGTCTTCTCTTGGTCCACTGGTTCGTTTATTTTGCCCCGCGGTAGATCTGTTAGCTGACACTGTTTTTGGTTTTTGCATAGGCGTAACCAGAACTCTGCAGAGCTTGGATCCAGCTACGAAAGAAGGGCAGATCCGGGGGGGGGGGGGGGGCGCAACATGGCCCCCACAAAAAAAATACCAACCCATTTTTTTTTTGGGGGGGGGGGATGACGTCGCAATGAAAGGCAGGCACTGTGCACACCACCATCTTTTCCTAAAAAAACCAATTGGTTAAAGTGGTCAGAAATTGCCACAGATCGCACCACACAGCATGTAGAATCCCCAAAAAATAAGGGGACCTTTTTTTAAGCGGGCCCCGAATCCCACGCCGTAATTTGTTGGACCCACTTTTTGGACCCACTTTTTGGGGGACCAAAATTGTTTTGCCCCTCCAAAAAATTGTGTTCTGGTTCCGCCCTTGTACGAAAGAACAATTAGTGACACAAACTTGTTAACCGCTGTGAACGTTTGATTAGCGCTTGTTTGCAATTTAATTTTGATTTGTGCTATAATGCGTCCGTGCGTTGGTTACGTTGGTAACTGGCTTGTCGTTCGGTATAACAAATCGTGTCTAGGTGACTCGGGGTCGGTTGGACTTTTAATTAAAATGTTTGTCAACTTGTCTTTTCAATCTCACTCTTCATTAGTGTTGTTTGCTTGAGGTAAAAGTTGTTATTTGTTTGCATGGTTGGTGGCATCCATAGGTTATGCACCCTAGCCTCTTGTACTCTAGCCGGCCATCAGTCATGTCGACTGACGTGATTTGTGAACACAAAAGTTCAATCAACCTGTTGCTATATATTGTTGGAGAATTCACAATGCATTCTGACAAAAAAAATACCAAAACAAAATGTGCGCCCCTGGCATGGATTCTGACCTGAGCTCTGACTTAGAGAAAGATAAACTTAAAAGTTCACCAGACATTGTCTGTGGGGAACCAATTGATTTTTGGTTACGTTTTCAATTTGGCAGGGGTACTTGTCAAAACAAACATCTTTACACCAATCAGATCGAAACCTTACAGGTGCACGGGGGTGCGTAAGGTGGAAGGGGGGCTTGACTGTTCCAAGTTAGAATAACAACATCATTATGATGAGAATCTTTGGGTAGACCATGGAGCTATATAAAGCTTTTTATAGCTCTATGGGTAGACTACAGTATATACATGTATAGAGTATAATCACATGGCTACAGGAGTATAAAGTAAAACCAAGCTTCTAGTGCAACTCAACACCTCGAGAGTAATAAATACCATGATATTGGACGTGCTCACCTACATTTTGGTATCATAATATATTCGACAATTTAGTCAAATAATTCAGTCAGTTTCATTATACAATAATAAGCGCATAAGATGTATATACCTGTAATAAATTTGATCATAAAACTATAAATTATAATATTGCCATTTGCGGAGGGAAAAACCAATTACATGTTTACCCCACGCGTTTTGTCGACGCGGGCGCCATTAGCAGTACTCGACCGTGACAAATCACCGCTTCCCCCCGGTGCATAGCAACCAAATCACGGCACCGATCGCGATTGTTACCTGTTCATGCGAGAGTTTACTGGTGGATTGGCTTACACACAACTCCAGTATGAAAGAACCACTCGTGGAGGGAGAGCCTCTAACAACTCAATTACAAAAAGGATTGGATTACGAGCATTGTTGGCTGGAAAGGCAATGGAAATATCAAAGCTTTCGTTGGAAGTATTTTTTGGATAAAATATAGAGGTACATTTTGAGAATAATTTCTCACGATGCCAAAAACTTTTGTTACGGAAAACAAAAATGGAAATTCTGTACATAAAGAATTTACATTAACTTAAACAATTCATCCAAATCAAAATAGGTATCTTTGATATAATAATGGAACAGGAAACCAGGAAACGAACTTTCATGTTCGATTCCTGAGGGTTGTTTTATTGAATTGAGTTGGAAGAAATCGAAAAAAAAAAATTGCCATTCAAAGAAAAAAACCTAACTATTTGACGAAACAATTGAAATCAACTTTTATATTATGATCCAGTGATTGATTGAACGGCAATTACACTGTGCGTATAGGTTTTTTTTTCTCGGAACGTGTCTTGCATTTAAAGTTCAAACTTTTTTTTCGTGCGCCATAAAGCACATCAATCACCAACCGGCCCCAGCGTTTCCTTAGTTACGGGCAATAAACACTCGACTTCAGTGCCAGCGTGCAAGTCAAGGCCTCTAACTCTCCAGTCGACCTTTGTATCGGAACAATCATTCTGTGCACTCCACTCGTCGTGTTTTTGTGCTTCAACGAACTGGTTTAGTGTATTGGGTGATATTTGCAGTGAAACTAGCTTGGTATTGCAACAGCTCTCCATGTTATTGGATGATTTGGATATAAAATTGGGAATATTATGTTGTTCTGTGGAGTGTTCTTGTCTTGTTTTCGGGACACCGTTGCCGTCCCACTGTTGGATAGTTGAAACAATCTTTGTTGGTAGCAGGTGAATTTTATTCCTTCGTGATTGGATCATGGATAGAGCATGGTTGTGGACAGAGGAAGCCAGATTTTAGCGAGTGCGCGGAATGTAGACTAATTCGTAGACAACTGGATTGTAGATTATTCGTTCAGTGGTAAGTGAAACGATCAGTTCTCGCCCAGAAAGTCATACCAAATATTTCCTGAACGCTGTAACAAAAATATATGAAGGGCCTCAGTTTGTGCAGGCTAAATTAAACTGGAACACTAGTTCTATTTCTGATGAAAAGTTTCGCTGGAACGAAAAATACCGGAATATATTTTTATCTGCTGCTTTCAATTCGCAACAATTGTGGTTGTTTTTTGTTTCCCAGAAATTGAAAGTTATACGATAGTGGATGACATGAAAGTGACGGTCTGGATGGAATATATCGAGGTTGATTTTTTTTGAGCTCCGTTAACGCGTACGGACTGTTTGTCGTCAGTCAGTACATGGAGAAATAACAGCGGCGGAATGCGCTTCAAAAAGTTGGCAAACTCTTACATAGTAAACTCTTGTACCTTTTTGTACATGTACAGTATTGATATTAGTTGCGGAAAGAAAACTCTTCTCGGCTTTGGTTTCATGTAAAATGTATTCATACGAAGCAGTTTTTGGTCTACTTTACGATCGTTCAACATATATTTTGTTCAGTTTGTCTTAAGTATTATATAGTTACTAGGCCGAGGCTTGGATTATTTGCTGCTTTTGTTTTTGTGAAAGGGTAACCATTTTTTGGGTCAAAACTTTTCATAAGCTAAATTCTCAATAAATGGAAACCCTTTTATTGCCCAAACTAATCAAAACACCTCTACAAGTTTTTTCGTACATTTTGTTTGTTTGTTTTGTTTGTTTGTTTTGTTTGGACCAATTTTTTTGGGTCAAAACTTTTCAAAAGCTAAAATCTCAATTAATGGAAACCCTTTTATTGCCAAAACTAATCAAAACACCACTACCATGTTTTCTTAGATTTTGTTTGTTTGTTTTGTTTGTTTTGTTTTGACCATTTTTGGGGGGGTCAAAACTTTCCAAAAGCTAAATTCTCAATGAATGGAAACCCTTTTATTGCCAAAACTAATCAAAACACCCCTACCATTTTTTCTTACATTTTGTTTGTTTGTTTGTTTTTAGAATATTTATTTCTCCTATTCTATATCCTTGTTCCTTTTATCATTTATAGGGACAGAAGAAATCCTCACTTCAACCAATGGCGGACGAGGTGCGATACGGACAGAATGGACGGCCAAAGTTCATGTCTGCATCCTTCACTCCTGGTCAGTTTGGGGATCATGGTTTCCTGCGAGGTACTGAGAGGAGGATCAGTGCAAGTAATAGTAAAGTCATCGTGTCGTACCTCAGGGTGAGTTCTGAAGGCTTTTAAGTGAGGCTCAGGGTAAATTTATTGAGGTTTAAGACAAACTTTTGAGGTAAGTTGAGTTAAGTAATTGATTCATACCTCAGGGTGAGTACTTTGGATTCATTGAGGTTCAGTAGGTGTAAATATGATGTCACAATTTTAGAATGACATTTGTAATTAAGTCGGACGAGGTTCAGTAGGCTGTGAGGTTCATGGCAAATTTAGTGATGTACAGAAAAAGGGTTCCTCGTGTTTGAATATAGTGAGGTTCAGGTTTGAAAATTGGTCCAATGTTATGTTTGTGAGGTCAAAAGAAAAAGATAAAAGGATTTACATCAGTTTTAGTAACTTTGAAGCCTGTGAGGAAACGAGACGTTTTCTTGAGGTTCAACAAGTGAGAATATAGTGTGCACTGTGAGGTATGAGGTTCAAATGAGGAGAGAGAATATATTGTGCACTGTGAGGTATGAGGTTCACATGAGGTTTATTGGGTTTTTTCTTCCGTTACAGAAGCAATTACGGCAGCGTCTTGTCCAAGGAGCGGGATCTGATGATTTGTCTCTTAGTGATGAGGAATCTACGGGTGATGATGCAACACTTCGCATACCTGGCAAAATGGTAAGACTCATCAATTATAAATATCTGTGAAGATTTTTTCCCCGTCATATTAATGCCAGAAAATCTCAATCCCTTCTGTGTTCAGAATCCATCAACATACAACAAGCCTGCTCTGTGTGAGTGATGTTCAATTGTACTTGATGCTCAACTTAGGTCAACTGATCAAGCCACACATTAGAAAACATTTTTGCTTGGCAAATTACTGAAACAAAAAGTATGGATCATAAAAATAATGTAATCCTTATATATTTTGTTATATAGCATGTTGGGAGACACAACATGTTCTCTAGGTACACTGATCACGGAGGTCGAATGAGCCGTGAAAGCCAGGTCAGTGCAGAAGGTCAAAGGTCAGATGAGGTCACACGCGAAGGAGCTGACCAATCACCATCGAGACAATCGAGTGCACATTCAATCCTACCTCAGGTCATTGTTGGAAGTAACAAGGCGTCGGAACCTAAAGAAAGTGAGGTTAGGGCGTTGGAATTGTCAAACGGCAAAATGCCAGCACTTGCCGATAGCAGAACTGGAAACGATACTTCACCATCGGGGGAAACCACTACTGTTAATGCAGAACCTTCAAAGCCATCAGTAACAAAGACTGTTGATGTTACCCAGAAGGTTTATAGGAGTGGCTCCCCTGCTTTGAGTGTAAAGTCACTAAGGTCCACTGGTAGTGGTGATAGCCATGATAGTTACCATGAGGATGGACAGGGGGCACCACACTTGCCTAAAATTGGACGAGTGTTGAGTGGACACTCCAATAGACCCTCCTCGTCTTTATCAGTGGATGAGGATATTCGTCTTCCGGCGATCGGCAAAGAAGCCAGAGTAACGGAAAGTGCCCAAATGAGAACTGACGATAGTCCCGAGTTGAAAACTGATGACCCAGTAAATGAGGATGAATCTCAGGTCACATTGGTCAGTGATGTGGCAGAAGAGGCCTCATCACCCACTGATGAAGTAGACAGCTGTATCCCTCCACGGGAGGAAGTTAGTCCCGTCCCAAGCCAGTATCCGTTGATAAAGGATCTGGAGATTGCCGATTGCGGAAAGGAAGAATGCATCAAGCAAGTGATGAAGGGATGTTTTGACCTGGAATATTTGGTGGAAAGAAAGATCATCCGAATATTCGTCTCATCAACGTTTTCAGGTTCGTATCGAGATTTACTACTTTTTCCTTTGTGTCTTTGATAAAAAGAAGTATATTTAGATAATTTTTTTGTTCAGGTTTTCAGCAGAATAAACTTCATTCTATATGCCTTACAAATTGCGTCTCTTTGTTGATTTTGGGACTTTAACGGTTAAGATTTTTCAAGAATTGTAACAGAACCCATTAAATATCCTTTTTTCCTCTCCGTTTAGATTTTGAAGCAGAGCGGACAACCTTAGTATCCAAGGTTTACCCTCGTCTGCGCTCCTACTGTAAGGAGCGAGGCTATGAGTTTCAAGTGTGTGATCCACACTGGGGGATCAAGGATGTCACTGATGATAGCCACACCTATGCGCAGCATTGCCTGTCTGAGCTGAGAGAATGCCAGAGGGTATCAATAGGACCCAATTTTGTGGTGAGTACCCAATACACCTGTCATCTCCCTCGTTTTGTAGTCTAGAAAATTTTTGGTCGCTCACAAAAGCAGACTTGTATTAATTTGTAATGAAACTGTATTCATTGCTTTCATTTCTATATGTAAGTTTCAAAAATGAGGACATTAACTCGCTTTATCAATTCAGTTTGGCAGACTCGTGAACAAAGTCGTTTGAGACTCTTCCAAGATCTATTTTGTTCTGAGTTTCTCTTCTTTCCAGTCCATATTTCATACTTTTATGTTCTTTCACGTCAATTATTCATATTATTCTCCTCTGTCCAGTCTATCCTTGGCCAGAAGTATGGTTATCCACGAGTGCCAGCGACCATCTCGCTAGATGATTTTGAAGCATTGATCTCAGCGCTGCAAACAGCAAGAGAACACACTCTACTATCCCGACGAGCATCTAGGATTTCTCAGTCAGATACATCCTCTATCGGGTTGGTCGTCGTTGTAATTTGATTGAACCTTAAAGCTATAGTCCATCATTTGCAGCCATCCGAAAAGTAACTGGCGTAATTACTGTTGAAAAACAAACTTGGTTGAAAGATAGTAAGGGAACTAAACTTCCTGTGAAATCATTCTTTCTGGGAAGCTGTCATTTTGAAGTAATCAACGAAAGAAGGCATTTCCAACGGTGATTCTTACGAAGCACCGTAGGAAAATTTAAATTAGTAGTTCGTTTTGTTATTCGGTGCAGTGCGCACAAGTATTGGAACGACGCACACGCGCGCGCGGTTGTTATAATTTGTCGGATCAGTGCGCTACATCGCGTATAGCTGCAATTCAAAACAATTCAAAACATGATTCAGTAACTTTTGATTTGAAATTGAGATCTTAGAATTTTTTTTTCTCGGAATGTACAGCTGAAGCTTAGCTGAAACTTCATCAGGTTAGTTGCTCAGTATCCTTCATTAGATTTTGAACACTTTTGTTGCTTCAAACGAACAAAATGCACAAATTACAAATGATGGACTATAGCTTTAACCTCATGAGCTTTTTTTGTTCGCCTGTTTCAGACTAGCATTCAAGTGATGCGCCGAAACCAAAAAAGCAGCGAAATTGATTCGGAACCTGGAGTGCATGCATAATACGTGAGCGTGACTCTCGCATGCCTTGTTCCACCTCCCAATATGGCTGTTGCAGAATTAGTCTGTAAATTTTGCATTAAAGGGAAAATACAGCATTTGCAAACATCAAAAGTTAAAACTACCAAATCATTTTGAAATACCTTGCTGGACTGTTAGTGAATGACAGTGTAAAGCATCCTGTAAAATCATGGCACCTGGTATACTGTCATTTTCAAGAAAAGTGGTATTTTTGGTATCAATTTCCAACGCTGGTCGGCCGACCAGCGTTGGAAAAAAACTGGCTTTTTTCAAATACTGGCCCCAATTGACCATCGCACTTGTTTGCAATCGATTACACACCTATGAACGGGTACAAGCCAGCTAGACTGGTTCCCTGACCTTACAATTCCCCATGTATGTAAACTGCTCTGTTTCTTCTTATATGGAGTCAGCGAACCAGACTACAGGAGAATGATTGTTGCTCTTGGTTTTTATAGCATTTTCGAACCCAAAACCTCAAAAAAGTCAGTGTAACTATATTTGCTATATATTTCCAACCCCCCAATTCCATCCATTTCTGAAAATTACAGCAAAAGCAAATGATGTATATTCCCTTTAACTACATTCTGGACCAAGACTTAATCAGTTGATTGCTTGACATTTTTTAGCATTTGGTTGCTTCTGAAAGTTTCAACTCTGGTTTGCCATTGTCAGATTCTTCCTGATTTTACCAAAATCTAGTAAAAAAAAAATCTGATTTAATTTGGCAAGCAGAGTGTATATTATGGTGTATAATTTGGAGGTCAATTGATAAAATCACAGGGACGGACAAGAGTATCGTGAAAGGCGTTACAGCAACCTGTCAACTATGACGCATAACAAGACTTCTGTAAGCGAACCTCCAAAGATGAGCCTAACAACGACGATAGAAGAAGGTGACCAACAACAACAACAACAACAACAACAACAACAGGCAGGGCAGTCAAGAAGAGTGTCAGAGAACAAGAAACCCCAAGCAACGTGAGTACAATGAGTGCGTTTCCGACTTTGTGCACTGTGTTGTCATTGTAATGCACAATTGCCGTTAAAGGTAGAGTGGACCGTTTGAAGCTATCCAAAGAATAACCGACCAAAATATTGTTCAAAAGTTACTTGGTTTAAAGATAGTAATGGCACCAAAGTCCTGGTGAAATTATTCCTTCATGCACTGCATGCTGTCATTTTTAAAACAATAAAATAGGTCATTTCCAAAGATGTGTCAAGTGACCATTTTTTTTTGAAATTTCTGTATGTAGTTGGTTTGTAATTGTGTGAGTCCGTGAATTGGCGCAGGGTTGACATGATGCGCATGCGCGCGCGGTTGCTATTACATTTATTCGTCGGTTCAGTGTATAACATCACGTAACTACAATTGGCTCAATGAGAACTTTTTCCCGACTACTGATTTCATCATTGTGTTATGAGAGGGCGCAATTCAAAATATTACTCTGCAATATTTGAATTGAATAGATATCCAGAATTTTATGTGTTCTCAAAATAGACAGCATTCACAGAGCTAAAACTTTATCAGGTTTAATAGGTGTTTAGCACCCGTCTTTAGATTTTGAGTACTTTGTTTAAAAAAAAAAAAAAAAATTGCACAAACGACAAATGGTCCATTCTACCTTTAAACAACTCAGTAAAGCAGAGATTTTTCAGGTGGTAAATTTCTCTGTGTTCAATATGTGGTTGTAGTGAGTGTTTTCCAGTGTTGTGTGAACTTCATACAGATATCATTTTGGATATCATTTTGGACACATTTTTGTTTTTCATCCCTCACTCTAAGTGTGTGGTTTTGTGTGTTCACTTTCAGGTTTACCAGTAACACCTTATTCTCAAATGATTTTGATATTAGCAGGCTAAAACTTTTCCTCGGATCCACTGATTTCGTTGTTGTTTACTTCTCATGAATGCCATTCAAATTGAAAAACACTGTACAAAGTCTTGTTTGGTTTTGAGTTTCCTGTTTTTTTCCCCCCTAAATTCCCAGTTGCATTCCTGTATTAGTAAACAGTTCAAATTATTAAAAAAATTATTGTTCTTTTAAAGGTAAAGGTATGTGAAGTCTCTCCTTCAGTGTATATTTTTTTTTTAAGTAGAATAAGCACTGGGATTTCTTGCATTAATGTCTGGAGTTATTTAATTTCATTTTAAATTTGGCCAAGGTTAATGCATATAATTGTTGCTGAACCTGTGTTACATACACTAACATGAATATGTATGACACTAATTTACATACATGACGCTGTGTTACTAACACATTGTGTGTCTCTTGTTATTTTTTTGTTGTTTGCTTGCGTTGGATAAACACTAGCCCCCCAGCTCACTTCCGAGACAAAGGTGTCCTCATGATAAACGCGGTTAGAGCAACCGACCTGGTTAAGAGACGGTAAATGATGCTTTAATCGGGGTTAAAGTGATAACTAACCGGGATTAAGGTGGTTAATGATACTTTAACCTGGATTAAGTAATAACTAACTGGGATTAAAGTAGTTAATTGGAAAGTTTGACTGGATAGAGGGTGTGGAAGCTACTAATGGAAAAGTGGATAAATTCTTTGCTGGCGGGAAAAATATTGATGGAAGTATTTGGAGCAGTGGTTGAGATAATGTGGTTTGATTGGGCTTAAAAGTGAAATTATTTAAGGGAAATATAATGAAACTATTGAAACATTAATTTTTTGGGGGGGGGGGAACACAGTCTCAAAGTCAATCTAAGAATGATTTGTCTGACTTAACATTTTCCAATAAACACTTCCTTAATAAAATTCAAATCATAAATAAAAAAAAAAGGAAGAACTTGTCACAACCATCATAATTTGCATGTAGCAATAGACACTTTCTTCATGCTGAATGCACAATGCCTGTATATACCATACTGCAGCTTTGAAATGCCTTTCAATTTCTTCATTCCTGTTTCTCTGAAATTTTAAGACATCACCTTATCAACATTTGCCAAAAAAACCCTAAAAAAAGTGTGACATTTAATGAGTAGAAAAAAATTACAGACCAAACCAAAGACCTTGTACATGTACATGTACATCATGTGGTCAGATGGACGTTGGATTTTATGGAATTTTACCAGAAAATAAAATTCAGATTATTTATGCAGCACTGCATTTGATATTGTATATCTGCCAAAACTTTCTCATTAACAAGTAGATTATGTTTCTTTCATGCTTGTCTATCACTCCTTCATGCTCCGCCTCCTTACCCATTTGACTCCGCCCCTCTGATTTGCATGCCTACACATTACATGCTTGTCTATCACTCCTTCATGCTCCGCCTCCTTACCCATTTGACTCCGCCCCTCTGATTTGCATGCCTACACATTACATGCTTGTCTATCACTCCTTCATGCTCCGCCTCCTTACCCATTGACTCCGCCCTTCTCATTTGCATGCCTACACATTGATTACCATAGTTGGCCTACAGCTCTACTGGTGTTCATGTGAGTATTTACATACGAGTGTTTAACGTTGCCTATTAAAACATTAATGCTATGCTCATCTCGCTCTTAAAGATTTCCATTCTAGTAGAATGCACATTGGTTTTTCTCATGCACTTTGGATACTTGTGTTGTAAAAAAAAAAAGATTGAATGCAAATTTGATTGAGTGTTGAATTAATCATTCCACTGGTACTGTTATTAGGGCTGTCCAGTTTTGAATAACTTAGTATTCGATTACTCGAAACTGTGTTTGACCGAATATTCGGATATTCAAAACTGCCAGAACGCACCAGTTAAAAGTTGCGTGCAACAATCGATACGGGCCGCGGGTGTGTTGTGCAGTAAGTATTTAATCATTGTCATGGGTTTTAACCAGCTGAAAGCATGGGAACAATGAACCGCCGACGACAAATTAAGTTACTGTCTACAAAAACAGTGGCACATAACAATAAACGGCCACAACTTTACAATTACATAGCACTTCCGTCATGTGTGTACATGTACGTGCAATTATTGGTTTTTTGTATTCGAATATTCAAACTGGCACAAAGGTATCCGAATATTGGGTTGATTATCACATTTTCAAAGATTAGGTATATTTCGGACAGCCCTAATTATTATAATTCTCCTGTATTTTCTCTGAGTCCCCCAAATATTCCATTGTCATTTGTAAAGCCACTCTGTATTGGATAAAGCATATTTAGATTTAGATTCTGATATTAGTTTTCTCAATGATACTTATAACAGCACTCTTTTGTGTCTTTTTGTCACATTATTTAGAAAGTTTTGTCTGAATGTTCTCTTCTGCAGCACCACCTTAGAATCCTGCCACCAAATCACCCAGTCATTAAATTACCAAATGACCCATTTGCTTTATTGTCTAATACAGTGGAATCTCGATAAGTCAAACCTAGGGGGAATTGGCTCAAATTGTGAGTTAAGCAAGGTTTGAATTATCCAATAGATTTTCTATTCAACAACAATTGACGGTACTAAGTTTTTACTTTGAGTTGGAAGGTTTTGGAGTTAACAGGTTTTGACTTTAATATCCAGATTTCACTGTAATGCAATTTAGCACTGGACCAACTTAGTCTGCTGAGAAAACAAATCCTTCATGCCCTTCTGATTGAACCCATTTTTAGAATGAAACAATCCAACTCTATGTGTTTCTTGACAATGCAGAGAAGACTCCATTGATGGTGGAGGGGTGTTTGATTCAGATGCTGATCTGGACAAGTATACCGAGAAGGAATATGATAATGACCTGAGCCTTATCAAGAGTTGGTATCAAGTGGATGAGAACTGCGTCCCTCCTTGCTATAAACTCCAGAATCTGAGGTTAGTCACGACGTCTCAGAATGGTGTTCCGTTGTGATGCCAAATTCAATTATTCCAAAGTTTAAAACCAAGAAAAACAATTAATAATTATAATAATAATTAAAAATTTACATAGTGCCCCAAAAGCCCTGCACTAAAGATAAAACCAAAGTACATGTACATGAATATAAATATCAATATCAAAATAAAACCTAGTTAATAATAATCAAAATAAGACATCATAATGTACGTCATACAAAAACACCACAAATAAAAGCTGAAAGGAAACTTCAATTAGGAATGCAGGAATGTTTCTTATGTTAAACATATTATCCTAGCAACTGGTACAGTCGACTCTCGTTAGTACAGACTCTGTTAATACAAAATTCTGGTTATAACAAACATAAGGCATTGGTCCCGACTGTGCAGTTATGTGCACAATGAATGGGACTGATGTTCCTCTTAATACAAAATTCTGATATAACAAACAATTTGGCTAGGCCCGAATGAGTTTGTATTAACGAGACTCGACTGTAATTGCATTTTGGATATTAGGAGGGGGATGGGATTGATCTTGTAAGATGAACAAAAAGACTGGCTCTTTTGGGGATCTAAGTAATAATGATTAATTTTTAATCAAGACATATCTTTAAATTTTGACAGTTCTATGTTCAAAGATGTACTGAGTAATGACAAGCAGAAAAGACAGAGGTTTAAGAATCAGTGGATCGCAGTCCAACGACGTCTGCAGAGAATCCTGCACAGATATCTGAAGAGTGACGAGCAACAGAAAGAATACTTCCTCACAGGTAAAGTGGCTCAGTGCAGGAAAGGATAGAGGGCGCTATTTGAACAAAGCTGTGCTTGTTAATGGTATGGTGCAGTCGTTTCAGTTTGCGGTAACACCATGAGGTAATAACTACTGTCGCTCAGTAGATATTTAGTTCTGATAAGAACTTGTCCTGCCTATTATCAACTTTTGCTAAGTAGTTTTTTAGTTCTGATTGGAACAGTCCTGCTTTAAGTTCTGAAAGAATTTGTCTTTGGTCTCAACGAAACTAAAAAACTACTTAGCGAAAGTTGATAGTAAGCAGGACAAGTTCTTTTCAGAACTAAGTGTCTACTTGGCAGTAGTTATTACAACAAGGTGTTACCGAAACGATACTGACACTCCACAATGCAAAGCCTAAAATCTTATTATATCACAAATGTTTTCTTCATCAATTACAGTCACTGAGAAGGAGGTAGAGGCTGGTATCCTCAGCCCGACCAGAGAGGTTCACGGGAGAGTCTTGTCATTCAAGAGATTCATCACTGATCTCCAAGCTCATCTTCAAGACTACAACGCAAGGGATTACATCGACCTTCATCCAGTCAAGCCAGAAGTCAACGCACTATCCCAGGAGAAGGTCGATGACCTCAAGGAGGTCAAAATTCCAGAAAAGGTAAAATAGAAGTTGACACAAACATCCACAAATTAAATCTTCAACAATTAATCAATTTCTCTTTTGTTTACATGTAGTTGAAGTACACAAACATCCACAAATTCAAATATTAATCAACTTTGTCTTGTTTACGTGTAGTTGAAGTACACCAACATCCACAAATTCCAAAAATTAAGCAACTTTGACTTTGTTTACGTGTAGTTGAAGTACACAGACATCCACACATTCCACAAATTAATCTACTTTGTCTTTGTTTACGTGTAGTTGAAGTACACAGACATCCATGAATTCCACAAATTAATCAACTTTGTCTTTGTTTACGTGTAGTTGAAGTACACAGACATCCATGAATTCCACAAATTAATCAACTTTGTCTTTGTTTACGTGTAGTTGAAGTACACCAACATCCACAAATTCCAAAAATTAAGCAACTTTGTCTTTGTTTAAGTGTAGTTGAAGTACACCGACGTCCACAAATTCCACAAATTAATCAACTTTGTCTTTGTTTACATGTAGTTGAAGTACACAGACATCCATGAATTCACAACTGACTGGCATAAAGATGGCATCAACCCATCCGTCAGTCGTCCCCATGCCCACTACCTGGACAAATTTGGCAACGAGTTCTACGACGCGTTGAAGGTGATGATAGACAGCGCCGCCAGTGTCCAGTCTAGGTCCAGTGTGGTTTCTGATGACAATGCTTTCTACTGGCGAGTCGTACCGCATGTCAATTTTGTACAAGAAAGGTGAGTCAAGACAACACACGTTAAAAAAAGTTTTTTGCTAAACCAATTGAGCATTGTGGACCAAAAGGTATTACTGCAAAACTCAGGGGTTGATTTTAGGCTAAGTAAAAAAAGAATCAGTTTCGTGCCCTGCCCTTTTTTTTTTTCGTCTGCCTTTTTTTTTTCTCCTTTTTTTAATTCATATATTTGCAATATTTTTTGCATATTTTGTCGGTGTATTGTCTTTATTTGTTTCCAAAAAAATTGAGCTATGTAGAAAATGGTAATGAAAATTTATATTATATTTTGTATTAATTTTGTATTTCAGTGTCAAGTCTTTCCATGGATGTGGAGACATTTTGACAAGTATCAAGTGTTACATCAGGAGCAACTCCCATCATCCTTTGCTCATCCATGGTAAATCAGGCAGCGGGAAGACATCCCTGGTTGCCAAGGCAACAGAACTGGTCAGAAGTTGGATGAAAAGGTATTGATCAAGAAAGTTATACAACAACATTCATAGGCAAAGTAAACAGGACTACTTAGCCAGAGTATAATGTTAAGTCTTTCACATCAAGCCTTTCTTGTGACTATTATTTAGTTGACTTGTGGTTTGACCTATGTTTGGCTTGTGATTGACTCATGATTGATTTGTGATAGACATGTGATTGAGTTGTGATTGTCATGTGATTGACATGTGACTGACTTGTGACGAACTTGTGATTGACTTGTGACTGACTTGTGATTGATTTGTGATTGACTTGTGATTGACATGTGATTGACTTATGATTAACTTGTGATTAACTTTTGATTGACTTGTGATTGACATGTGATAGCCATGTGATAGCCATGTGATTGGCATGTGATTAACTGTTTTTTGACATGTGATTGACATGTGATTGTCTTGTCTGTTATTCTAACCTATCTAGTGAGGACGCAGCTGTAATGGTTCGCTTCATCGGACTGACAGCAGAATCTCAACACATTCGCAGGCTTCTGACAGACATCTGTACACAGATCTGTCATGTTTACGACCAAGATGCCTCGTCAGTTCCAGAGGTGAGTTTCTCTGAGTAACTCTCATTTTTCAACTGGACTGTTTGCATTATTTTAATGTTGGGTTTTCGCTTCAATTTTAGCATTTTAGAGGCTTGTTTATTCTGTATGTTGTGCTTCCAGAAAATGGGAACATGTGCAGCTCATAACAGAGGGCTCTTTTGTGCCCTCAAGAACCAGTTAAATGTCCTCACAAGAGGGTGTGGTTCAATAAGAGGGTGTGGTCCAATGGTTACCATGATTGACTTGTGTGCCGTGGTACATGGGTTCGAATCCTAACAGTGAACATGGTGCTTGTGCTCTTGCAATAAGCAAGGTGTTTTACCATTATTGCTTCGTCCTTCGGATGGGACGTAAAGCCGTAGGTCCCGTGTGTTGTGTAATGCACGTTAAAGAACCCATTAACACTTATCACTAAGAGAAGGTGTTTCTGTCATTGGCTGCATTATGCGCCGCAGCACCTTGTAAACCCTTCAAAAAGGTGCTACATAATGGGTCTCCTTTATTCTCATAAACTTCATTTACCTGTCTTTAAAAATAGACATAATTACCAGCGCCTTGAGTACCTAATTATTGGTAGATACTTGCGCTATATAAGACTCCGATATTATTATTTTTATTGTAAAGGTGTTAACCACTTAAAATTAAACATTAAAATTTCTCATCGTTCTTTCCCAGGATTACTTTGGTCTGATGAATGACTTTGAGCACCGTCTACGCTCAGCCACAGCCCAGAAACCTCTTGTTCTCTTCATCGATGCGCTGGATCAGCTCTCAGATGAGAACAACGCTCGCAATCTTGCCTGGCTTCCCAAGTCCCTACCAGAACATGTGCATCTTGTGGTTACCACGGTAACGCATGAGGAGGAGCAACATGAATGCTTCAAAGTGTTGAAGGTAAGATTGTGAAATTCTGACCAAAAAATTGTGAGATTTTGACATGCTCCCATTTCTGTAGCCATTAGGCTACACTTCCCATGTTAATAATAATAATAACATTTATATTTCGCCATATATCCAAGTCAATTTTGCTCATAGACACAGCACAATCAAGTGAAAAAAACCAAGATAAAGTTAAAATTAAAAGTTAAATACATTCAAGGAACACACAAAAATTAAACAGATTTACAGGAACAGTGACTAAAAAAGAGACAGGCCGACCAAGAAAACAAGCCCAGCTGAACACTACAACCAACCAAATGACTGACCGAAGACCAACAGACTGACCAACGAGAAAACCACTGACTGACGTACCAGCCGTCAATAAATAAAAAATTCAAAATTACTATCAGTAAAAAGTTACTTAATCAGTCCAGAATACATTAATCATTTATACCTCTGAGTATGGACAGCAGCTGCATTCAACCCCAACCTCTGATCCACTGGGCCATGATATTTGTGCAAGTGGTGACTGGTGTTATGTTGTCATTTGATTTCAGAGAGCTCTGCCAGAGAGTAGTTCGGTACCCATGCCTGATCTCAGTCTCGGCGACATAGCCTTCCTTCTGAGTCACCGTCTAGCTGCCAGGAATCGTAGAGTGACATCAGAGCAGCATGCAGCAGTCATGAAGGCGTGTGAGGAGAACGCGATCCCACTCTACGTGTCAATGGCAGCTGACGAAGCCGCTAGGTGGTCAAGTCACATGACCGGGAGGGCGCTCTTCGTGCCAGTGAATCTGAAGAAGCTTGTCAATCGTGAGTATTCACTCAAATCATTTCACTTCACAAGCTGGTGGTTTTGAAAAAGAACACTTCACGTGTATAATCCTTTGTTGCTCAGATTATTTGGATTAGATATATAGATAACATGACAGTCACGAGTTGCAGCCCATTGCACGCAAGGGTAAACAATAGTGGAAAAAGCAACTTTTATATTCCTAAATAGGACTGGCCTATATGTCCTGTGACTAATTGAATCACTGAGTAAAAGTTATGTCCTTCGAATCCAGCTGGACTGCGTTTTAAAAATCTGTATATTTGCTTCCCATTTAGACGTCATGATTCGTATGGAGTCAACCTTTGGTGAGCCACTAGTCCGCCGTACCCTCGGCTACATCACAGCAGCTCCCAGCGGTCTGACATGGTCAGAGCTGGAAGATCTCCTGTCATTGGATGATGCCGTCATGAATGACGTCGTAGCTCACAATGGTACGCCACTCCGTCGACTCCCACCGGTGCTGTGGTGTCGACTGAGAGCGGAGCTTGAGCAGTATCTGATACTGGGCAGAGTGGATGGATGCTGGACTTATAGATGGAGACACAGAGAGTTCCAAGAATGCGCAACGGAAAGGTTCGGACATTTATACTTCATTTACCTGTCTTTAAAATAAATTCATTACCGCCTTGAGTACCTTATTGTAGGTAGATACGTGTGCTAAATAAAACTCTGGTATTATTATTATTTTTACTATGTATTTATTATTATTATTTCTAGTTAACAAAGCTTCATCAGCCAGCGGACTACAGGTTTTTTTTTTTATGTCCAAAAAAGAGAAAAATATTCTTGGGAAAACCCACGGAATCAGGCAGGGACTGAAATCCCAATCCACATATTGACCCGGGCGGGATTCGAACCCGGGTCACAGCGGTGGAAGGCGAGGAAAGTAAAGCTATGCCAACCTGACTCCCCTAAATAAATAAAAATAAATTTCTCAATAATTGTTTTCTTCCTTACTGTAACAACCTGATTTTGGATTAGTAATTGTTTTCAATTATTTGCAGGTATCTGAAGCAGAAAGACAAGGCACCGTCCTATCATACAGCCATCAGTGAATACTTAATGAGTAAATGGGCAGGAGTCAAGAAACCATACTCAGGCAACGACGCTGGAGCTGATCGATTCATTGATCCTATGCCCCTTGCGTGGAACCACTTCTTCCCAAATGGTAAGTTCTGAATTTTGTACGTTTTAAAATTTTTTTTTTTTATGTATTGATGTCTGATTTAGTTTTATATTGTGGTTGCTTAAAGGTAGAATAGATCATTTGTCATTTTGTGCATTTGTTTTGTTTGAAGCAAAAGTGGTATAATCTAAAGAGGGGTGCTTAAAGGGAATATACAACATTTGCTTTTGCTGGAATTTTTTAGAAATGGATGGATAACTGTGGATCAGTTGGAGAAACCAACCTATAAGCTAAAAGTTGGTTTTAATGTTCCTGATTGTACTACAACATAATACCGGAACCTTTTTTTATTCAGGGACACACAAGCACGTCTACAACCTACGCAAGCTGAACAAACTTCCATATCATCTCCTACACGCTGCTCAGATGGACAAACTCAAGACAGAAGTCTTGATCAACTATGAGTGGACTCTGGCCAAGCTGCATGCTACGTCACTCCGTGCCGTCCTGGATGACATACACAGCGCCCTCATTGTTCAACCGAATGACCTAGAGCTGCGACTAATGAGCGAGACGTTACAGTTATCGGCCGGGGCACTCTCCAAGGACCCAAATCAGCTGGGATCACAATTGATGGGACGATTGTACAACATCATCAAATCCGACAAACCCATGTCGGTGGGTGACCCCAAGAAGTACCCCACAGTGGCTACCCTGCTTGCCGGGCTAACGAGGAGCTCTGTACCCCTTCTGATGCCCTCAGCCACCTGTTTATCCCAGCCTGGTGGGGTGCTCTTTGATTTATTGGCCGGTCACACCAATGTGATAACAGCAGTGAGTGTATCGCCGGACGGCAGTGTTGCGGGGACGGCGTCTAAGGATGGCACCGTCAAGTTGTGGGATCTCAAGACCAGGAAGGTTGTGAAGACTCTGCCGAACGTTGGAACAGAGGTATTATGTTCATCTATTCTTATGAGTATAAAAACTTATAAAGCTGATTCAAAGATTATCACAGCAGTCAACAAGTTTTTTTTATATTTTAATAAAAGACAAGTTTGGACATTTTTGGTGCCAAACATTAGATGAGGTTTCGCGAATCTGTCATTTGGTGAAAAGCAGGCTTTCTTACAAATGAAACGATAGAAATTCTATAGAGACCTCTAAATTAAAAAAGCTAGTCTAAATAAGGCCAAAAAAAAAAAGTCTCTGGTTTTTGGTATGCGCGCGCGTCGCCGTAGCCATGCGCGTCGGCAAAATGAAAAAGTTTTTTTTTCAATACAAGATGATGTTTCAAAACCGCCATACTCACTGGTTTGACTGGAATTCTGCTGCTGCACAATTTTAACGTGTTTTTAGATGGGGTTATGATCGAGAATAAGATTTATGTGGCCTCTCTGGACTCCCATATATTTGCACTAAGTTTAGTCGGGCACCATTTGCAGTCATCAGCCGACATTTGAAGCCAAAAAAAAAAACAAACAGGTAAAAAAAAAAAAAAAAGCCGCGTCGCCGCACCACTTTTGGGGCAAGCTCCATACCAGAAACCGGAGCCTTTTTTTTTTTGGCCTAATGGTACTTTTTTTTTCAAAAATTCGCAAAACTATGTATATATTATGTATTCTGTATTCAATGCATACAGTTTATTTGTTTCATAGCAATGGTGTACAAACATATTTCTCAAAAATGTGCCCAAGACTACAAACTGTATACATTGTATGCATTATATTATATACACTGTATACGATGTATTCAGTTTATTTGTTTAAATCTTATGGTGTACAAACTATTTTTTAACCCCACAGATCACCAACATATGCTTTGCACTCAACAACCACATTCTGGTTGCCGTTACACACAACACCATCCATGTGTGGGACCTAGACTCCTCCACATGCATTAAGACTCTGGATGAGTACATTGACCCGCCTAGCATCACAGTCGCCGGCGAAAATCAGCAGTATTTGTGTGCGTTCTTCAGCGGTACCAGCGTCATGCGTACATGGGAGTTGGAGGGCGGAGCTTGCAGTCTGGTTTGTGGGCGGGAGATCTCTGGAAGGGGTATCCATAAGGATGGGTCTGTGTGCGTCTCAATCGGGTCGTCTGGAGAGAAGGTGCTCTACGCATTCAGAAGTGACAACAAGGCATATGTGGTCAACGCCAAATCGGGACAAAGGGTATGTTTGATCTCTAGGATTTTTCAAAAAATTTGTCAGCTCTATATTCCTGTATACCTTCTTTAAAGATCAGCATAACAGTGATCTGTACCTTTTGAGATTCAAATTTGAAAAACGTCTGGTACACTGACTTGCTAAGAATGCTTGGGACATGTTAACTTTGAATTCTCCAGACCAAAGACACTGTTGCTAATCACATGATTCAGGGCAAGCTCTTGCATAGTTACGTAAGAGACACTCGGCACCAATACATTGTTCACAATGGGTGCGAATGGCACAAAGACACCAGACCATGCTGGAGCTGGGGGTTGCTGGCATAAGGCTTGCCCTGAATCACGTAGTAACAGCCTCTTTGGTCGGAAGAATGCAAAGTTAAAACGTGCAAAGCATTGGTTTAAGTCGGCATTCCTAATTTTATTCAAATTTAACTTGAAATGGCTCATTTTCTACTAACTGTAAAGCTGCTCCGTGACATTGTCGAATATGCGGCCACTTTTTTGTCTTTCAGTTACATGAGTTGAAGCCACCCAGCCAGTCAGCCTCCATCACAGCTCTGGGGATCTCCAAGGATTACTACATCGTTGTCTGTCGTTACCTGTACATGAAGCTGTCTGAGATTCATCATCTGGAATTGTTTGATGTCAAGACGGGGAAGTACGAGCGAGCAGTCAAAGGTATCACACCAAGTCTTGAAATTTTCCTAAGTTTGCATCCAAATCTCTAAGCTATTGTCTAGATCTTTGCATCTGTTGAAGCCTGTTTCAGAAATGGCCTAAGGAAATATTTTACATACAAGTCAAGTCTAGAGCTTCCTGTACAGGGTGTCTCCAACCATGTAGCAGCCAATCCATAAATATTAAAAATATTACTTGCTCTCTTTTTGCAAAATCTATCTAGATAGAGTCTGAAGGTGTAATAATACTCCAAACAATGGTCTTTATGCTATCTCATTGGACAGAGATACAGCTAATTACATGACTTGTGACTGACTTGTGATGACTTGTGATTGATTTGTGATGACTTTTGATGACTTGTGATTTATTTTCGATTGACTTGCGATGACATGTAATTGACTTGTGATTAATAATAATACCGAAATCTTATATAACGCACGTATCTACCAATAATTAGGTACTCAAGGCGCTAGAAATTATGTCTATTTCTAAAGACAGGTAAATGAAGTACATGAGAAATATGAGAACCATTATGTAGCACCTGTAAAATGGTTTCAGTACAAGGTGCTGAAACATTTGATGACTTGTGATTGACTTATGATTGACTTGTGACTGACTTATGATTGACTTGTGATAGACTTTTGATGATTCGGCATCCATCACGAGTACCTTGGCTAGAACGCTCCTTATTCCTGGCAGGTTTTTCAACACTTGATCTCTCAATGTCTCCTTCAACAAATCGGCAAAGTTTGTCTAATAATGCTTTTTGGATTCTTTCATTTCCGTTGGCAGGTTGCACTCATGACGTGGTCAACGAGCTGTACGTCAACAGGATGGGCTCCCATGCCCTGTGTCTCTGCCCATCGACACAGTCCAACACCAGTCATATATCAGTCTGGAACCTAGAGACTGAGGACCACAAACACATGGCCAAGCATGCACAGGTACCAGTCTGTCCTGGATATTTTGTTTATAAACGTAGCAGTGCCGTGTAGTGAATATTGTGAATTACAAGAGGTTTTGACTTACGAATCCCCACATTTTGACAAGTTGCCTTGGTAAATTGGTTTGGAATATTGATCAGTTTTGGGATCGGAAAGCAACTCTTCCACCCATGGACTTTTCCCAACGATTGGTTTTCCTATGGCTTCTCCAGCATAGTTTGCTCTAGAATTATTCATTCAAACGCTACAACTTTTACGTCATTATATAAGACTGGATGTTACTGAAGAAAATCATGGACCCATAATGAGGCAAAGTCCTCTCAATTTTTTTTTAAAATTTCCTCAAGCCGCAGTTGCCCTTGCTATTTTTAAAATAAATGTAGCATGAATTGAAAGACTTTCAACTTTGCTCCAACATTATTTGAAGACTAAGTTTCAAATGTTATTTTTTCTTGGTAGATGTCCACCATGGGAGCCTGTGTCGATCTCAGCTTCTGCCTCAGCGCCTCAAGCCAAGATAAATCCCTCCGCATCTGGAACATCAGTAAGAAGGTCAACGACCGAGATGGCACTGACTCGAAAAGTAAGAAACGAGAAGGCGTGTCTGTCCTGGTCCCGATGATCAACAACCCAAGATATGTGGTTGCGAAGGCCATCGATAATGGACCACTGAGTGTTTGGAATGTTGTCAAGGGGAAGTGTTCTGGGAGTGCCGTTCGGATTGAGCGGGGGTTGGTGGATCAGCATGACGTCTTCTTGATCCGGAACCACATGGCGGTGATTTTGTCGGACCGTGGCATGTCGTCGGTCAGTGAGAAACCAACGCCTGTGTTCCAGACGGTCTACATGTACAACCTGAAGCTCAAGAAGTATTACAGGAAGCTGACTGGGGTCTTTATTGTGCCGTCTCCGGCTCATGAGTATCGGATTCTTGAAGGAGAGCTTCTCTTGGGGTTGTCAGAGAGCAGGGATCATTTGATTGCCTGGAGTTTGGTGACGGGTCACATCAAGTTCCGCATCAAGAGCAAGTTCAAGGAGCTGGAGAGATGGCGCGGGATGCGACGGGAGGAAGAAGAAGAGGTCTTGAGACAGTGTAACAAGAGGAGTACAAGTGCCATGATGACGCCTTGGGATCGCCGGTCAGAATCCTTGACAGCTAAGCAGAGGAGGCGAGATAGTGAGTTCTGTGAGGAGAAGAAACGTCTTGAAGATCTGCGTAAGGAGAAGGAGAATGCTATCGAGCAGTACGTTATGAGCAAAGATGAGAAGATTATCGTCTGCTGCTACTTCGCTCATCACATGTGTGTCTTTGATGTGGAGACTCAGACTCACCTGCGGACGTTAGAGAATGAAAGCTCGATGTTGTACCTCTACAATTCGGCGCTGACAGCATCGGGAAGCTTCCTAGCTCACGCCAACTACGATGACCAGGCAAAATGCAGCTATGTGACACTCTGGGATTTGCCGAGAGGCCAGGTCCGGAAACGTATCAAGAACGAAGCAAATGTCTGCTGCGTGGGAATCAACGATGATGCCTCCAGGGTCCTCTTCGGTAAAGAAGGCAGCAGCTTGAAAGTCTGGGATGTCCGGCGGAAGTCCACTCTGAGGAAGCTGCGAGGGTATAATGGTATGAAGCTAACGATGGACAGCAAGATATTCATGATTGATGACGGGGCTAGGGCTGTTGTCTTTGCCAACGACATCTCTCTCTGGGACTTGGATCGGGCGATGTTAATCGCACTCTTCACTCCAGACATCCGGATAACATGTGTGGAGGTAGTTATGGGTGGTCAGCTGATCGTAATGGGGTTGAGGGAGAACGCGGATCTGGTAACGCTGAGGCTCCGAGGGCGGGACATCAAGGCGGTGGATCTTGTGTCAGGGGTCGGCGGGGAGGAACTGTTTGGGGAGACGACAGGAGATACCACGGACGAGGAGAATGAAGATGAAAATGATGAGGAAGGAAGTGAGGTTGCCTCAACTAAAGCATCTGAAAGGTCTTAGGACCTCAATATAGGACGGAGTCTGAGGAGAGTGAAAGATGAAAATGATGCAAAGTAATAATAATAATAATAATGAAGATTTATAAAGCGCACATATCCACCTATTAAGGCGCTCAAGGTGCTATAAACACAATAAATCTAATTTACTCAGAAAATAAACATAATACCAATAGAGAGAGAAAACAAATTACAAATTTTAAAATAAGAAACAACATATACACTCTGTTGGTGTCTTGGTATGTGAGGTTGCCGAATGAAAAGCTTCAGAGAGACTAGTATGAAAATTGTAATGTATAGTAGGAGGATGAAGATGAAGGTGATGAGGCGGGACATGAGGATGACTCAAATAATGCCCAAGACATAACTGAATAAAAGTCTTGGGAGAAATTGAAGAATGAAGATGAACAAGTCGTTGTGAGATATTTGTTGTAGAGAGGTGTGTTCAGATAATCACTCCTCTTCAGACAAGGTGGTATTGTCCCGCTTTTTACCCGAAATGTCATTGGATAATGCCATCAGTAAGTACTAGGGGACCTTCATACTTTTGGCCAATCAGGATTTGCCTTTCAATTTAACAGCTCACTTATTTTGTAATTAGTATAGAGAGCCTATTGTAACAAAAGTAAATATAAACTGAAATGTAACTTGTAAATTATCATACTTGTACAGTGTATACACTGAACATTTTTTACAACTAACCGTGTAAAGTTTGTTATACAAAGTGTCTTTGTTTTTTGGTTTGCTTTCAGGATATTTAAGACTGGTAGAATATTAGGACGTCTTTCACTAAAATAATCACTTCAATTTTTGGAAGCCAAGTGTCAAAGCTGCAGTGAGTCAAGTATAATTGTCGGGGATGATTGAAACTTATATATTTTAACTTTAATATAAACCGATAGTGTTGCCTAGTTTTGCTAATAAAAAAAATAAAAGGACACAGAAATCAAAAGTCCACAAATTGAGAAAAAAATTTCTTGGAATGTTTTATTTATTTCAGTTATTTTTGTACAATCACTGCACAATGGTCTAGGCGATGAACTTAGTTGTCATGCGCAAAACTGAAGGAACCTTCCAATATCCAACAGAGGGGTGACCGGTTATCTTAACCATTTGCGTGTACACGTCTATGGAGGATGCGCCCATAGGTAGACCTTCACACCAAGCTTATACCAACTGCACAGATTAATCTGCGCGCCATTGTATGCCCTCGAGTTGACCTCTGACCCAACGGGCTACGGGAATGTTGTCTAGTGGTCAGCTAAGAAGTTTCCAAAAGTGTAAATATCAATGGTGTGTTTCAGACTTGTCCATTGACGTCATTCTTCTAAGTGTTTAAAAAACAACAACACTGTACTACATTGTATTACATTGTGTTTACTCACTGAAAAAAATTCAAGAAAACCATTGAGTGCGCGGGCGGTTTCGGGCGCTACGGTGACTTATTAAACCTCTTGGATTCTGCGCGCTTTAAGTTGTCATGTTGACTTTTGATTGGCTCGTTTTAAAGTGACTAGAAATTAACTTGACTTTTGAGATAAACTTTTGATTTTGCATGCGATTTTTGTGATTTTACTTAAAGCTAATAGAACCATTTGTAATTACCGGGAAAGTTCTTCCCATGTAATTTAAAAAAAATCGTGCTCAATGTGAAGATAGAGCTTGTATTAAATACCCTGAAAACTTTTGTCGGCGATCGTCTGAAAGAAAAATATAATTGGAGGTGGTTTCAAAATCGGGTATTTTTTTAAATTAACGAATAGTATGCACTGAGGTAAAATTTCAACAGGTTAGATCTTATGTGCGTTCTTAAGATTTTCAAGTCATTTTGTTGCTTCAAACAAAAAGAGTGCCCAGAAATGAAAAGAGCCTATGCATTTTTTTTTTAAAGATAAAGTAGATGCTGACTAGTCTTGTGCCATTGACTTTGATTTTGCCCTTATTTTAAGATAGTTGCGTCGATTTGAAAATTGGACTTGCGCTGTAATACCTGTTAACGCCCTGTACTAATTTCTACGCGCCAGAAGCGCCGTTTGCGAGTTAGCCACGCCCCTCAGACAACCCTATGGAACTTTTGTACGTTAAGTTTTGTTTGTCTCAGATTTTGCGCGTTCCGCGTCCATTTGTATATCATGATTGGATATTTCACAAGCTGCGTTGACGCGATTCTACGGCGATAGGTTAATTACCGCTGACTGGTCTAAAACACGGTATTAATAATTCCATTTCTCGAGACTGATTGGCTGGCCAGAAGCCAACATTCATGTAGACTTGTCTCAAGTCGGAATGTCATACTCGCGATCGGTTCGTGGCAGTCACAGTGTCGACCCACAATGCTTTTTTTTCTCCAAAATGTAAGACCAAGTTCGATCAAGAAGTTTGACTATTAACTGTTTATTTATTAATATTAAATCTTTCGACATTAATTTAAAGGATACAATCTAAAATGTAAGAAGGTGCCGTCACGGAATGAACAAAAATATTAAACAAAACTGTCATCAAATGATGTGTTCATGACATCATCTGATGACAGTTTTAAAGTTTTGTTCATTCCGTGGCAGCCCCTGTTTACATCTTAGACTGTTCTTCGACTTAGCTGCACTACACACGCGGCATGCGCTGGACGGCGAGTCTACTACGATTGACCTATTTGAAATATGGTGGACACATAAAGCGGGTGCTATTTGGAGCGGTAAACTTGGGTATACAATGTATACAAAAGTGTTTACTCACTCAAAATATAGCGCCCTCTTATTGTGTCCACAATATTTCAAATAGGCTAAGAGGACAAGCTTTAATACTGCTGCTGGTCGCATCGCGCTGGCTAGCGCTATATAAAATCCGAATGTATAGCAGAGAGCTGGGACAATTATAAAGAGGTTTTGTGTTGATGTTGGACATTTAAAGGTTCGACAAGACACGCTCGCATTTTATTTGAAGCGTGCTGGTAACGTATAATTACGGTACGTCAGGAATCGGCGCTTTACCTTAAAAATCAGTCATGATTCTTGGTCGAACTTGATATTGCAATCGCATACTTTAAAAAGAATCCACTGTTGGGAGCATTGTTTACCGACATGCAGTGAAACTACCACAGACCCTTTTACGGATAGCTTTTGAGGGTAAATGCTACACTGCATAATGGAAGTGTTTGCAATAATAATTGACAAAATCCTCGTTTTTAAAGCACAAACTGTCCCACAATGCAGTGCAACACATACGGTCAATGCACACTTCCGATCCATCCGTAAAATGATCAATGCACCATGCACGGTGTGAAAAGTCCGACTTGAGTCGAGTCTAACATCTAGATAGCCCATTGTGTTAGATTCCCCTCAAAGGTCATACAGTGACCTGCAGAAGAAATCTGCACAGCTAGCAGCTTGGTGCATAAGCCTACACCTGGGTACATCCGCCATAGACATCCACGCAATGGTAAGACAACCGATCGTACCTCTAAAGGATTTAAGAAGATCCGTCGGTTTCGTGCATGACTTGGAAGGCCATTTCCTAGACCAACAAGAGTGATGATAATGACTGACAAAAATAATTCATAACCACTATCTTGTCTGAATCATCTGTGTTTCTTTCATTTTCCGAGCCACCAGTTTCTCCTGAAATTTCTTCAGATCTCCAAGCACGGTTGCTAGAGTAGGTCGCCTGGCAGGATTCTTATGGCAGCACCTTATCCCAAGGTTTCTGACGTATTTCAGATCCCGTATATTGAGGGCGATGTCCTTGAGTAGTATACCTAGACTGTAGACGTCACTAGCCTCATTGACTTGTGATGTACCTTCCACAATATCAGGAGCAATCTGCTGGCAATTCTTGTAGTGGTAAGACTTCACGCTCTTGCAGAACCGATTCGGTGGAGGCGGTTTGTTGATCCTGGAAGCTTTACCCATGTCAATGATTTTGGCTGTTGGTTGGTCGGTGGTAGGGTCTGTACACACCAGTGCGTTGCCATTATGGAGATCATTGTGCAACCAACCTGATTGGTGGAGCTTGATCAGTCCGCGTGTGATGTCAATGGAGACGCGCGCGCGGTCCACGGTAGTCAGGAGGCTTCGGTCCAGCATGCAGGAATGCACACTCTTCGCCGAGTAGGTCTTTGGGTCCCCGACGAACTCCATAGCAAAGGTGCTTTCGTCGATGATCCCAATGAATCTTGGGAACTCTTTCAGCCCCGACACTGCCATCATGGCCTTGATTTCAATAAGCATCTCTCTGTAGGCCTTCTGAGGGCAGTTGGAGAACTTGAGTCTTTTCACCGCCAAAAGGCCACCGTCTGATTTCTTTCGCATCAGTAGCACCTCGCCGAAGTCTCCCGCACCGAGACTTATTGGGCAACCCTGGTCGTTCAACACACTCTCTACATCCCCAGGGTCTAAGCATGGGATGTTGATGGGTGAGGAAGGGCTGGAGACAGGAGGAGTTGGTGAGCTCTCGGTGGAAGACTTCGACTTCTTATTTGGACTCAGGCCTTCCTCTGGTGATGGCCGTGGTCCTAAATTTAGCTTCCTGTGCAGTTTAAAATAGATTCAATTTAAATTTTTAACTATTTCATGTTAATGTCCAATATGCGGAAGGTGAAACTATTAAACTATGCTAAAGGTGAAAATATGTACTGACTTTAAAAAAAAGGTTCGAAATTGAAGATGTGATGTCATTGTTATAAATTAAAAAAATTTGGGGGCCTATCAATCATTTTTCAGTTCTAGTCTTCCTCTAAAATATTTCGAACATATTTTTCTGAAATATTTACTTCCTCGCATCATGCTTTGTTTTTTGGGTAAGATAATTTCCTTAACCTCAAATAACTTCGTTTGTTTTGCAGAGATAACATTTTTCTATGTTGTGTTTATACCTTTTGCAGGAAATTTTCTGTACCAAACCCATTAGTTGGGTAATGTTTTCCGCAGTGAGCCCTCGTAGGGGGCGCTCTGGTGTCGGCAGGTGTGTGGTTGGTCTTGATGGAGGAGTTGGTGGTAAAATGCTCCTGAAATTTCATTTCACAAAATGGAGGAGGGGCAATTAGTCAGAACATACATTAGATTTTGCATAACTCATTCGTCTGAGACAAATGTGTGTTGCATGTGTTACATCTGATGAAGTAGATGTTGCCAAGGATGATTATCAACCGAGCTTAATGCTTCTTTGCAAGTTAAGATTGAAGCTGAGATGCTTACCTTATGAAAGCACATCTAGGATGGATGCCTCGTGAACGCTGCTTGTTGTGCTTTCTTGGTAAACAGTCTGCCGACTCCGACGTCTGAGACGTGGAGGGTCTGTTGTCATGACTCTCAAGACTCATCACAGATTCGAACTTCCTCTTCTTGAAGGGAAGATGAGTCTGGCTCGAGTCTCCCTGTTTCCTGATGAGAAAGAAAAAGATAAGATGAGTGATGCTTAGACAGTATTTTGATTTTGCTTCAACCGTTTTATTGAGATTGAACTATAAAATGAAAACGAATAATGTTGGAGAAAACCACGCGCAGGCACCAAGTACATCCTATTTCTTTTATAAGTTTTTGTAGTTATTAGGAAAATAACTTCATATCTCAAAGTTAGCTCTGTCTAATCTGGTTGATTTCCCTTTTATTTCATTCAATGAAGGATGGATAAAGAGCAACAAAACCTTTTCAAACCCAAACTTTCACTCAAAGCTTTTACCTCTTTGCTGTGGTTACGTTAGGTGATGTTCGTCCTATTTTCTCAGTGATTACCATTCTTCCAGTCTGCTCGCCAACTGTGACGTGCAGCTTTGCTGGCATCGACTCGGTTTCCTCCTCGTCAGAGAGAGGAGAGGACATCCTCATCCTCTTTGAGGTCTCAGGTGGAGAATTGATGATGACACCGAGGTGTTTCCTTGAAGATGACGAATTGAAGAAGTCAAGTTAGCTGAACTACTTAAAAGGTTTGAATATCTTGTACAGACACCTTGTGGATGATGGATGATACGAGATTTATTTGTTCCGGAAAGAGGTTCCATCTCAAACGATTCAGGAAGGAAAAACTTTTGAAGTAGGAACAATTAATTCTTGGAGACCCTTAATTTGAAGGGTTTTATATTTTGGTTGAGAGGCTATACCTGCCTCTATCGGTTGGCTTGCTTTTATTGGTGAAGTCATGGATCCTGTGGATGTTTGAAACATATTTCCCGAGGACAATGCACCATCAACAGTTGTCTCTCCTTTGTTCTAGAAGTCTTGCGATGTCCGCTCAGGTGATCTGCAATACATGTACACATGCATCCCATCCAGGGGCAATTCCTGACACTGAGCTTTTTTTTTGCCATAGGGACCCGCTATTACTAGAATAAACACGACTTCATGATTTGCTTGTTATAGATCTGGTTTCAGTTTCATGCGAGAATAAGATGAGTAGGTATATCGAGTTTTCTGTCTTAAACTGACCTTTTGCAAGTACATTTTCTTGGTGTCGGAGGTGGTGCAGCACCTGAAGGCGCCGGTGGTGTGGTCAGAGTGGCATTGACATCAGATATCGAAGGTGCTACGGCGCCTGTAGGTGCAGCAGTTTGCCGCGGAGAGCTTTTCCCATCCCGAGGATGTTGTTTTGTAACTCCGGAGGGTTGCTCTGCGGTTGATGTTGGATCGAAGCGGACCTTGGTGTCCTTCACACGGATGGTTCGAGAGGACATGCCGGTCTGCTGTTGCGCTTCGAGTTGGGTGGTCTGGCGAGCCTTTCGCAGGGGCACTTGTTGTTTCGTAGTCCCACCTCGTGGCAGCTTCATCGGGGCTGATGGCTGAGCCTCGGAAACTGCGGCTCGAAGGCCGGCGCGGGCTTGATCTCGAAGCCTGGTGTTCGCTGCCGGGCCTTGGCCTCCCGTCTGAACAGGGTCAGGTGGATTTGCTGGTTGTCTCGACAAGACCCTGAGTGTTAATCAAGAATCATCAAACACTCTTCGAACTTGTTGCTAAACTGGGTGCTAAACAGACCGTTTCTTCAACTTGACCACTGATTTATTCTTTTATGCACAAGCTTGGTTTTAGTCAAGACAGCCTGTACACTAAGATACATTTTACGATAATCATGAAGTAAAGTTAATGAAATATTACCCGAACTACCAAAGGAGTATTATTAAAAAAGCTGTATTTATCACAGCCGGTGTTAAAGAGAAAGCCATTTTAAAGGAGGAAGTCAAGTCTTTGATCAACATGGTGTGGCTTTACCTGAGACGCGGGCCATCCTTGGTTTTATTGGAGGGGGACATCCTACCGGGTCTAGCCCCTCCTTGACGGCTGAGATCTTGAGGATCCGATTCCGGAGTTCCAATCAGCCGGTAGAATCCCAGAGGTGACAGGGACACCACTGGGAACTTACCCAACACTTGCCTGAAAAAATAGAACGGATAAGGTAACTTTATGATTATGAACAACGTCATTTTTCAGGCACCAAATTGAAAAGGCAAAGACTTCTTTTACGAGAGGGGATGAAGCCTAAGTTTTACAGTTGTCATTTGATCTCTGTAGAGTGTTCGCTCTAGCATTTAAATGTTTGGGCTTTTTCAAATGCTTCATAGAATAATGATTTCGAATTGGAAAAAAAATCGATCATGAAACAGAGACACGAGAACGATCTTAAATTTGTGTTGTACATTTTATAGAGTCAACTTGTCTGGAAGTATATTGACCCTTAATCTGAGAGGTTTGTAAAGTTGTTTTGAAGATTTAGAAGTAAACCTTACCCTTGCAATTGTTGGGTGATACGGGAAGACGTGGAGGGGGACATCCTTACGGGTCTATCCTCTCCAAGTTGGTTCTCCCTGGAAGCGAAGGAGGGGGACATCCTTACGGGTCTAGCCCCTCCAAGTTGGGTCTCCCTGGAAGTGATGGAAGGGGACATCCTTACGGGTCTAGCCCCTCCAAGTTGGTTCTCCCTGGAAGCGAAGGAGGGGGACATCCTTACGGGTCTAGCCCCTCCAAGTTGGGTCTCCCTGGAAGCGAAGGAGGGGGACATCCTTACGGGTCTAGCCCCTCCCGGTTGGTTCTTCCTGGAAGCGAAGGAGGGGGACATCCTTACGGGTCTATCCCCTCCAAGTTGGTTCTCCCTGGAAGCAAAGGAGGGGGACATCCTTACGGGTCCAGCCCCTCCAAGTTGGGTCTTCCTGGAAGTGATGGAAGGGGACATCCTTACGGGTCTAGCCCCTCCAAGTTGGTTCTCCCTGGAAGCGAAGGAGGGGGACATCCTTACGGGTCTAGCCCCTCCAAGTTGGGTCTCCCTGGAAGCGAAGGAGGGGGACATCCTTACGGGTCTAGCCCCTCCAAGTTGGTTCTCCCTGGAAGCGAAGGAGGGGGACATCCTTGCGGGTCTATCCCCTCCAAGTTGGTTCTCCCTGGAAGCGATGGAGGGGGACATCCTTACGGGTCTAGCCCCTCCAAGTTGGTTCTCCCTGGAAGCGAAGGAGGGGGACATCCTTACGGGTCTATCCCCTCCACGTTGGGTCTCCCTGGAAGCGAAGGAGGGGGACATCCTTACGGGTCTAGCCCCTCCACGTTGGGTCTCCCTGGAAGCGAAGGAGGGGGACATCCTTACGGGTCTATCCCCTCCAAGTTGGTTCTCCCTGGAAGCGAAGGAGGGGGACATCCTTACGGGTCTAGCCCCTCCAAGTTGGGTCTCCCTGGAAGCGAAGGAGGGGGACATCCTTGCGGGTCTATCCCCTCCACGATCACCCACTTCCTTGGAAGTAGTCGCACTATAGGGAACAAAAGGGGAAGGGGAGCGGGTTCTCAAAGACCATAACCTTGGTACCATAAAATAATTCAGTTTTACACCTGCACTGAAAGTTTCTATATGCTTAATTACTTTTCTACAATTTAATCAAAATATTGCATGTTTATAACACTTTGATTTCTGTATTCTTTAAAGGAACATTAATTGGTACTTTAGTAAATGAGAAGTTCGTTCCATTGTAAAGATTTATCATAAGACATTTTTGATACAAGCTATTAGTCAAGATTCCGAGGGTCATGTTAGCGTTGAGACGTAATCTATTTATACTTTTTCCCAAGCGTTCCATGACAGGCGGAGCGGATATGGTAGCAGCAAACGTCACAAAGAAACTTCAATTGTTGACGTCATTCATTCGCTACGCGTTCAATTTTGCGCGAAGTACGAATTAACCCTTCACATAGTCAAGAACAAAACGGTTATAAAAGTTCAACAAATAATCATCAAAAGGAAAATAAACTTACCGGTTTTTAGCCGAACGAGTTCCCGGTGTTGTTGGATTCATTGTAGAATCGCTGGATCACTGGTCTGATAACCGAAGTCGCTTTCTTTCGCCGCAATACGCAACTCAGAAAAAGCACTTGTTCGCACGATGAACGCTAAACAAGAACAGAGCCTTTGTGTTTACATTTGCCGCAACGTGGTTGCGGTGCGTTTCGAACTAAGCGCGCCTAGTGATTGTGACGTCACGCTAAAGTTTTTGCGTTGATTTTCTTGAGGGCGCTGTGGCCAGCGTTTGAAGCAGACGACACCGTCTATGGACGACACGCATTGCACTTTTCATTATTTGAGCTGATATTCTACGATTGTAATCGCACTGAAGCTGAGACAGCGCTTTGGAACGCATTTTTTTGGCAACATTTAGTCTTGTGCTGAAATTAAATTTTATGTTACATTTATGCTGTTGTCTGCTATATATTGAGTAAAACTAAGCAACCCTATATTCGTTTGTAAATTAAAAAAAAAATAGATATAATAATATTATTTCAAAATTTCACCAAAAAAGATTAACACTTTTCTTGCATCTAAATATTACCTTCGTTAAATTTTATTTTTGAATGCAACGCTCACAGGTGTTATGCACGGAATTCCTGCCAGACTAAAATTGTGATCTTTAATTTGTATAAATATAAGGGAAAGAATGGCAACATTATTCCGTGTTTGGTAATGTCATTTAGAGTATAGTATCGGTGAAAGAAATGAAATTTTGTATTATATAGTTTTTATTATATAGTTTGTGTAGTGTTTCATAAGCCCCGCCCACCTTTGGTTGTGTACAATTCGCACAAAGCTTATAATTATGACCAAGTTTGGTTGAGCTACCGTGATCACATGACTGATTTTCTGAGAAACAAAAATTGGACCCAAATTTCTCTTTCGTTTTGTAAAAATGGTTACATGTTGGAAAGGGTATAGTATTAGTTTTGTGACGGGGAAAGTGGCCAATTCTCGACTGGTTACTCGAGTGCCTTAAACCGGTCTAATGTAGTGCAACATGATTATGACATGCTTTGCAAATGCTTTCCAAATTAAAAAGAAAATGCACAAGAATCATGAGAATTGGAATGGGGGTTGAACGATTTCACCAAAATGTACAAATAGGGTCGGCCGACCAGCGTTGAAAATTGGTACAAAATACCACTTTTCTTGAAAATGACAGCACATCAGGGGCCATGATTTTACATGATATTATTTACTAACAGTTCAGTATTAAAGGTATTTCATAATAACTGGGTAGTTTCGTTTTTGGATGTTTGCAAATGTTGTATATTCCTTTAATGATAATAAGTAAATGCATGTGCTTGAAGCCTATCGGAGGATTGTTGCAAGCCTAGGGACGTGCTCCCCTTTAAAAAAAAAAAAAAAAAGAGGTCAAAGGCTCTAAGTTTTTTCCGATGCAATTTTTGACAAAAATGCTGGTGTTACTTTGCACATGTCTATTGAACTGTCATTGGGATGTTCGTAACGGTTCATTGACCACTTTGTTTGCGCGTGATGGCCATGACGCGCCCAACCGTTGCGAACTTTAATATTATGCGGGTACTGTCTGTAACATTGAGATAGCCTGTATACGATGGAATATATAGCACATGTAGTTAATGCATAAGCATTTCTTTTATCATAGATTTAATTTCACAATTTTCTTGGACAAATCCTGAAGGATATATTGATCCTTTTCAAACTTTTTCAAAACACCGTGTTTCTTGTGACATCGTTTATATAGTCTTAAGCTGCGGTCAGAGTTCTTAACTGCGTTAAGAATAAAATCCTGTCACGTGACAATCATGAAACTAGCCTACTACCAGCAGATATCTTGGCTTGAACCGTGATTGTTCTTTGCACAGTGAGTGTAAAATGCAAGTTGAATATTTTCACCATTGCACTGATTATTATTCCAATGCATTATCTAGCCGTTCAGATACTGAAAGTCATTTTGTGCAGTAAGGATTTCTGGAGTGTTTCACTTTCGGGCGTGGATGGAAACATTTGTCGAAACTTGAATAGAAGTTAAACAAACGTAAGTATAATTTTCATTATGTTTCACAATTTAAAAGAAATTGACGATATCTGAAGGGTTTTTTGTATACTCGTAAAAGAAATCCTCAGACATGCATGTCTGTGCCATTTTGAAATTGAAAATTTCTGCTGTGCAGTGTCTGTTCATATTAAATTTGTGCCTTTGTTTTTATCCGACTGGCAAGAAGCAATAATTGCAACCTCAATTCGAGGATATAAAAAAAATGTTTGGGAAGGAGCGACTGTTTTCAAATGGGGCTATGTTGAGGTTTTTCATGGTTTTTGTTGTACACAAGTCTCTAGAAATATATCCCGTAGGCACAATTTTTGGGAATTATTTATCCCCATATCGTGATCTCTGCTTACGTTAAAAATAATAACTAATTAATGTGCTCCCGCACAACGATGGCTAATTTGTTTAATGTAACACTTAACATTACATAACAATATAATAAAATACACGTGCAAAGCCGTGTCCAACAATCTCCATCGTACATTTGTGATGTTGTGGACCTCAGCAAACCTAAACGTCAAGGTCTCCGCTCGGAAGGCAATTTGGGCTTCCTCTGGAGGACCATGCTCCGTTGCTGGGCCCTGAACATGGAACTCTCTTGTTCCTGGGCTGCAGTGGTTCAATGGTTACGGTGCTCGACTCGTGTGCCGTGGCACATCCTGACCGTGGGAACGTTGTGCTTGTGCTCTTGAGCAAGGCATTTTTCCATGATTGCTCCGTCCTTCGGATTGGACGTAAGCCGTCGGTCCCGTGTTGTGTAACGCATGATATAGAACCCCTAACACTTATCGCTAAGAGAAGGGGTTTGCCACGGTGTTTCTGGCAGTGGCTGCTTAATGAGCCGCAGCACCTTGTAAACCCTAAAAAGGTGCTACATAATAAATGGGTCTCATAATATTTCTCATGTACTTCATGCACCTGTCTCTGTAATAATAGACATAATTTCCAGCGCCTTGCGTACTTAATTGTTGGTAGATAGGTACACTATATAATGCATCGTCTTTATAGAATACTTCTAGGGACTCGTAAAACATGTTTGTTTTGATTTCACTTGATCCCAGTTCTGTTGATTTGTTTACAGCACTTTGTATCCTTCGGCAAAGCCTCTTTATAAATACCATGCAGTTATTATTATTACTATTTTTTTTTTATATCTGTGTGTATCTGAAATATCTTTTACAGTTCAGGTCATCCAAGATGTCTTCGCCAGCAGAGAAACACCATCAATACAAGGTCAGGTATTCATGCATAACGGTGGAGCCTGTCGTGTTGCTGTTCTTCATATCTTACAGTATGATCGTCACACTGCGAGCAGAATACGTCACTTTGCGAATCGCAAAAGGTTTGGATGACACCAAAGGTTCAAGGGCCGCTGTGTTGGCGCCAGACGATACGCTCTGTCGGCTCAGCAACCAATCAACAGACGCGTTGTACGCCGAGACGCAATCCAGAGCCTCCTATTGGTTACTGCTGCTTAATCTATTTCAAGTCGTGCCGTCGCTTGTAAGCGCTCCTCTGATTGGCTCTTGGAGTGACCTGGGCGGGCGTAAGCGCGCTTTGATCATCCCTATAATCGGGTACCTCATTGGTTCCTTTGTGTGGATCTTTGTGACTTACACCAATGGGAAGCTCTGGTACTTGCTTCTAGCCGAGTTCTGTCTCGGTCTGACGGGAGATTTCTCGGCAGTTCTGGCCGTGTGTAACGCTTACCTGGTTGATATCACCACAGAACGGGAGAGAACCTTCCGCCTGATCATGGTGGGGATAACCATCGAGGTGGGCACGGCTGCTTCGCAGATTCTCCTGGGTTACTGGGTAGTCCGGCAAGGTTTCGGTCTTCCCTTCTGGTTCGTGGTGGCCGCCATGCTCGCAAGTCTCCTCTACATCACCTGCGTCTTAAAGGAAACCCGAGCTAAATCAGGAGGTCTTGAGAACCTGGAACTCTTCAACAACCGCTTACTGGACGATATCTACGGGATGCTGATGAGATACGGCAGCGAGAAACGGAGACAGATGATCTTTTTCATCACCATTCTTGGTCTGCACATGATGATTCTTTACACAGCGTTTCTGCTCGTTCTCCTGTATGTGCTCAGCCCTCCGCTTTGCTGGACGCCCGTTACCGTTGGATACTACGTCGCTTCGGCTCTCTTACTTGGATCTGCAGGTAAAAGGATAAATTGTGCACTACACTCTAGAAACTCCTGGGTCAGACTGACCCCGATCTGAGTCCATATCTGCACAGTCCTTTTCAGGGTCTAAAATTACCCTTTTCTGGTCAAAATGAAACTTGTCCGGGTCAAACTGCAGTTTTCTGGATCGTTTTGATGGTTACACCTCTATGTTCCGACACCCCTATGTTCCGACTGCACATATTCCTATTCCTAACCCTAACCCTAACCCTAACCCTAACCCTAACCGGGAGTAACACAATCTATAGGTTGTCGGAACATAGGGGTGTCGGAACATAGAGCAGTCACCGTTTTGATACGGAAAAGCGTAAATTGTTGACCCTGAAAAGGACTGTGCACTGACTCATAGTTATGGGTCAATCTGACCAAGGAGTTTTTAGAGTGTACTAAATCAAGAATATGTTTTTATATTCAAAGTTGTAAAGGGCTGACTCGATATTAAGGCCTACTTCTGAGTCTGTGCTGATCGGCTCCTAGTCTAACAAATAACCACTTGCAAGGTATAAGCGTCTACGATATGCGCGCGGATTCAGCGATTTATAATGTACAAAACACCTCCAGATTCTGACCATTCAGCGGGCGCCTTCTATCGGGTCTTCGGTAACCTGTTGTAGGCCGAAAGACGTCACAATTAGGAAAAGACGTCACAAGTTCTAAAGCCGACATTTTCTCGGACAAATCGGCCCCTCAACGGCAAGAAATAAGTGCGTCAAATTTGTGAAACTTCATTTACAGGCATGACTTGTCAGTATAGATTATTAGATAGGTTGGATTATTGCATGCACGCAGTGTCGCTGGCAGTTAAAACTGCGCCATCATTTTGTTTATGCATGGAGTGAATACCGGTGTAGCGTGAAAATCCGACTCCATGAAATGTGGACTCATTGGTAGTACTGCGCACGCGTGGGTACGATACTAAGCTATTTTTAGGATCGTTTCGGGAGAGTGAGCTGTCACGTGCGAGGGATCAACCAATAATAGGGAAAAATGGGTCCGATTTTCATAGGAGTCGGATTTTCATGTGACACCGGTACTACTTTATCACTAAGCCGTGTTTAAATCGAGTAGGCTAATTTTGTGGCTACAGCTTTAGTTTTTAGGTGCGCTTACGTATATGTACATAGTCGTAGCCGAAACGACAATGGCTTTCTCTGGCACGGCCATATCATCCTTCGTTTGTTCGTTTTGCAGGTACTTTACTCGGAGGAAAGATCTTCAACATGTGTGTGGATGATCTAGGCGTTGTACAAATGGGGGCGCTTTCCTTTGCGACTAGTCTTATCCTCGTGGCGTTCAGTAAATCGACCATGACTCTGTTTTTTGGTAGGTGTCTGGGAATTTTGACATTTGGTTTTGCCCTTTTTTAGAACGTACTATGATCTATTGTCACGAACTGATTACCATCAGACTTTTGACTTCACTGATTTTGAGTTTTAGTGGTTTTTTTTTTTTTGCAGCCGGGATTTTTGGTTCCTTCCGTTTTCTAGTCTCACCTGCGGTGCGTTCAAGACTGTCCAAGCTTGTGGACGAAGAAGAACAAGGTAAAAAGTTAAAATATAAAAAAAAACGCTGGAGTCAAAGAGTTATGTATGTTAGGCCAAAAAAAAAATAGGTTGGTCTCTGGTCAGCGCGCGCGTCGATTTTAATCATGCGCGTCGATCTTTTTTTCCAAAATGTTCAGCGGTAGCTCCAACATCGCCCTCTATTTCCGCACCTCCTCAATTTTTTTTTACCAAAGAGCACCAAGGAATGGGAAATTGCACCAAGGCAAATGATCGAAGCACCAAGGCAAATTATGGAGGACACCAATGTACATGAGGACACCAAAAAAGAAAAATAGTACCCCACTTTGTCTGTACAATCCAAGCTTGAAAAAAAAAAGCCCAAAAAAAAAAAAAGCCTCGTGGCCGCGTCAATTCCGGAACTTTGGTCTGACCAGAGAGCGAATATTTTTTTTTTTGGCCTTATGGAATCGATCTAAAACGTGACCTTTGACACGTCATTCTTTAACACGCAGGAGCGATGTTTTCATTGGCCAGTAGCATCGAGAGCATCGGTCATCTGATTGGTCCGCTCATTTTCAACCTGATGTATGGCGTGACTACTGGTTTCTACCAAGGATTTACCTTCTTAGTGATGGCGGCTGTGTATGCACCGATATGTTTGATGACAGGGTGAGTAAAGTCTTTACGCTTATCAGTTTCATCCTATTGGTGGCAGCAGACACATGGACTGTAACTGTAGACTAGAGACTGGACTTCAAACATTTAGGACAACACGGACAACACCACTCTCCAATCTTCTGCTGGTTGAATTGGGATCTGCGACATGTCGGCTGATTGGCCTTCTTCAAAACGGGTACAAAGTCTTCACTGTGTGCATTGGAATTACGCATATCCGGTTCGTTAGTGTGACGTCATCTCAATTCAACCATGTGTAACTCACACGGTGTACTAGCACGAATGGAACCGGAAGTTAAGCAACTCGAGCGTTTATCCAATGGGCACTAGTTATCAGTGGTGCGCGCGCGTGCATGACGTTTTCACTAACGAACCGGATATCAGTATTGAGTACCGGAGTCTGGTGTCAGCTGTCTTTGTTCTGGTTCAAGTGCTTCACGTGCTGATGTCTTCACACGCTTAAGCTTTGCGCGTGAACCAGAATACGCAACCCACTTCGGTACACTGGCATCAGAGGTTATGGAGAGCCAGGCGGTGGTCGTTCTCCGTCTTTTATTATTCGTAATATATTGAAGCGGTACTCAGATCGCCGTCATCCCTTCTAAATGTTAATTAAGAAAGCATCAGCAACATTATTTCAACATTGGTGAAAGATTAAACATTTATGTGCTGCCCTTAAGAGTCTGCTACCCCTTGAATCTCATCTGGGACGCGCTTTTCAAAAGGAAATTTTTATTTCCCAAGAATACGCCCCTCTCTCGTTATTTCTCGTCAATTATCGTTCCACGACGTCACATTGCATTTCGTTTCTATATATCTCCTCATCCCTTCTATAGAATGTGTTTTAATGTTATGCTCTCGATCAAGACCTTTTGTTGAGGACTTTTTTGTGTTTATTATGTGCAGGTATTATCAAGTACGTGGCTGGATGTCAAATAAGACAATGTCTACAAACACAGAGGACGACAAGGAGCGACTGGTCACGCCATAGCACGAGTTACGATCATATCATTTTTTTAACCATAAAATGGACACACATATGTGTGGTTTTTTTTTTTAAATAAAGATCTCACTCTATGACTGTTATTGCTAACATTAAACTAGAATTAAACTGCAAACATCCAGTGTTGCTGAGTAACATTATAAGACACGTAGTCTTACATTGCATTTAATAACGCCGATCAACTTTAACATAAACGCATTTCTTGAAGAGAAATCATTTGCTGTTCGCGCATTTTGTTCGCTCCCAATAATCTTAAAGCTTGAGCTGTTGGGGAAAAACGGGGCAAAAAAACATGCACAAGCTTTAGTTCACGAAACACGTTGTCGTCATTATAACTCTTTATTTCCAAACATCGGTCAACTGACTGATCGTTGGACATCGCCCACTAGAAGACAGCTAGCAAGACGGAATAATTTCAGGAATCGTTTAGCATAATGGTCTTTTATCCAAGTAGGCCTAAGCTTCTTGATGATTCTTCGGTAGGTTTGGGGATAATGTCAAATAATCCTAGTCGCCTTTTAATGATACTGTAGCTGAAGTTGTATTGTAATTCATAATGTTAATATAACACGTGTGCATGCAAATTGCAATGCCCCCATCCGGTGACACGCCGCTCAGTAAACCTGCTGGTTTTATAAGTGCCATGTTATGTTTAAATGAATATCAACACCTGCGCCACCGCTTATTTATAAATATGAAATACACTAACACGTGGCTAACAGCGCGCATAATTAGAATGCCGTGCACCGATGTTATATTATAAAGTTAATTGTTGTACGTTTGATGTTATGGCTTTCTACCTATATATTTAACCAAAAGTGTATTAATATAAATATTCAAAATAAATAAGTTATTCTTACGCACTTTGAATAATGAAATATAACTTATACAATTGAGGTCAAATCGCTTAGCTACAGTTTATTTATCCAAACTTGGTTTTAGTTCTTTGATTTTACAAGCTATTGTCTGGAGTGATTGCCTCATCATCCAAAGGTGTAACTTTGCGCCACTTTAATTTAGAATAAATGTTCAGTTTGCTGTATCAGACCTACAGGTATCCAACTTGTAAACAATGCCAGTTCCTAGGTGACCCGGTTTAACAATACATACAAGCCTATAAATGGGGCTTTCACGGCAGTTGAGCCCGCATGGGTTCAACCCGATATTGCGAAGTAGTACCGATAATTGTTTTTCTACATAAAGATTATGTTTTAATGCAAGTAAAAATAAATCAATTTTTCTTCGGGAATTGCGACATTGTTACATTTGTACTTCTGTTTATTTTCGAACATATCTTGGATTAGAGCCGACGTACGAATTGCTGTAGGCGTAGGAATACAAGTTGAGCAGTAGGTTTGTGTAAACCACGTTATTTGTAGTCTGGTTCCCAGACCAAAATAGCCGCTAATAATACATTGTAATACAAACAAGTCACGTGTCTGAAACGGGAATGCCTCCTTTTCCCGAAACTGACCGAAGTTTGCCGACTGTATTTCCTTGCAAATCTCAGACAGCGCCTGGGTGTTTCTGGGTAAAAAAATAGTTTTATTTAACCACCTTGCTTATTGAAAATTTAAAATCTAAGTTGATATAAATTGCATCAAGACATTTAAAATTCAATGACGATTTTGTGCATCAATTATGCACTAGGATCGTTCGAGTGCGAGCTTTGCTGCGTAAAAGTAGTTGAATCTGGCGACGGTCACTGGGGTTTTCCAAAACTCGGCGTGGTCTCTATTGCTAGAATGATATGTTAGTCCCTTACTTTAGGAATACGGGTCAACCTGCTCAACGTTTTCTTACAAAAATATCAAACTGTATGACATATGAAGCAGGATATGGTTTTTTTCCAGTTTTAAATGATAGGAACATTAAAAGCTATAAATGATAAAGCGAATTCGGAAAGAAGCCGAGCTTTGAAAATAAAAGGGCCGTCAGTGTCGTCATGTTTATTTTAAGCCGCGGAGGCTGCCTGACCTACAATGTAGACGTCTGGGCGTCGGGGAAATTCTCAGGTCAGTGAACCAGACTTACTTATTTGTTGACTGGCATGTTGAAATTCACGCGGAGCATGCACATGGTGGGCGTGGGCCCCTCGATCTCTCGCACAAAACGTTTAGATTTTTCAACGGAAATACTTCCTCTGGACAACGGATTAATACCCAATTTGCCCTCGGTCCGCAGACTCGACTGACCACGAGTGGCATGGAATTTACGCGTTCTTCATTTGTGGACTGCATTTTGTGTGCTTGGAATTATCAGTGCTCAAAGGAAAATCGCTGGCTGGACTCCATCTTGCAAGATTGTATTGACATGGACACGGTGTAAAAACTGAACTGTACAGAAGGCCTACTGAACTCTTTTGAAACGAACAGCAACAGTGAACAAGTGAATTGAAGGTCTGTGGATTTAAATTTTGTCTGTGGAATATTTGGAGGCTCCTAAAACTTAAAGATCATGCTTGAAAAGGTCGTCATGGGGTAAGTCTGTGAACTTTTATTTTGAATATCGAATTGATAAATGCAACCTTATTTGGCACCAACTCTCACTACCTGACCAGTAATTCATGGCGTGCGATAGCTTGGTTGAGTGTTCCAGTATTCATTATAGACATCTTGAATTGCAAAGTAACCACGACCTCCTTTAACTTTTGAGTGAAGCCCATTGGAATGATTCCCATATCTGGCTATCACTAATTTTTCCCTTCAGTGACCTATCAGCCATCAGAAAGTGATAATATGTCCTACAAAGTCAAAGTTAGCAGGGGAAATATTGAAGTATTTACTGAGAAAACACTCAGAAATTTTCAGACCAGTCTCATACAGTTTGTGCACAGGGTGACAAGATGGCCAGATATTGGAATCATTCCCCAATAGACCATGATCATGTTGCAGCCATTTGACTTTTTTCCCATTCAAATCAATGTAACCAAAGCAAGGCTGGAGGACAAATAGTCTGGTTACCCTTTTTGCACGAACAAATATAATTCAGTACTGCTATTGAATACAGGGAACATGACTGAAATGGTGGCAGCATGATAAAGGTCTATGACATGATAAAGTGGACGCGGAATGCGCAAAATCTGAGATGCCATAGGGTTGTCTAAGGGGCGTGGCTAACTCTCAAACGACATAAGTTGTATAAAATGGCACGTGCCTCCACGCCAGGCGTGGCCGTCTTCCATTGTCGATGTAACGTGGTATTCACTTATTTGCATGCGGAATGCGGGCAGCGCAGGTGCGATGTACGGGCGTTTAGAAGGTCACTCCTACGATGTCTCTTCGAAATCGGCTTTAGTATAGTTCACTGACCTACATTGAGTTTTATTCGTAAATAACTGTAATTAGTTGTAAAATTAATCCACGTCTTCAGTTTAATTTTTTCAAATCCTTGAAATCGGCTTCATGCTGTACATTTCGAAATCCGCAAATAAATTTCAAAACAAATTTTTTTTGGCACATCGGTGCTGAAAGGTCGGCACGTATTTTCCACCACACACTTGGTCTCCATAAAATCAAATAGTGCGGGTGGGGGGGGGGGGGGGGTGGCTGATACCATCTTCCAACATAGGGGCGCTCTTCAAAACCGAGCATTATATGGTAACTGCGCATTGTGTACCCATTTATGGCCATTTAGGGGCACATTATGGCCGCAAAAGGGGCACTTGGGAAATTCGGGGGGGGGGGTAACTTCCCCCTAGCCCCCCCCCCCCGGTTCCGCCGCCCCTGGCTTCTTTCGGTAAAAAAGGTGCACCTCAAACGTTACGCCTATCTTCGGATTTAGTCCATAAAGTCGGCTTCGATCCACATATCTGAGTCAGTATACATGTCCTTATAGTTCGTAATAAATTCGGTTGCGTTCGGTAAATTACAAAAATTTGAATTGCTTCGAACTTCGAAAAAGTTTTAGTTTCTACAAAACGAGCATCGGAAAATATTTCTTCCCAAGGTCCTGTAAATTCTCTTCAGTTTCCGGGGGTAGTTTTTGTTCTTTTGTGAAACATCAGTTCTGAAGGTTAAGTAACTTTGGATTGGATAATCTCGTAAATTCAAATTGTTTCGATACATTGAGCCTAATTCACGTTTTGCTCGATCGAGATTATGGTGAATATATTTTTTCCCCTCGGTAATGAAGCGAAACGTGAATTGGATGATCTCGTAAATTCAAGTCGTTTCGATACATTGGCCTTATTCACGTTTTGCTCGATCGAGATTTGGTAGATTTAGATTTTTTTCCCACGGAAATTAAGTGAAACGTGAATTGGATGATCTCGTGAATTCAAGTTGTTTTGATACATTGGCCTAATTCACGTTTTGCTCGATTGAGATTTGGTAGAATTAGATTTTGCCCACGGTAATTAAGTGAAACGTGAATTGGATGATCTCGCCAAAAACATTTCCAGTTCTTTTCAGCTTCGGTACCGATTGGGCTTATTAAATTCAAGTTTTGCTCTATCGAGATTCGGTAGGCCTAAATTTGTCATTGTTGCCGATAATTAAACAAACTGTGATTTGGATGATCTCGCAAATTCAAGTTGTTTCGGTATACATTTGGCCCAATTCACGTTTTGTTGGAAACCCGTAATTAAACACAAGTTCGTTTGTTGTTGAGTCAGCTGTATTCAGTAGGATTTTGTTTATAGGGACCTATCGAAATGTAATCGTGAATAAATTCACAAAGGTTAACGGTACAAATTCGAATGACGCTCACGTTTTTGCTATGGTCCAGTTAAACACCAGTTGTTCCACGGTTTGTAATATTAATGGCTAAACTTGGTAACTTAGTGAAATATATACGTGATTGCTTGACCCCCTCAAGACATTTCGTTGTAAGTTTTGAAACTCGCTGTATAGGTGATAAATGAGCTTAGATCGAAGGTTGGTAAATCGAAATATTGAATAATATTACGTCTTGCGAATAAGTGTGTGAAAATTGTGTTTTCGGTGTTAACAACGGTAACTACACTTTCGAAGAAGAAAGTCCATAATGACTGTAAGACGTCATTTTGACATGCTGTGTTTAATTTGTGTTGATGTGTTTCCTTTTGTGCGGCCATGTGATTGTGTTATGGGCTTGAATGTCTCTGAATTTGACAACATTCTGAGTTCTGCTTCTACTGTGTAAGTCCGATCAATTGAGGTTGGCATTGTTTACGAATACTCTTTTCTTTGTAGACACTTGATAAATCAAAAATATAAATGGCATCTCAGTGGATACGTCGAGTCATATTTGCTGTAACTGTTTATATAGGCTAAGTTCATACAGATATGATTTGACTCTAGATGATAGATAAGCCAGCTGTGCCTGTACTCGCTGCCTGATTTCGACTGAATCTGACTAGTCAGAGTGCTTGCTGCAAATATGATGTGACTGTTATTGACTTCTAGCTTGTATAAAAGGCATGACGGGGAAGATGAATTTTTTTATTGTCTGTGACTGTTCCAACAGCAAGAGACTACAAATCCCTAAGAAATCAACCTCTTTGTGCTGAGTCAGACGGGTTATACTTAGAATGTAGCATTCCTCGATTTTTTTAGATTTTTGATCGACTCTCCAAAACCTGATAGGCGAGTGGACTAAACACGGTATTGCACCTGAATAAGAACTTCGTGTGGTATTCATCAGACTGGATCAACTTTGTATAAATTCTGCGTTGGATATGGAGTGCCATATCTCAGTCTTAATTTGCGTTTCATGAAATTTATGAAACGCCGGGTTTGGAGATAAATGCAAATGATTCTGTGTGCCTTTCAAGACTACCGTAGCGGAATTGTCATGCAATTAATACGTTTATATACATGCCAAATTGCCACCGTTGATACGTCCCTAAGTAAACGGTTATTTAATTCAGTGCCTTTTTGTTTTCTAATGGGCACAAACTCTGGCGCCGTCAATAAATAAAAAAGGTCATAAAGCAGGTGGATAAACGGCCGAAGGCCATCCATGATAATTACGACTGTACTTTGGATACTTTTGCTTCATTATACCTGTAGATTTAACCAAAAGTTTATTAAACCTTCAAAATTAATTGGTTGATCCTCTTGAGCTCTATGAATAATAAGGTTTCGCCATTTATTTCATTGAGGTCAAATCACTTGGCTATAATTGATTTTTACTATAATTGGTTTTAGTTTATTATTTTTTACAAGCTATTGCCTAGAGGACCCCAGCCAAAGATGCGCGCGTTGGAATAATAATACCTTTCCGTATGATATCCGGCCTAGTAAGCTGTTATTTAATTGTTAAGTCCCTTTTTTTTAACGAGCACAAACTCTGGCGCCATCAATAATTAAAAAAGTTCAAATATACAAACAGGTGGATAAACGGCGTATAGAAGGCCATCCATGATAAACGACTGTACTTTGGATACTTTTGCTTCATTATACCTGTAGACTTAACCAAAAGTTTATTAAACCTTCAAAATTAATTGGTTGATCCTCTTGAGCTCTATGAATAATAAGGTTTCGCCATTTATTTCATTGAGGTCAAATCACTTGGCTATAATTGATTTTTACTATAATTGGTTTTAGTTTTTTTTTTTTTTACAAGTTATTGCCTAGAGGACCCCAACCAAAGATGCGCGCGTTGGAATAACATTATAATACCTTTCTGTGTGATATCAGGCCTAAATATATCAAAGTTACGATGCAAGTACCCTAAGTGACCCGGTTTAACAATACAAGCCTTTAAATTGCGCTTTTCCTGGCAGTTGAGCCCGCATGAGTATTGGTAAACATCTAAAGAAAAATATTGTATTCGTTCTGTAATGTTTTCTCCAGGAATATAAAGTAGCTTTGTGACCTGCTTATAGCACACAGAACTCGGTGAAGAAAAAATGGTACGTGGCTTATTAATCAAGCTGGAAAGCCTTTTGCGATGGAGTTATCTACAGCGAAATATTAGCATTTCTCGATCAAATTAAGATTGATGATCCACTCGGCAAAATTGACTAAAACAGCAAGGATTAAACAAGCGACTGAACTTGAATAAAATAATGTCTTGTCTCGTATTCATCGGACTAGACCCAGTCTGCATAAATCCTTCGTCAGATTTGGGGCTGAATATATCAATCGCAATTATATAAAATTTCATAAAAATCTACGAATTTATAGCAAACTACGGAATTGTTTTCAATAATAATTATTATTAGGCCAAAAAAAAAAATAAGTCGGTCTCTGGTCAGCGCGCGCGTCGATTTTAATCATGCGCGTCGATCTTTTTTTTATCAAAAATGTTCCGCGGTAGCTCCAACAGCGCCCTCTATTTCCTCACCTCAATTTTTTTTACCAAAGAGCACCAATGAATGGGAAATTGCACCAAGGCAAATGATCCAAAGCACCAAGACAAATTATGGAGGACACCAATGTACATGAGGACACCAAAAAAGCAAAATAGTACCTACCTTGTCTGTACAATCCAAGCTTGAAGGAAAAAAAAAAAGCCAAAAAAAAAAAAAAAGCCGCGTGGCCGCGTCAATTCC